TGATCATAACTGACTGTCCTCACATCTGCTGTAAACTTGTTTTCTTCCCTCGCTGACCTTGGATATCCTCCTTCTTGATCTTTCTACACTGGCCATCCGAACGAGTAGTTAATCCGTGAACTGCATTGTTTGGAAGCCCCTAAGATGCTCTGCAGATACATCTGTGTTCTGTTAAAGTGATTGGTCATTTCTCAGATAAAGCAGCTGGACAGTTCCAGGGGGGAAGACCCCTGCCATGTTATCTGAGGCGTAGGAGGAGGGGAGGGGGGGCTGGAGAAGGGGGGAGGGGGGGAGGAAGAGAGATCCCAGCAACGTGTGAGAACTCCCAGACACAAACCATAACAGAGGGACGGCTTGGTTACCAGGAGGCAGAAGTGGGACGAGCGTCGGACCTGTTTGTAAAGGGATTCTTCAGTTAATGTTGATGAGACATCGGGGAGCTCTGCGGCCAAGTGTAACATAACTGTGACTCTCTGATGTGTTTGTTGGTAACAACAGCTAGAAATATGATGTTATTCATGCACGACTCTGCATTTAAATAAGCTACAATGAAAATGCAACATCCAGTAGGATGTAGTAAGTATTTTACAGCGTTCTTATGTCCCCTTAATTAGTTTTGTGTATTGTATAATGTGGATTTTTTTAATTCACTATCAGCACTTTAGTATACTTTGTTGCTTTTCAAAATATGCTACATTTTCTTTACAAATAAATTGGATTGGATTGTTTTTTTTAAAAACAACAGTCAAGCCAGCGATCGTTATGAAGCAACTCCAGGAAACATGTACTCAGAATATAAAAACTACAACTTTATGTTGTAGGTTATGTTGCGCACCCCTTGCAGGGCCGGAAACCCCACTTTGCCCTTTGCTGCATGCCACCACCTACTCTCTCCTTTCAACATTTCCTTTGTGTGTTTTGTTTAAACCCCAACCATCAGATAGCTGTGTTTTCATCCATCTACGTTCCTTAAATATTTGAATATATCGGTGTATTGATATAAAACTATTGTATCATAGTATGTAACAGATGACCAGATTCTTGCCGACACTCAGCCGTAACATGTTCTGCTGAACTGTATCAGTGATGATAATAACAGCAATTATAAAAACATCTATAGTCAGTTTGTACCTACAGCTTCTATGTAACCCCATCTTAAAGGAACAGCAGAAGGTATTTATGCAGATTAATCCCCTTAGCACTCAGTGGCATGTTAACTGTTCAAAGCGTCTCTCTGGTGGCAAACATCCCCATGTGGCCTGCACACTCCACAGCACATGTTTAATGGATTCAGGTAAGGCACTTAAAATGAGCGTGACTATAATTTCAAGTGTCTGTCACAATGTGTTATGCCTTTGCGTGAGTACTGGATTACAGCCCAGTGAGATGCAGAGGGAGCAACAGGGTATCACATCACAACTAAACACGGCAGAATGTGGACAGCTCTGATTTTTATCTCTATTAGATGAGAATTAAACCTCAGATCAACATGCCAAGCAACCATTGACTTGTCTAATCTTGTTTAATTTGACTATTGTGTTTCAGGAATTATTACAGGAGAAGTGATGCACTGGAATTCCTTACAGACTTGGATGAAACCTGGTCTCTTTACACTGGATACCTGTTGCTTCGAGAATTTATTTAAAAATAATACTGATTACTTAAGAAGCCCCAAGTGACAAACTTTATAATGTCCTTCTTTATGTCCCTTCACCCACCCTCAAATGCATCCAACCATGTAGTTCCAGGGTTCAAACTGATACACAAAGGTGACAGAGACTTTGCAGTCAGGGGGTCGTTTACTTTGAAGTAACGAAAGGGATCAGGGATGCAAACTTTGAGCTCCATCAAGTTCGATGGATGACTAAAAATCCACTTTGTTAAAGTTCATTTTGAGGGAATATATTTATGTTTAATGACGTTTCAGGGCCTTTTTTTTTACATTTTTTAAATGACATCACATAATGTATTTATTTTTAGTGACTTTAACTTTTTTAAAGCTTCCTCTCAATCAGACTGTTAAAAAAAGAATGGACAACATCACAGCCCAAACAAAAGCCAAAACATCTGGCGCTCCCCCTACTGACTGGCTGCAGTAAATCTTATAAGCTCCGCCTCCTCCATGTTGACAGATGGAACATGGTCAAACTATTAAATATTCAAAATATATGCCAAATACATTTCCTCAAACATGGTTTCTGTCACAATTTGTCCTTTTGGTACTGATTTATGCCGGATTAACTTTTCTGACTCCTTTGACAAATGCAGTGAGAGGTAACATAACAAACACTAACACAAGAGTCATTGAACATTACATAACTGTGAGTGCCAGCTTCAAACCACACAAGAATCTGTTCTAGTGTAGACTGCACCGACCTGAGTTTTTAAAAATGTTTTATCAGTAAGTTAAATGTGTGAAAGGGTTAGCTGAGGGGGTTGGACATCAATACCCCACCAGCTGATCTCTACTGCAAAGACTGGCTGCATATGTCACCCGCACAATATGTCAGCCCCCCGTTGTTGGGGGTATTTTGGCTTCATTTGTCCACCTTAATATACAGTAAATGTTTGTAAAGCAGTTTATAACTGTGTTCTTCAAGATGCCATAGAAATAAAGTTTATTTTATTTCTAGAAACAATACAGAACAACCACAGTTGTGAGGTCATAAAGACACATCTCTGACACACTGCACTTAAAAATACTGTGTCAATGAGACTATGCACTGTGCGTGGATTCAAAAGAGTCTGACTGACCTCACCAACATAGCACAGATGCTTATATTAGAAAGACCACCTCTGACCTTGCCCATTGTTGCCATGGTTCCTCAGCTTCCCCTGCCCTGCCCTGTGGTTGAACAGGGAGGAGAAAGGCGAGGCTTTGAGCAAATGGGGAAGGAGGAGGGGATTCAGGGAGAGCGAATGCGGATGCATAACCACAACAGGTGGTGTTGATTTAAGGGAGTTCTGCCTTTCCATGCGCTGGAACGGAACCCAATACATGACAAAGGCAGATCAAAGTGTGTTTCACCGTGCTGCGCGAAAATCCTCGACAAACCATTCTGCTCTCTCCCATGAGCACTGTTTCTCTTTCTCACTCTCCAGAGAGGAGATTTCAACCCCGCTCTCTCTAAAAGAGAACCGCTCACAGATGCTCTGCGGCAACAGTAAGAACACAAACTGTCATTTCCTTTAACAGCTTATTGTAGACTGATTAGAACAAGGCTTTTCACTGTTCTGCTAATAGTTTCTTTCTTGTACTTGAGAGTTCCTCAGAGTGCAAGGAGGGCAGATGTAAAGTGAGGAAAATGTCATACAGGATTATAATTCCACCCGTAGGGGACAACATGATATTCTACAAATGAGGCTACACACCAGAGCCTGTGAGTGCACATAAACATATACAAACTCTCACTGGGCACTTCAATGTAGTATCTGGATGTGGGCCAAATTTCATCTCCCTGAGGCTCTTATACAATCCACACCATGTCAGTTTCAATTGCCAACTGCCAAGTGCATGCACACACATACACGCTGACATATAGAGACATAAACACACACACACACACACACACACACGCACACACACACATCAGTAAAAAATCACTGCTCTGTACTCACATAGAGTCCTGTATGCCTGTCACCAAAGAAGGGGAAAGCAACAGAGATCTCCAGCAGCCTGGAGCCTCCGTCGTCCTGAGCAATGGTCTGGGAGTCCCCCTCGTCCTGGCCAAAGGGGTAGAAGTCCTCCAGGGGCACAGCGGGTTCCACCCCAGGCAGCAGGTCCAGGGAGAGCAGGGTGCAGAAGCAGGACAGCAGGACTCGCAGCACCAACACCATGGCCTCAGCCAGCCAGGGATGGAGCTGACAGCAGGCACTGCGGATGGGGAGGGAGGAGCACACACACCTGAGGCAACAAGAGCAGAGCAGAACAAGACAAGACCGTACGTTCCTCCTCTCAACCACAGCGGTGTGAATCCTCCCCTGACTCTGCACTCTGGCTCTGCCTCTTTCTCTCCTCACTCACTTGTCCTTCAGGAGTGAACTGGGCTTCTTGTGTGAGACAGGGGAATACTGTAGATTCCTTGCATTCTGCTTGCTGCTGGGTACTGCATGAGAGCTACACTCCCGTCTCACTGAAATGAAACGAGGGAAGGAATGAAAGAGGGGGAGCAGCGTGATTCAGCTGAGATGTTTTTTTTTTTTTTTTTTTAACAATCCAGCGATTTGGTCCCTGATGGTCAGCTTAGAAATATCCTCAATAAAAGCTCTATTCTGCCTGCCAAAGGAGTTCTTTCAGTTTTGGCCCCACCTCCCCCACAGGGATTCACTACCTTGCATAATTAGCTGCTTCCAGCCAATAGCTGTAAAGAGGCCGGTAACTGGATAACCACTGGGCGGAACTATGATAATCAAAGGGCTGCTTTAAAGAAACTCTGACAAGATTTTCCCTTTTCAGTGAAACTCCTACTATGTACAGTTGAGGCATGCAAGGTTACACAGTGAGAAGACATGCATGAGCACTGTTGTCAGAATATGACACCATTTACAGTAAGCATGGAGCTGAAATGTAAGAAAGGTTTTCGATTGATTTTAAAGATACTTACACAGTAGATGCATGTGTGGCTGGATACACATTAGCACAGGACGGTAAAACATATTTCTGGGTTTTATAAGCCACAAAGAAATAAAAAGACCACATGTTAACTTGAGATTTTAGGTCTGGTAATCTTTGGTCCCCACAGACTTCAAGGCTGCAAACATCTGAAAGAAAACACTGAAGACAGCTCAGGCAACAGAGAGCGAAGGTCATTCTCTCACCCACAACACTAAATCCACAAAGGCTTTTAATGGTGTGAACCAAACGCCAGAACTTGCATGCCATGAAAGGGCTGTGCTGTCCTTTGCAAAGATCACAGGAGACCTTTTTTTCCATAACAAAGATGTGTTTCCAGAAGAAACATCATTAATAAACTTAATTGTCAAAGACAACTGTATGATCGTGCTCTGATACACCCAGTTTATTAAAAACAATCACAGCTTTAACAAATCAAATCCAAGACATAATAAAATTAATTAGCTCATTATAAAAGTTGTTTATGGCACCATAAAAAAAAATAATAAATCACATTACAAAGGAAATCTGTGAACCATTATTGTAAATATTTGGATACATATTCTCATTAGGACAAACAAACAGTGATTATGACAGAAAGAAATTGGTAAATGATCAGTTTGACAAATTTATAATTATAAGATTAGAATAAAGCACCAACCAAGGAAACCATTCATCATATTGTTCCGCTAAAAAATGACGCAGCATAAACAGACTTAGACAGCCAGAGGAAATCCTTAAAACAATTTGGCACATCTAGTCTACTTATACACAAAACACTCATTGTTTGTTGTTGTTGAGTTTTCCTGCAGATTAATTTAATCCGGCGTGCACATGTGCACGGGTGGGAGCAGACGCCTCAGGAGTGTGTTTGTGCAAACGTAGCTTGTAACTTAATGTTGTTGGGAAGCTGCCAGAGGAGCAGTGAATGAGGCAGACAGAGGTGCTACATACTTCACTGCAGGGTCTCTGCTTCTAAACACCAGGCTGTAGCATCTGATTGAAATAAGTCCGCCGTCTGCTTGTCTCCTGATCCAACTGCTCCTTCAGCGTCAGCAACTTTGAAAAAACCAGGGATAAGAAAATGACTTCAAAGACAGAAAGACAAATATATAATACATATGAATTTGTAGTTTAGAAGAAAAACTTTCCAAATTAATTCCCAACAGTTAGAATAAAATACCTGTTCCTCCAGGCATCTGACCCTCTGGCGATGAGCCCTCTCTCTGGTCTCTAAAGCCTGCTCAGCTTGAAGCTGACTGTCTCTCAGACGCTCTGTCTCTGAATCGAGCTCCTGGTGATGGCGGGCAGTCACCTCAAGAAGGCGCTGTGCATGAGAGTGCTCAAACTGGGAGATTTGGGCCTGAAGACAGTTTATGTAAGTTTAAATAATTAAGCAAGTATAAAAGTCAGGATTTTTATTTTAGTCTTTTTCTGTTGCCACAGTCTGTTTTTTTTTTAAAGAAGGGGGACTCAGAAGCTCTTTGACCCTGGGCCTGGGTACACTGACCCCTGGCTCATCCAGTTTTCAAACAAAAAAATACATTTAGGTGCATGGTAGAAAACAAAACTAGTTCAGAATCATGACTAACATGTTCTGTTGATTTAATGTAACAGGGCAGTGCAGTGAGAACTGGCTAAGAATCATAGAAATGATTGCATGAACCTCCTGCAATCACTGAAGGCAACAACACAGTCAGTGAAGTCAGAGAGGGTCTAAAAACAGAAAAATACCTCAATAAAAAATAAGCTACAGGAATGTTTGGCCTTACTGGTTTGAAACGTGTATATTCCCTATGAAACTGAAGTGAGAGATTATCTGCCGTGTCTTATATCCAACTGAAACAGGATAGAACCAATCACAAGATAGAAGGTGGGACAAAGCGTTGAGATGAATGTGATTGGATTGTTAGCTTTGACAAAGCTTTCTAAGTGGTTGAAAAATTAGTTAAGGTTGAGTCATCAGACATTTGAAATGTTTTACAGGAAGAGAAAATAAGGTTATTTGGATGTAAAATACTTAATTAATGTTTAATTGAATTATATTTGAACATTTAACACAACAGCGCTGGATTTAAACCGGTCAGTTTTATTTTTTATTTCATCTGGACTTTGAGACATTATACACAGTTAAAAAACATACTTTTGTAAAAAAAAAATATATATATATAAATATTTGTCTAATGATGTCATCTCTCAATCAATGGCTGTCTGATGCATCTTTATGTAGTGTTTGATATTTTAAGTTTTTGCAACTAGTTTTACATTTTTCTTCAGTATGAACTTATTGAATGATAATTCATTGAGTTACTCTTGCGCTTTGGTTTGAGTTTTAGAATCACATGTAACATATCTCCAATTCAACTAACAAAAACTAAAACTAAATTATTTTCTGCACACAAATATGAAATTTACAGGCCAGAGTGTAAACTAATTCATGAAATTTGCAACATTGGTGCTTCGAAAAATCGGCATTACGTCATCCATACTATCCCCTGTATACTGAATCTTTCTTATGTTTCATTTTATGACAAAAAAAAAAAAATGTGAGTATTAAGTGCCTGTATGAATCCTGATCCAGAGCTCTTTGTGGGTGCTGGATGTGTTTTTCAAATGTAAATCTACATTCATCTGCACATATAAATAGGTTGACTTATTAACATGTCACTTGAATGGCTTTGAAAAATAGCAGTTCATTGTTCTGTAAGCTCAAGTATAGTATTAAGGTATTTCAAAAGTGACAGCTATCACCATTTGTTCATTTAAATGTTTGATTTGAATTTGCCTATTTCTAATAATTCCTCCTGTCCAGCCGTGTGACCCCAGCCCAGTCCCCGTCCATATTCCAGCAGCCTCTCACCTGCACAGTCTGCACCTCTTCATGTTTTTCAGTCAGCTGCTGCTCCAGACTTCGGACCCTCTGTCCCAACAGCTCCTTCTCCCTGGCTGCTGAGGCCTCCCCCTCCTCCCTCCTCAGCCTCTCCATCTCCACCTGACAACAACACGAGGGTGACATAATGTGAACGACTTTACCATGATCGTTCTGCACTCATGTGCCTTCCTGTAATGCGTGTAGCAGAAGCCAAGCACAGAGCCCCGTGGTTCCCACAGTCCACCTACATGTTTCCATCTCTTTGAGATCACCCTGTCCAATGTGTGACAAAGGAGATGAATATTAGGGAAATGAAAACAAACTATATCACAAAAATAAATGAATAATAAATCTGATCTCCTCCTACAGTGATTATTGTAACCACAGATTTATATGCCTTAATGCTCGGGCGGCTGCACGTCTTGGTCCAGAATGGGACAGGAAGGCTTCTGACCAGCACTAAACACATATTACTTCAGTCCTGGCTTCTATATATACGTGGGCTTCCAGCAGTTTCAGAACTGACTTTAAGATGATTTTAATTATATTTTAAAGCCCTTTGTGGTTTGGCTCTCTTCTGTATTTCAAACCTTTTACCTCAGCACCAATACTTTTCAGGTTTCCTTACCAAAAGCTGTTTAATGTTCTGGGGTCCAATAGAGTGGGGGTTATGTCTTATGGTTTAGGCTGCTTCTCATTGTAGTATCAGAGCAGATCAATCTATGCTATACAAAAATACTTTTGATTATATATTATTTTAATGATAGATATCTATTGCACTAATATTTAATGTCACTGCTAAGCCCCTCAACTTTGTGTAAGTGCAAACGTAACATGATGTTGGGTTCTTGAATTTAATTTATTTTACTTAAATCGATGTATTTAAAAGAGCCTGATCAATCTACCCCGCCCCCCATCATCAACCGAAATGAGCTTAACAGACACATATTTGGAAATTAGTAATGTTGTATTTGTCCGATGAATGCAGATATGACGACTTTTCTACACAGAACATAAACTGCAGAAAACAATGCTTAGAATGATGTGCCGTCATATAGTTTCTCCAGCAAAGCACGCTCCAACTCCAAAAGGTTTTTATACTTTTTGCAGCACATGTAGCAGAGCATCACATCTGAAAAGTGGTCATCAATTGAACTCGTTCACGATATATAGTCCATCATCTTGTAAGCATTCTTTTCATCCCCCCCAAAGGTTTCTTTTTGAGCTTTTTATGCCTTTATTTTAAAAAGGACAGTGATAGAGTCAGAAATCGTCGAGAGAGAGAGAGAGAGAGAGAGGAAGAGAGAGAGAGAGATAGAGAGAGGGGAATGACATGCGGGAAATGGGCCACAGGTCAGATATGAACCCAGGTCGCCATGTTGGAGAACTATGCCTCAGTACATGGGGTGTAAGCGCTAGGCTACTGGTGGCCCTGGTCTATCATCTTGTGTTCCAATAAGACTCAGTCATGTGGCCATGTATGATCCTGTGCTTCCTGTTTTACAGCCTCATTGTATGATATTTTGTATCCTGTATTGTTCTGTCTTGTTTACTGTTGAGTTTGTTTTGTGCTGTCTCTTGTGTATTTGTTGATTTTTTATGTATTGTAAAAGCTCACAGAGGGACAGGCGCTGGAAATAAGCTCAAGATATAAGAGCTGTAGTGTTTGGCATTTGTAGTGTTTGGCATTGGTTCACTTGCTTCATAAATGTACCTATACCATTGAACATTAAATAAATACAATTTCCAAATAATGGTGAATCAGATGGGTCAGCTCACCTTCTCCAGTGTCTTTCTGAGTGCTGACCTGTCTTTACCAAGTCGTGTCAGCACCCTCTCCATCTCTGCTCTCTCACTTTGCAGCTTTTGCAAAGACTTCTGGAGATTGGTGACTTTGTCCTGAAGTTCCTCCTTCTCTTGCTGAGAGCTCATCTGGGCCTGCACTTCAACTTCCTGCTGTTGTTTCAGGCTCTGAGACATCAACATGTACGTATATATCAAAATGGAGTTTTAACCTTTGCACCTTTATTTGCACTTTCACCACAGTGTGACTCACCTCCTTCAGTGTCCTGTTATGTTTCTCCAGCTCACAGTATTTAAACTCACAGTCCTCTTGGGCTCTTTGAAGGTTCTGGGTCTGCTCTGTGAGTTTGTGGCCCAGCCTCTTACTCTCAGAGAGAGCATCTCGTGTTTTATCCAGGCGGTCCTTTGGGCAAACACATGTTGATATACATACACTACGCAGTGAGCAACTCAGCTTTGTCAAAACACAGTATAGCACTACAACTGACCCTACAGTTCTCACCTTCCTTTATATCCTGTCTTTTTTTTTACAGTTCTTGACACACCGTTGAATGGTGCAAGCAAGAGATTGGAATTTTTCCTCACTTTTTATGGCAATGACCTGACAGCTTTTGAGAAAATCAAGAGATTTATACCAAGCAGGTTATGTTTTTGTTTGCTCAGTATCTTTTAAGTGCAGTCCCAAACTAAGACCGGAAAGCTCTCCTGAGTAGCTCTTGGAGAATTAATGAGGTTGCCCGAGAATTTTATTGCTCAGTCTTTGAGGTCCTCCAGGAAAACCACAGCAGCAAATGTAAATAGAAAATGCTCAGTCTGGAACTGTGAATGTTACTAGCTGCATGGTAAATCAAAGCAAAGGCACTGAAAATGTGGCTATTCATCTCATTTGAAGTTTCAATCAAACACCCTTATTCTAAGAAGAAAAAAAGCTTACAGTATGAAAAACACAGTGCACATGATTTGTTTTAGGTTCAGGTGAAGGACTGTTTTTCTTGGAATGAATTTCTACCTGTAGCATTACATTTAACTACAACATGTAACTTTAATCCTGTTGATTTATCTTGTGTTAAGGATGAGTAGGTGATATTCTGTACCTGCAGCATTCTTCGGTCCTGCTCGCTGGCAGTCAGAGCTCTCTGTAGCTGTGTGATCTGCTCCTGTAGAGCTTCGTTGCTGCTCATGTTTTCGCTGAAAGTGTTAGACAACTTGTGGATCTGTTCTCTCAGCTGGCTCTCGTGCTGCTCAGCTTGAGCCAGAGACGTGGCTAACCTCTCCTCGCTGACCCTTAGAGCTGCACACCGGTCCTCGCTCTCACCCAGCTTCCTCCTCAGCTCTGTGAGTCTGTCCTGCAGCGCCCCTGATTCTGCATCCAGCTCTGCTGCCCTGAGCTGGGCTCTCTGGAGCTCACCTTCAAGTGTGCGCTGGGACAGCTCCAGGTGGCTCGCCCTGCTTTCTGCTGCTTCTAGAGACTCCTTTAGCTTCCGTTGTTCTTCATGTGCACGAGATTCTGAGCCCTGCAGGAGCTCCAACTTGTCCTGTGGAATAGTAGAAGTTTTGTAAAAATTATATATGCTGTGAGAATTTATACCTGTCCTTTTACTCTTTACTTACCTGCAGTGCCCTGGACTCAGCCTCAGCAGCGTGCAGACTTATCTTTAATTTTGCCACCTCCTCCTCAACTTTTCTCTTTTCCCCCTTTGTACGATGTACGGCCTCTTCATGTATAGACATGGATGTGTGCACTTTGTGCAACTGTTCTACCATCTCTCTTTTTTCTGAAAGAATATGGTAAATGTGCTTAAATAGAAAACATAATTATTATCTGATAATCTCAGTGTTTGTGGGATCAGTTGGTTTCCTTACCCTGCTCTGATTTCTTCAAGGACTTCTGTAGTTGTAGCAGCTGGGTGGCTGACAAATCATGGCCTGCTTGGAGCTCGGTCACCTGCTGACTTAAACTAATTACCTGAGTCTTGGCTTCATCCTAAGGAAGAACATGAATTTAGTAGAAATTATTGTAGAACGTATATCAGATTGTTGACCTGGATCAGATCAATAATCAGCTCAGAGTTTGATATTACTAGCTGGTTGTAAAAAAGCAATAATGAGGGAATGGCTGAGTAACGAGTCTGCAACAACCATGAAACTAAAAGACACAGTTTAGAACATTTAAAGTATGGATCCCCAGAGTTTTTCTTCTAGGAATGCGTAGAAAAAATGAAAAAAAGATATGAAAAAAGATTTAAATACATATTTGAAACCAAATCAGTTTCTGGTAACACTTTATAATAACCATCATCTCTGTAATGTTTATAGATGTTTTATAAACCATCTCTTAAAGGTTTACAAATCATTTGTTAATCATTAACAAACACTTTATATCGTGTATAAAATGTTATAATGTGTGCGTCAATAAACTGTGAACACAACATACATGATTGCATGAAAGATAGTTAGCAAACATTAATAACTAGCATTTCATTGTTTGTTAACAGTAAATAACTATTAACTAACGGTTAATTAACTATCTATTTACACTTTATAAATGATGGTTATTATGAAGTATTACGTAGTATGTAAATGACGCTATTTGTCCTTCAAACCTTTATTTCAGTTTCTTCTTCACAACAGCAAGGACTTTGGTTTTGAAAAAGTGGAGGACCCATGCCTAGCTCAAAAGTACTCTGGCTTTGCACAAATTAGCATCATGGATCAAAAGGAACTCTAAGATTTTACTTCCCTGAAACCCAGCTTCTTTTGATTCGCATTGTATTCCAATTTGAAGATGTCTAGCCCCCCCCACTTCCTACAACAAACCTGTCTTGTTTTGTGAAATAAAGAATAGAGTTTGAGGTGTGTGACCTTGAGCCCTTTATCTAACAGTAAAAGAAGTTCAAACGTACCCTTTCTCTTTGCGTGTCCCTGATCTCCTGCTGAAATTCCCGTAGAGCTGCGTGCACTGACTCCAAGTTTATCTCTTCATCTACACCACGTGATAAAGAGAACACAGATCTGTCTGTTGTAGCATGCACTTTCAGCAAAATAATTGCATTCTACCAGAACATTCTGAAAATGCATGTGCATACCTTTTGCTTGCAGGTAGTTTCTCCATGAAGAGGGAGACCTTCTATGGGAGCTGGGTGTGCCTGAAAGCCTCGAATGGCTGGTGTAAACAGTGCGACGCAGAGTTGAATATAACCCCGATAACTTGAGCTCAAGCTCCCTGCGCTTGGTATCTTCGAGACCTAGCTGCTCTTCCAGACCTTGGATCCTCCTTTCAGCGAGTCCCGCCTGAACAGAGAGTTCCTTCAGCTGGATCTGGGCTTCCTCCAGTGCTTCCTCCAGCTGAGCGGTGGTTTGACTGTGCCTCTGGTCACACTGCTGATGATAGGCTTCTTTTTCCTGAAGCAGATCTTGGTTCTGAAGCTCCGATTTCTCCAGCTCCAGCACACGGCGCTGCAGTCCTGCAACCTACGCAAACATGAAAACCAGTCACAAGACTTACCATATTATTTTTCATGAGTCATGAAATTTGTTCAACAGGCTGAATATAGCAAAACACTGATTAACAACACTGCAGTGTAAATCCTGAAGAACAATATCCTGAGCATTATCTAGCCACCAACACTTTACCCAGAAAATAACATCATGGTTTCTGTAAATGGGTGCATTTCATAATGCAGAGCGGAATCTTAACTTTATTATGCTGTTGCTATTAATTCAAGACAGCAGCTCACTGTTACAGGAGTATATGCAGTGTGTTAGGGTTCATATTCTCTCATGAGTACAGCAGGTATTCCTCAAGTATGTATGCAAAAGTGGAATGTTTGCTCGAGCATGTTGTTAACAGACTGATTCCCGGAGGCCTTCTACCTCATTCAGTGCTGCGTCTCTGCCAGCCTCGCACTCCAGCACTCTCTGCTTCAGAGTGAACGCTTCACACCGCGCCTCCTCCTCCTTCTGCTCCTCCTGACACACCCGGGCCTGCAGCTCTCGCAGCTCCTGTTTCTGCCGGCTGTTCTCACCTTCAAGTACCTTTACCTGCTCGTTTTAAACACAGCACACACTTCTTGAAGATAACCATTTCTTAAAAAAAAAAAAAAAAGAATAGGTTAGAAATGAGTAAACTCAGTGATCTTATTACCTGTCTGCGCAGCTCCTGCAGTTCTCTGCGAGCCTGCAGGCGGGACTTCTCAAGCTCTCTCATGCTACTACGCAGCGTGGTTGCCTCCTGGTGCAACGAGGATTTGCAGTCTTCCAAGACAGCTACTTTCTGCTCTCTCTCCTCTACAGCTCGTCTTAAGCTAGCAAAGACATATTTTAAGTTAAAATAACTGAAAACAATACATAACCGTTAGATGATTACAGAAGAGAACTGCAGACAGAGTGACTAATGTACCTGCTGTTGTCACTCTCCGCTCTTTTGATAAAAACTCTCAGCTCCTGGTTGGAGGCTTGGATCGCCTCCTTCTCCCTGGTCTCATCCCCCAAGAGTCTTCTCAGGTCGAGGGCTTCTTTCCGTTGCCTATCCCTCTGTTGTGCACACTCCTGGAGCTCTCTGTGAGCTTCAATCAGCTCAGTTTTCACTTTGATGAGTGTATCCTCTGCCTCTTGCAGCTGGTGACGAAGGTCCTCTAACTTCATGTCCAGATTGTGGTAATTGAAAATCATAAAAATGTAAATAATTATGACTCAGGAGCTCTTTGTAGATCAACAGTTTACCTCTTTTTCATGAGCTGAATATAAAAGTGGCAACACTTTACAAAAGGGTAAAAAATAAAAGACTTAATGTTTAGCTATTGCCTGACTCATAATGATTCAGTGGTGAATAAGGGATTCTTGTTAAACAAACGATCACATCACTAGGACTTACTGCGGTAACTTAACACTTATTAGATCATCCGTTAAGGAATGTTGATGAACAGTAACTTCACAAATTAACAGATACGCAACAAAATCAGTCGGCAACATTCCAGCAACATAAAAGTGTAACTGAACCCCTTGTGTTTGCTCCTCTCTGAAAGCACCTTTGAGGTTTTATATCAAACTGGTTGTCAGATGTAAACATGTACTGAATAAATAAAGTAACATCATTAAACTTGTTACATGAACATAAGGAGATTGGTACGTTCAAGTATGGTGTTAAGTAACTGTGAATTATGACTTCACCAGCTTTGAATGGTTGGCAACAGACGTTCATGCTACACTCTGCATTAATGTATCCATTAAATCATCATGAGTCATGTGAGATTAAAGAATCATCACAGTATATTATTTTTGCCTTTACTGTAAAGTGATTCCATATATCTGACATCCATGAATACATTTTTTTCTTGTTCCTGGTTTCGTTAAAGTGTACAATGTGAAATTGTCACGATTTACTCTTGTTTAGTTTGTTCCTTGTTGTTGTTGTTGTTTAGTTGTGATTTCCTGTTTTATTTTGTCCTTTGTATCCTCGTGTATCTCTGTGTCCTGAGTATCTTTCTGTTGATATTCTATAGTTGTAGTTTTCAGTGTTTCCTGTTTTATTTTGTAGTCTTTTCCCCCTGTGTATCGTGTCTAGTGTTTCTTTGTGATTGTGACTGCCCTGATGTCTTCACCTGTGTCACTAGTCTCACCTGTGTCTGATTACCCCAGTGTCTGTTAAGTCTCAGGGTTCCTTCCCTTCTGTGTCAGGCGGTACATCTTTCTACCTGTGCTCCAAGTGATTTGCTCTTTATTAGTCTTTGTGTTTTTGATCCTCTCTGTTCAGATTTTTTAGTTGGACGTCTAATGGACTTTGTTTCTTGGCAATTGCAAGCTTTTGTTTTTTATAAATTAGTTTTAGTTTCTGCATGTGGGTCCTCCCCGTTGTTTTATTACTCAATGTGACGGCTATATATTCCAATTGAATATAAAGATTTTAGTTTACTAAATCAAGAATAAATAAGATAAGAAACTATTTAAAATAAGCATCCAACTGTATTTCAATTTCCAGTGTAAATTAAATGAAATGACTTACATAAAAAAGTAGTTCACTGACTTTAAAAAAATGTGTGTTTGTCTGTTACCTACAGGTCGTCAAAAACTAAAACACATGTTTTGCATGAAATAATCAAATTGTAAAATCCTTTAGTATACTGTAAGGCTGATTTTGGATCAGATAACACATTCGAGCATCATTGTTTGAAAGCTTATCCTCAACGTTCCCTATGTTAAGTGCAACATGTACATTCTTAAGATACTGTATGACCTATATTCAGTTTTATGGTAACCTGTTGTGTATAGGGGGAGAAACAGGGAGGACAGAGCTTATCTGGGCACGGATAAGAGCCAGTTGGGCCTGCAGCCAGGTGCTGTCTCTCCCCATCTCCTTACTGCAGCTCAGAAGTGTAAAGAATCCACGGAGAGCAACTTGACAAACAGCAGCTCCTGCCCCCCCAGGAAGTATCAAGGAAAGAGGGTGAGCGAAGCGGAAGATGAGGAGGAGTGTTATGTTCAAAGGCCACACAAGATGGTACTTTCTCATAAACTCTAATGTGGGAAAAAACAAGCTCGTGCTGATCTGGCCAATTATACTTTATTTTATCTGATTTATTAGAGGGGGGTGTTGGAGGAGAAGGGCTGAGAACATGAGGGCAGCAGTGTTGCATTATATGGATGGGAGATGGGGACCTGGAGTCCCAGCGGAGCCAGCCTTTCGCTGCTGCAAGGGAGAAAATAAACACTCCCCCACTGGCTTATTTACACAAGGGGTTAACTCAAACTTTGATTTCATATTATGGTACCAGGGACCGTATCCCCCCTGTTCCCTTCTTCTAGCTCTCTTCCACTTGCTTTCTTCCTCTCCAATGCTCTCTAGCTCTCTGTCACACACTCTCACTCCTCCTCTGTCACAGCCTGACATGAGAATCCTTGGATGGGATAAGTAAAAAAAACAATCAAACAAGGAAACGAGCAGGGGTAGCGGCCAAATATGACAGCGTCGTTGAAGCTTGACTTGATATATGATAGGGAGGGCTCTCCAAACCTCAAAAGTCTTCTGCTCTGGCTCCACACAACCTCATTCACTATATTCTGACAAGACTAAAGAGACAGAGGGAAGACAGGATGATCCTCATTTTTGCTTTTTTTTTGTGGAAACCGATAAGTCCCATACAGATAAACAATCCCCCCTTTCAAGGAAACCAAGCTTTTAAATCAAGGCATGGTGAGGCCCTTTACTACTCTGCTGTAACATCGTAATGAGGTGACTGTGAGCTTGTTGTTTCACTAAAACGCCCAGCGACCCAGTGCCTGGAATTCTGACCTCAAGCAACCTCAAGAGATGAGATTTACGGCTTTCGTTTGGCTCAGAGAGGTTTGTCACTGGCCAGAAATTATAGTCTCTAATTGTGCTTTTATGTTTATATTAAGGTCAGTGAAACTAAATTATCCTTCAGGGAACTTGACAGGATGAAGGCACAGAGATTGAGTGCTGGACACCAGCTCGTCTTGGAGGATTTGGCTCTGCACACCTGATGGCACCCTGATGCTAGTTGAGCTCTGTGGCATCAGCCAATGTCAACACCAGCCAATGGTAGATGGCTCTCCCTCACACTGGTACTAATTAGTGCAAACTCCAACTCACTCAAGAGTCATATCCCTGCTCTCCCATCCAGTGCCAATCCAAACAATCTGTCTTTTCCTATACATGTCAGAAGAGCACGATTGGGTACCTGTGACTATGTCAGTGAATGCAAGGACCAAAACAATCATTTACAGGCCCTGAAAACAAAAACAAAACATTGCACTGGAAAGTCATTCTTCTTTGCTCCTCCAACATGGTAGCCTTCATAACAAGTCAACAAGTTTCTCTGTACGACCACCAGAGATGGTTCAGATGGATGTATTACATGGATTTTTTTAAGGCTGCATTTTTATTTTGTGACGACAGATAAATATCTTCTACAAATCATCGTCTCTGACACTTTAACAGACAAAGCAAACCCAGAGGGGCTATGAACCAAGCTGCTCCCAACGTTAGCTTAGCTTGCTTCGAGTGGTTTCAAACCTAGTTAGCTCAGGATTCCTTCAGTGTTCATCGCTTAAGAGGTTTTTAATGTGAGACACATAGTATGCAAAGATCTCCTCTTCTGAAAAAGAAATGAGCCCAGTCATTAAAAACAGTAAAGAAACACTGTATAATGCACTGAATAATCAGTGCCTGTCCTGTTCTCAATTTCATCTTTTTGTTAATTCAAAGATTTCATTTTAATGTTTCTTGTTAAACTGGATAGTAAAAGACAGATCTATGGCTTCATTATCTGTATAACTTTTGAATTTTTTTAAAGGAATAAATCTAAATCAGGCCAAACAACAATAATAATGTCATAACACATCCATTTGTACTGTTTTTTATTTTAAGTTTGTACTGGTGCTGTATGAGTACTTATTATTTGCAAATTGAGGTTTTTGAAATCGACGAACACGGTGCAGAACATTTTCCTCCTGATGTCTTTGAATGACAAGCATAACGGTCAAAAGGAAGTCAGAAGAATCTGGTGAAGTTTAAAGTTACCTCCTGTTGTGTATGTTCTCTCTGTTGGTTCAAATCTCTGACCTGCTCAGATAGACTCTTTTTGGTATCCTGGTGGGAGCTCAAAGACTCTTCGAACTGAGTCCGGAGGCTTTGCAGCTCTGACTGAAGGACAGACATGGTGTCCTAGAACAAGGAGGTACACATGTAGTAAATCTGAGTGATGTGCAAAGATTTTTTTTAAAAAGAAGAAAAGTAACCATCTATTGTAGCCTTGTTTTATCTTACCTTATCCTGCTCCTGTTTACTAAGGGCCTCCCTCTTCATCCGCTCATGCTCCATGCCTTCATTGATATGATCCTGCTGCAGGGCTGCTAGTTTCTCTGTGAGGGCAGCCTTCTCCGCTTCCTTCTTGGACAAAGCCTGGTCACAACAGACTTGAGGTCAGAGTTCATGAAAACTTTGACCATTGTACTTGGACACACAAAGACTAAATTACTAAGGTGAAAGCAATGAAGCGAGCATCTTGCATGAGGATGGACAAACAACTGTGAAACTGTGAATCAACATCTTGGAATTCTATGGTTTTGGAACAATTCTCTATACCTTTGGTTTCCTTAAAGTGCTACAACATTTCACAAAGCATAGATAATAAAAGAAAACTATGACCACATAGCACACCTGCTGCTTTTCACTCTCAGCATGCAGGAGGCTTTGGTTGAATTCCTGCTGCAGCCTGGTTTTCTCCTCCTGCACCTGCTGCAGCTCCCTCTGGCTGTGCACACGCAGCTCCTCACACTGTCTACGCAGCTGCTCCTCAACCTGCTCACGCTGAAGTGTCAGATCTGCAAGCTGCTGCTCCTGTCACCCACCGAAAACACAAAAAACCTCCTGATCAGTTTATAGTTGGCTAAGAAGTCAGATGTAAGGTTTTTCTGATGGCAACGTTTCTGTGGAAGTTACCATTCGCTGTTGTTCTGCTTCAAGCTGCTCTCTGTGAATTTGCTCTTTATTGTTCAGGGTTAGCAGTGAATTCCTCTCCACCTGGACCAGCCTCTCCTCCAACTTAGTATGCTCTTGTGCTGCTTGTGCCACCTGATGTTCAGCATCCAAACGAACCCGAGCGACATCACCTATACAGATGTATCACAATCACACCAAAAGTTTAGATGGGAGACCCTAAAGGATCTATTTTGAGTTTTATTTACAGGGAATATCCAGTCATGTTTTTTTTATGTGGAACAAGCTAGCTTAACACCACTTATCCGATCCATGTGTGAATGTGTGGAGTGTTGGGACCCTTGTCAGCTGAAAAATCAGCCTCAGTGATCCTGCAGCCCAGCTGTTGCAGAGCTCACAGCTGAAATATGGATCTCTAGTGGGCTGTTGGAAAGACTTCATGGTTAGGAGCCTTGGCACGGAGGACAGTGGGGTCTCTAAGGGAGGGGGCTACTCACGCGTCAAGGCCTCGTTAGCCAGGAGCAAGCTGCGCCTCTCCCCCTCCATCCTGGTGCGCTCTGCCTCCAGAGACGAGGCCAACTCCTGGCTCTCAAACAGCACTGTCTCCAGGGACTCCTTCTCGGCTCTGGAACACAGTGGTAAAGTGGTTAGAGCTCTGAAAAGAGGACCTTTGAACCGCTAGGTGTAGAAGATCATAAAATCCAATGATCCATCATGAGTATTTTCCAAATAAAACCATGTTACTTAAAGACTCTTGTTACATGTGACTGGCTGTGCTTTAGAGAGTCAAATTTGCTTCGAGGGTCAAAACAACGTTAAACACACGTTTGCAGTTGGTCTGACTTCAATAAACACACAAAGACACACTCACTGTTTTTAATGGTGCTTTTAGGGGGACCCTATTGACTTGAACATATTCCTTACACCCTTAATCAAACCATAACCGTTCCAGATACACACCAAACCCCAATCTAGTTCTTTAACCGATAAAGACAGATACAATCTACTGTAACTTGTGCAAAACCTGAAATTGAGTCATCATAATTAAAAGAAGAACAAATAAACAAACACACTCTGACCTAAGTGCAACCAGCTCTTGCGTGAGTCCACAGGCCTTTCGGTCAGCAGAGTTTAGTTTGACATCCAGAGCAGCCTTGTCTTTGGCCAGCTCCTCCCTGTCATGGGTCGCTCTCTTTAGGGCTGTGGTCTGTGTCTCAAGCTCCTTCCTGCACGCACACAGCTCCTCTGACAAACTCTGCATCTGCTTATTGACCTGAAGAATGACACACACACACCAACAAACAGTCTGAGTTATACTATTTACTTCAAGAAGACATAATACAGACTGTAGAGTTCATGCATTCAAACTATAGCATACATACATTAAACGTTACATAATGTTTGGTAATGTGTAACTGTTGGGTTGAGAATGGACCACACCACCTTTTGATGCAGCCACATTAGCTGTACTGATTCTGAATTCTGCAGACCTTACTTGTAGCGGTAATAAAACACAAATTAAAAAACTGAGAGATTCATCTTACTATAATTTAAATGCAGGGTCATGATAAATGCATCGCCTAAAGCAAAACAAGTGACTTGAAGGGTTATGATTTTTCCACTTGAGTAAATCATTTTGGCGCAGCACAGGACTTACAGTATATCTAGAAACACAAATAAAGCACAGAATAATGTGCCGTTAATGCAGAACTTTGAAAGTGACGTTTAAAAACTTCACAACAGATTATTTCATGAACTGAGGGTTTGTCCTGGGACCTTTCTTTTTAAATTCAGTTTGTATTGAATTTAGATGGTAATTTTGCAATTTAAAAAATGACTTAAATGAAGATGGCTTAGATGCTCAGAGTTTAAGAAAATAAAAACCTTATGCAGTGTTGTTTGGGACAAACAAACACCCAGTATACCCATTTCCCAGCTTGTTTGGTAAAACCAGAATTTTTTTCCAATTCAAATGATTTACTTACACAGAAGTAAAAATTGTGCTACAAAAACAAAGAGTGAGCCAAAATGAAACTGAATGGGCCAATGGGTGCAGCTCAAATCATTAACAAAGTGAAAATAAGGACTCTTCTTTGTAATTAGTGACATTTAAAGAGATGTTGATATGTGTGGCTCTTGTTTTGAAAAGCAACCCAGAATGAAAAACTAAGCTGTGAAATGAAAGGTAGTGTTGTGAACACTAATATATTAATATAGCCTTGGGGTCGTCCATACGCTCCTTCTTTTGACACCTTATGATATCTCAACTTTGCAACTCTCTGATTTCTACTCATTACGAGCAATGTTCTGCTGTATGCACCACCACAGCTGTTAGCCAGCGTTTACTAGAAAAGACAGTTAACATAAGAAATTAAGTTAATATTGATGCCAGTAATGACTAAATGCCAGTCACTATGGCGACAAGAGAATACTTCGATGAAGCAGACTACTCAGATGAGTAACTTCTGCAGATGAAGACAATCTGACAGAGAGAGGGAAAACTTCTGTGGCTGTATGTTAAATTCACTATCGAGAGCTATCTTCCCTGATAGTTGGTAACAGCGGTGCTCATCAACTGATATCCATCTGGATTATTTGGTAATGGTTTTACTTTAACTGCTTTAGAAAAGAGACCACTCCAAACAGCTAGCCTGATGCTGTCCAAGGCAAAACAGCCCATCAGCATCTCTAAAGTTCATAAATTAACACTTAATATGTTGTGTGTTTGTGTTCGTACAAAAAACCGAGGTGTTATAAAAACATGTTTGGGTTTTTAAAGGACTTTTTGGCCTGCCATGTGAAATCCTGAAGTCTCCACTGTTTGCCTGGCAACCTCCCTGTGACAACAAACCTCCACGGGTCCGGCCAAGAAATGCTTCCAGCACGTACGTTTTCCCAAAACCATAACCTGTCATGTTTACATTACTGTTTAAATGCAGATTAATCAAACAGGATAGGAAGTGTTAATTAACAAGCTTTCAAATTGTTGCGTCGAATTTCTTTAAATTTTGGAGGCTAGCTGTTTCCCCATAATCTACCAGTCCTTTATAGTACTCTAATCTTCCTGGGTGCTTGCTTCACATTCATATTAAGCATCCAGACATGAACGCAGTGTTGATATTTTCATTTTAGTCGAAGAAAGCGAACCGCACAACGCATACTTAGTTTATTTCCCAAAATGTCAAACTGTGTGAGACTACAGGAGCGCTTCTGGTACCCCTCAAACCACCGGTGCTCATGGAAGGGAAAACTTAGAAAAAGTGGAGGAAAACTTCGGTAAAAACAACCAAAAAACATCGGTATAAATAATCCAGCTCCAGGCACTCAGGATGGTTGGAAAAATATAAAAGGCCTTTAATTCATTGGGATACAAACAATGAAAAACACCAACGTGTATCGGCCTGGACCTGGATTATTTATACCGATGTTTATGGTCTTAAGTTTTCCTCCACTTTTCTGTTTCTTTCTTAGTTGAACTTGTCGCAAGAATCAAATAATAAGAAATCTCTATTTTGAAGGAAAAAATCTGTAGCATCTAAATGGGTTTCCCTGTTATACTTTGCATTCGTTGCAGACAAACTTCAACACAATGGTTGAGTCTACTATGAGTGGCGACTTCGAAGAATTCCCTGCAACTGATTTGAAAAGCAACAATGGCAGTAATTTAATTTCTAACCAAAGCAAAATGAACTAACACAAATTAAATATTCGCACATGATGTCTTCCAGCCTCTCCTTAGGTAAATATTCAAGAGGATGAATAACATCACTGTGGTGCCCAATAAGATGGATAACATTAGCTTGGTGCAAAGGATGGCCAATCCAGGGCCTGTTTTAAACACAGTCATTTATTTTTACAGATAAGCTATCGAAAAATGTTTGGATGGAATTTGTCAAATTGTTTAGGTTTGTTTTATTTTAGCTGGGATCAACATGGATATCCCAGTTTCACATTCAGAACAGATAACAAAACAGAAGAGGATTCTTGTCATTCTTTGGAGAAGCAGGGATCTGCTGAGGGAAGAGTGGGAATACTTTAGGTGTTAATTTATTGCTTCTCTGCTAACCCCACTGGATATTATATGTCTATCTATTTATCTTTTCCAGTTCACATTTGTTCACGAGGATCCCTTGTTTGTTATCTCCCAAGTTACCCATAAAACACAGAGTGGGGGCTCAGCCTGCCTCCATATCCCATTTGAGAGAAATAACCATGGCAGCTGTGTCCAGTACCTCCAATACATTTTAATGTGACAACAAGCTCTGTGAACCTGCTGAAAGCTATTAATAATAACATGCTTCTCCCAGGTGATGAGATATGGGAGGGTGGAGGCTGAAGTGTGTGAAATGGTCAGGGGCCTCTGACCTGGGAGTGCTGCTCCAGTGCCTGAGCGTTCTCCCTCCGCAGCAGGCTCAACTCTGCTTCGAGCTTCTGGCAGAGATCTTGCAAATGGCCGTGGGAGCTCTCCAGGGCCTGTTTCTCTGCGAGCAGATTCATCATCTCCTGCTGGAGCCGTGCTGTCTCCTCCCTGGCTGCTGCCCGCTCCACTTCAGCTTCCCGTCTACGTTCACCAAGCTCTGCCTTCTCACCGTCAGCCTGTGAATTAAGCAAAAAATACATCACTTTTGTTCAACCCTGGCTTTTAACGGTGTTACAGGACAAACGAATGGCTACTAACCTGCAAGAGAATACGACTAAGTTCCACCTTGTCTTTGGCTAAGCCTTCGCTCAGGGCAGCCATTTTGGCCAGAGAATCTTTCAGAGTAGCCTCCTGGTTCTGCAGTTTGGTGAGGGCTAACTCATGTGCAGCACTCTGGGACTCCATCTGTTGAGTGCATCACAAATATTAAGTATTAAACCGTCAGAGAGGATCTCATTATAGAAATCAGTAGAGGTCAAACTGTAAAGGCTGTTCCTGATGAACCATTTCAGACAGGTTGTTGGTTTCACGATGCCATGTGACTTTAAAATAGCCTATACTTGTCCACTAGTAACAGCTGCAGAATAAAGATCAAGTTTACCTTGGTTGAGTTTCAGCATTGACGGAGCAATTCTTAATCAGCTTTAGCAAGCTAGTGTACTTACATTGTGTCTGAAAATAGGGCTGTCAGCATTAACTAGTAAATCACGATCAATAAAGGTCTGGATTTTTTTTTTTTTCGATTAATTGCATGCTATTATGTCCCTTTGGGCACACTGTTGAGCCTGCAGAGTGTCTCCCTGTAGTCACAGTGATGGAAAAGAACAACACTGCTGCATCTTTGAACGTCTCATTTCACTTTGAAAAACCATCAGACAGCTCAGCTGACGAGTCCAAAGTGATATCCTCCTTATGACACTTCTTCATTTTTTTACCATTAACTATAGCTGTTTTCATTTAGCTTTGATCCATGACCAGTTCCTTTGTCCGTGGAAAAGTTATTTCTATAATCTTCGATCTACCAGAAGGACCTTCAAAATAAAAGCGGGGTCGAATTGAAACAGCAAATAAAGTACTCTCAGCTGAAGACTGTACAAAGATTCAAAATAAATATGTTTAAATGTAGTGATTAATCCTGATTTAATTTTAATATTTGGCTGCACTAACTGCTATTATGTCGATGTTATTAAGCTGTATGTGTCTTTTAAGGCTAATGATAAACTGTTTAGAACAATACTCAAATCCTTATCAGTGCATTAGATAACATAGCTACCATGGCTGTTAAATGTATTAGTTCCTTTTAATCAGTTGTGAAGTCTTAAAAATCTTGCTATTGGTTCTGACAGCCCTGGTCTGAAATCATTATCTGATTCACTACTGCCTGCTCACTTTATAGGGAGTTCTATGTTGGACTATTGAGTGTCTATTGGCAAATTTAAAATACACTTTCAGACACCATTGTTGTCTTACATTTCCACCGCAAATAAATCTTATCCGTTCTTTTTCTCTCAGCACGACTCATGATGGTATCCAAGTTATGACTAATGCAATAGAGTTTTAGAGAAAATGCAGAATTCCAGCGTGTGGACTCCTGCAACAGTCTGCCTTAAATTAGTGTTTCTGTCAGTCCCTTGTGCGTGTCCTTTATGAACAAGCACAAGCCTCAGTTGTTGACGATTTATCAACAGGTTAGCTAGTATATCAGGCTCTCTGGTTTTGACATCAAAGCAGTGTACCTTGCTGAGAGCCAGAGCAAGGCTGGCCTTTTCATCATCCAACATCTCCTTCTGCAGGTTGATTTGACTCAGAGCCTCCTTCACCGTCACAAGCTCCTTACGCAAATCTGAGTGCTTCCCTTCAAGCTCCCCAAGACTCCTCTCACTGAAACACAACATGTTGCAAATGCATGACTCTCCAACACTGTTATTTGTCTCACACAGATTATTTATAAACAAAATCCCTCAACAGTAATCCTCCTCCACTTAAAAAGATGGAGAAACGTTGGTGCCAAAGGCCAGAACACTGAGGGAGATACTTTTGTGCTGTATCGCATGTCATGCTCCAGTTCTCAGCTAATCAAAAATTTTTAAGCAAAAGAAACCCTCAAAGAGAAGAACAAAGTTTTCTGCTTGCATGAATGCAGTAATTCAATGTAAATCATTTACATTTTCATTCAAATGTCATCTGACTGCATTGCCGGACGGAGGATGACATGTGTTACTGATCTGAACTGTAAACACACAGAGCTTGAAAACAATCATGGGTGACGGGGTGTGTGTTGTGTAATGGTCATTCTTCCTCTGCTCGTGTTGTACCCTCGTTGGGCCTCCGTGCGCTGCCGTGACAGCTGCGTCTCCAGATCCTCCCTCTGCTGCCTCAGGAGGTCCCGCTGTCTCTGCAGCTCCAGTGATGAACCTCGCAGTGCCTCCAGCTCGGCACGCTGGGAGTCCACCTCCTGCTGCAGTCCTGACAGCAGCTTCTCCAGGCTGCTCTTCTCACTGTGGGACATGAAGGTAGAAAGAGGCAGAGATTAAGACAGAGAGAGGTTGCTGAGTTTGTTTGTCGTACACCAGTCACCAACATCATTGTTTAGTTACACTTGACTGAATGACGTTTAACAACATCAAAATCACCTCTTCTAAAAGGTTGTATCAATGTATTTAATAACTCTATGACTATAATAGTCCACTTGATAAAACATAAAGCAAAGCCAGGGACTCGGGAGGTGTTGGTGCTGAGGGTGCTGCATCACCCCCTGAAAGAAGACACAAATACAACTATGCTATACAGATGTAGTACACTGTGTTTACTATAGTAGTGTGTAACTCGCTTGTAATACTTCCTGCAGAGTAAAACAACGAACAGCAGGTCGGAGCTTTTCTATCCTACATTGAGGTATTCAACATAATAAAAAAAAGTCAAAGCTGTGTGATCATCCTGGCATACTGAGCAGGATAATTAGATGTTACTCTAGAATTTGCAGTTATGTTGATTATTCCTTTAACAACTTCAGAACAACATCTGGCCGTGCTAAATCACTACAAATCCCCCCTCATGATGCATCGTCCAGCTCCACTGCTCACTTGTTTACTGAAGTGTGGAGTCTTTCAATAAAAACTGCACCTCATAAGGTTTATTAAACAGTATATCAATGTTGCCTATGGCCAAGACCAGGGTGGCATTTTTTTAAGAGCTTTTGTCTCATGATGTCAAATTAAATGCATTTAAAGAAAACGTAGGGTCTGAACCGTGAGAGGGTGAGGGCTAAAGGGACGAGCAAGAGTGAGGGAACGTGCCATTGTGCACATAGATGGAGGGACAATAAACTTAAACATCAATGGATCATCTGTTCTAACGTAATTTATTATTAAGAGAGTACTGAAGGATCCTCCTCCCATCTTGTTGTTATTTCTGTCTTTCTAAATCTTAATTATCTTTTTCTCTTGAAACCTTTTCCTCTGTCCTTTACTTCATTTCATTTATGTAGGTATTTTTGTATGTTTATTTTTTGTATAAATGTGCTAGGATCTGCAAAATAAATGATGACATTTGACAACTTGTAATGTAAAAAAAACTTCAATTAGGTATAAAAAAAGTTTCAACATTAACATACCAATGCTGTCCAAACAGCTTCAACGTGCTTTGAGAGTGCATTGATGTTTGTGCGTCTGATCGTCCCCCTCTCTGCTCTGTTTATCATAAACTATAAACTGGTCATGATCTATGTGTAAACTTTCAGTGTGAAGTGTGTTGTCTGTTGAAGTTTTACATGTTCAAAAATTGGTAAGAACTGCTGTTGATTCTCTAATTATTAAATTTGCCTAGCACAAAGTATGACATCATCAAACAGAATGACTTCTATCTGACTTCCAGCGACCCAGAACAAAGCTTCAATGTTTGCCATCAGAACAGAACAGAACTGAATAAAATTAAGGTATTTGATCATTTTAATATAATAAGAGCTAGATAATGAGACAGAATGAGCTGACAGTTTTCCTCAAACGTTTCGTCGTGTTAAACACAGTAAAGGGAAAGGTTAATATCAGCACCATGAATCATGATAGAGTACCTGGAAATCAGCTCCAGTGAGCAGCGGTATCTGTTGCTGTCTCTGAGACTTTCCTCCAGAGCTTTTTTGGCCTCCTGACTCTCCTTCCTTACTTCCTGGCTCTTCTGCTCCAGCTCTCTCCTCTCTGTTTCCCTCTCCTGCAGGTGATCACGGAGTGTGTTCACTTGCTCCACTGCAGCATCCAAACACCCACGTAGGTCCTGTTGTGGGTTGTTTGTGGTGGGTAAGTCAAGAAACTTGGATTTCATTACAAAGTGATAAACATAGCTCTGTAAAACATTGACGCCCAGCAATTTCTGATTTTGTCATATTTAGATTAAGCAGCATCTGCTTGTGAAACCTCATCACTTGAGTTCTCAGTGTGTACCAGAGCAGTTTAATCACAGAAAGGTTTTCCCTCTTACTTAGATTTTTAAGGGACTTCTGGATGCCTCATGAAGCGAGAGAATGCAATATTTCTCAAGAAAAAGGAGAAACACAACACTGTTTTTAACCATATTTGTCTTACTCATGTGCTATGAAGAATGTGGACAATGAGTTTACCCGGGAGAGGGACCGGTTTATGCCCTGTGTCCACCTAGCATTTTTTGCCAGACAGAAAAACGCTGGCTGTGCGCTCAGGACCTCTTGTATGAAGCGTTTGAGCACTGAGAAGAAAAGTGCTGCAAGTGTGTCCTGTCTCTATGACAGGCAGCTGTTAACTACGGCTACTGCTCTGTTGCTTTTTAATGTATGTTTTATATTTAAGACAGTTTTTACTCCAGCAGACACGGAGCAAAGAGGATGTGGGTAAAAGACAGAATCCGTAGGCGGCAAAAATACAGTGTACAGTGTTTTTGTTTGTCTTGATTTTCTCTGAATTGCATTTGAATTTTTTCTTCAAGTATTGTTTATTTTTGTGTCATACAAGTGTATGACTTGTCTGAAAGGAATTTAACAGGTTAATGTTCCCTGTCTTGCTTTTACAGTCCGGCCCTAAAGTACTTGCTACCTAAAGATTAGGGGCCGATGATCTAAAATATTGAGAAAAAACCACCAAAAACAAGCTTTTGTTTGACCTGTGTTTGTTTCTGGTGCTTGGAGAGAGCAGTCTGCACAGCCATCAGGGTTGAGTTCCTCAGTGGAGACTGGCCATGAAGAGGTGAGGAGCACACACTTTCAAAGCCGCTGCTCTCGCCCTTGTCACCAAATAGCTGGATACAACAGATACAAAAGAGAAAACAGTCAACTTGTTTTTTGTGCTAGCCTAATGAAGATTTAGCACAGTGTTATGTTGTTGTTGTTCTGACCTGCTGAATGTGACATAAAATCTTTTGGAGGGCTTGGATCTCTGTGTGGAGAACCTCCATCTCTGCTTTATCCTCTGTTCTCCTCGTCTCCTGAGCAGGAAACCATTTAGGTCAGATAACAAACACACATAAAGCAGGCCTGACATCCCCCAGACGCCAGCCCTCTAGACAAGGAAGTCGTGGTGTTTATCAAGCCTAAGGTCCAGACAACAGCCGATTTAGCCCCCTTAACCAACCGTTTATCTACCACCCCCCTGTTGTGATTGTAAAGGTCTCACCATCCTGTCCAGACTGATCTGCATGGTGTCGAGGCTAGCATCCTTCTCACTGTTCTGGCTACGAAGGTGCTTGACGGTGTCAGCCAGCTCCAGGACTCTACAGAGATCAACGTGCATGTTAACGGGCATGGAATGAAATCACAAACACACACGGTTCTCTGAGTTATTGAAGCTACAAGACTGGCATGTACACCTCCTCTACCGGGCCATCAACACTATCATATTCTCTGCACAGATTTAACAAAGACTCTCTGGGATTAACATTGACATTTATCAAGATCAAAAGCCAGCTAAGATGAAGAACACAAAAGCATTCCTGAAACTTCTGGATGAAGCGCACAGGAGCTGGGACAAAAGGCTGGATTGCTCTTTATCAGGACAGAAGGTGTAGTCACTGAAAAAAGCTTGATGTGGAGGATTTTAATGATCAAAGTTCTGGGGTTCCAGCTAGAGGATTGAATTTGTCCTTCCTGTGTGAATTCTATAATTGATCAAAGGACTAAACTATAGACGACCTCGTGCCCATTATTTCTAAAACAAGTTCTGACTAAGTTCTTTCCATAAGTCCATGTTAGTCCATTCACAGACTGCAGAAACATATGGATGTAATGTTTTAGTTGTCAGTCCAAAAATGAGATTTACTCTGATTGGTGCTGCATTGGAACCACAAAAAGCCATCTTTACTTTACTTTACTTGTACTTGAACAATTGCCTTGATTTTAATTTCCCTATTCATGGGTAAATATGTATCAGCTTTAACGAGAAAAGTCAAGAGCTTTCTATATTTCCTCGATGTAGTTATAACAAGAAAAGTATCTAACAATCCTCAGAGAATATGCAGCTTTAGCCTCTTATGAACCAGCTAAAAGGGTGCAGTTTACTTTACATATACATGTTTCTTTTAAAAGCAGGAAGCGAGGGATGGACTTGTCTCACATATTGATTGATTGGTGGTTACAGTTGCCAAGAGCAATAAACATGAGAGGTATTAATCAAAATCACAGTACTAATCCATACTGCCACTAGCTAGTCTTTTAGCTCTATGCCTCATGATGGAGACAGTGTTAAGACAGTGTCAACAATATTTTTTCTAAACTCTAAAATATTAGAAAAAATACCTACAGAAAGAATTTTTGTCGTTGTGGGGAAATAAACAGGTGACAGTCAGCAGAAACGAACAATATTTTATTCCCCTTTAGTCATCTTGGCAGGATCAGAGCAAGCTTTGCGATGGACACGCCCACGTCGTTGTAGAGATGATTTTACCTCGAGTTAAGTTCTACTTTCTCTGCATCCCAGCGACCCTGAAGCTGCATGGCCTCTTTCAGCTTCTCCTTCAGCTGCCTCTCCAGTGCAGACATCCCCGCACCACTAGAGGGGCTGTCATGTGTTATCCTGGCCTCTACATTCATGCAGGCAACTTGCATCTGTCTGCTGGCATCGACACACTCCCCACGCATATCAGACAGAGTCCTATTGATAAGAATAATGTGCGACAAGACATACAGGAATCATCACAACATAATAAAGATTTGAAATTGTAAAGACACATGACGTGCTCTTTTTGTTGTACAGTTGTGAGCCATTACTGGAATAAAAAAACTGTCTGTATATATTTGAAATGGGTGGATGTCTGTTGTGGTTAAACTCTTGGATTAGGACTCACTTTGAAGTATCTTCAGTTTAAATTACCGCACAGCCTGTGACATGATCACAGCTGTCTATGAGCTGAGCAATCATTATTATAGCAAATTACACTTCAGTTGTTCTCGTTGTGGTTGAACATGATAGAAGCCACATCTTATAGGGCTCAGGCTTTGTCCTGATTGATGATTTCACCAGTGAGGCTAGACACCTTAAGCCATCGGTCCCCCCAGTGAGGAAACAATAAGCAGGGGGACTGGCGACCCTGTTGACCTAATCCACTTTGATCCTCGGCTGAGAGAGATGGGTTGTGGTTGCTGTCGTGAGTGTGAGACATAAGAGAGGTGGGGGGGGGGGTTCTTGTGGATTCTTGAGTCGCTGGAGGGCTTCTGGCAGAGTGCCACACTCACCTGTCAGTGAAAGTCCTTAGCTGGGTGAAAGTGCTCCGCAGGGAAGCGGCCTGGCGCCACAGAGCTCTGACACGAGCTTGTTCTCGACAGAGCCGGGAGGCGCATGTCTGCAGAGAGAAGCAGAATACAAGGGAATAGAGGAGTAGAGGGTTGAGGGTGATGGTTGCTCACAACAAATGATGACACCTTGGATTTTATTGTAATCTCAAACACATGTAATACTAGAACTCCTGGACTCAAACTGGCACACATACAAATAATTGGATTTCCCTGAATCAACAGATGTAGCCCATTTGCAGCACGAACGCCGGATTGTTTGCACAAAATTTTCCTCCCTCTCAGCAGTTGGAATGTTTTCACAGGAAACAACAACTCAAAAATCATAGCAATGAAACGAACAGGGAATGAGAGTGAATCGACTAAACTGGCTATGAATGGAATTCCTACCCCATGTGAACTCAACAGGAGTTTAATTGCACAATCTCTGTGCAGAAGGGAATAAACTCGAGCTTTCAGTGTTGCTTTTGGGGCACTTTCTTTTTTGTCGTTATTCTCACCTCTTGCTCCCTGCGCAGACGGTTATCACTGAAATCAATGTCTTCACGAGCCTTCCACAGGCTCTCTGTAAGTCCAACGTTGACAGTGCCAGCCTGATCGAGTTGTTCCCGCAGCAGAGAGTTAACTTGGCTGAGGTTGGCACACCTGAAAGTAACAAGGGATATGCTACTGTGAGACCATTTGTCCCCTCTACCCTGACAAACAACTGTTGTGAAACCTTTCTATAACTCTTCTAACAGCACCTAAACTCTGTCATTCATACAGCTAACATATTAATGTTGCATCTGTAGCCTGCAGAACCACCCTTGCCAACCACACTTACTGGGTGAACATGTGTGACAGTTTTACAGCGCCTGTGTCAACTTAGATTTAATTTCCACCAGATCTTCTCGTAGAGTCATTTACAAAAATGTTTACATCATTCTCACACTAAACACACACACACTCTCACACAAACACACACTCACACACTGTTACAGTAAAACAAGCCACATTTTAATGTTTGGTTATCTCTCTGAGAGGAAGCCAAACCCATGTTTGCGTGTATGTGGTGATATTGTGTTAAAGGAAATTGAGCCATACGGAAAGAGGGATTAAGTTATCCAAGTTTTAAGTAAAAAATCATGGTTGTAAAAGTTGATCTCTACATTACGCTTACATTACAAATTGTTTTAGTGGATAGAACTTGGTAGCAGTAAGTGATATGTTATTAAACTTATCAGGTCCTGGCAGAGCTTCTACCATGGGCATTTCAAATAAAGTTCCATTGCTCCATTAATCATAGGGTATTAAATCCTGGCTTCAGCTGCAAACATTGGCCCCAGTTGATGTGAAACATCATTAAAATGATTTGGAAAACAAAGAGGACATAGTCCCATTAATTTTCTTTTTGACAAATTGGATGCTGAGACTATTTGCCATGGTCAGGTTCTGCCATCTCCCTGCAACAGGGGCAGGAAAAACAGCGGGCCATCTCAAAGAACCGCTGTGAATATTTCTCTGGTTCAGCATTTCACAGAAATATTTCTGCTTGATTTCTGCTGCCCAACAAGAAGCGGTGAAAGTACAACAGGGGCACATTTTAAACAGGCTTTTCCATGAATTTACTGCTCTAGGTATGCATCCAAAAAGCGACTCCCTGTAACTCTTCTGATGTCTGGATATGAACCCTTTCTTAAAAAATTACAGAGGCTGAACAAGTTCCCCACTCTGCACTGCATAGTGTCTGTTTCTCACCTTTTCTGCTCCTCCTCCAGTTTAGCAGATTTATTCTGGATAGTCACATTGAGATCCTGCTCAATTCGCTGCTGGCGCTGGGCTGCGTCCAGGTGAGCCTGCAGCTGAACATACAACAACAACAAAAACAACAACAACACTGCTTGCATCTTGTTGAAACTAGACAGTAAATAGTAGCAGGAGTAAGTGTTACCTTATACATCTCCTTATAAATCAACATGATAACAGTGTTACTCTACTAATACAAACATGCATAGATTTGGATAATTTAAAAAAATCTAACATTAAAGCAAATTATTAATGCACAACATAAAGAGTCCATGCTTTACTTTTCAGTTATTCATGGCTCCTTTACTCCTTTTCTATGTGCACAAAGAATAGACTTGTATTGGAACAAGATTCAAAATAAAGAGATAAAAAGGTTCATAGCACTGAAGAAGTCTTTCGGAGAAAAGGTGACGCGTCTTCAAGATCTTCAACCAGTCCAGGTCCCTTTGGATCAAGCTTTGAAGTTTATAGCTCTAATACTTTAGTTGTTCATAACTACAGATGTAGGAAAAATGAAAGGAAACAAACTAACACTGAGTTTCTGTTTAAGTTGTTGGGCCTACATGAGTATCAGCAATGATCTCTCAATCCTACTACAGGGATGAAACAACTTCATTTAAATAATATCAATTTATATGGTGATACTAGTGATGGAAAGTACTGGCCCAATCCCTGGAAGGTGTTTAACTACGTAAAGATCTGAACTACTGGACTTCACCTCTAAATGGAATGCAATGGAAATGGATTTCTAAAAAGTATGATTACAATTTAATAAATACTTGCAAGGTACTGTCACTTGAAGTCATTCTGGTTTGATGCAAAGAGTATTGCTACAAGAGATCAGATTTTTAGACAAGAATATTTAAATCAAAGCAATTCATGTTCTTGAAGCGGGTTGCTGCAGTCTTACCACCAATCTCATCTTCTCAGACTCTGACGTCTTCTCCAGCACCTGTCCTTCTAGTTCCCCACACCTCTTCTTGTACTGAAGGACCTTACATAAAACAAACATACGATGGACGGTTAAGCCAAAAGAACTTACTTTTAGTGTTAACATTTCTGAGTTGTGATGACCATTCTTAGTCACCTTGGTTTGAAGCTTCTGCACAAGTTGTGCTTGCCTCTGCTGGGCCTCCTGGTAGACCTGCAGTTTTTGCCTGTATGCTCTGTCCTTGTTCTGCAGGGCTTGCAGGGATCCTGGTGATAGGCTGTCCTGGTCTGAGTCCATTGATGACTGCAGCGTCAGTATCTGATCGAGCTTCAGCAAATGGGACAATAAGCTGAATATTTTTATGACAATACATGGTATACATGCACTCTGTCCTGACTAATGTTGATATTAGATGGATTTTGTGTTATTTTTTTGGAAGTCTAGATTCTACTAGACTGTAGAGGATCAGTTGCAATGTTGATGCATTTACTTCTTTCTGTGATCACCAACACAATTAATAGCATGCATGTCAAATTAGAACCTTATAATAAAAGAATTGAAAAAAACAAAACTATTAAGTGAGGTAGAGCATGCTTATGTGTTTTAGGGGAGGTGGCTTCGACATTTCTTCAGTTAGAAACCTTTAAAATCAAGATTTCTTTTTCCAAAGTAGCCTACCCCGACTTAATAAGTCAGTAACTCAGTCTTTCCCATCCCATCTATCTGAATGTACCAATGATTAATGTTTGGAATAAAGGATGTGTTTGTATTCTGTTGAGTCATTTAGCAGTTTTCAACAGTTCATTGTGGGTTCAGTTTAAGAACAAATAAAGTTAATGCATGGGAGCTGTCCTCAATGCATTTTTGAGGTTTTACATAAATGCATGCTCATGCCAAGAAGAACATCTTACAATGGAGCACTCTTGATTGGTAATTACTATCATCACTTGATTCAATGGTACTGATGAGATAGTCTAAAGTATGTGCATAGTGTGTTTCCCCCATGAACAGAAAGAGTGTAATTGTCAACCCTTTGATTGACTAGCTAATCCAGAGGCTCTAAGTATCAGTGTGCAGTGTGAGGGTTGGACAAACACTGGCTAGACTTAAAGACGTTGTGAGGGGTCATAATTTCAGTCAATGGAATGTCTAAGTCCATTATGTTTGTTTACTGTTTTTATGCATGATTATTGGGTCTGTCAAGTGAATCTAAAAACATAATACAACACATATACATATACAAAAACAAGATACACACACATACACTGGTCTTTCTCTTTGTGGAATCTCGTATCCTCTTCCATATCTGAAAACCAAATGTCCTGTAACCTCCCAACCTCACACAACCTAAACTCCCTCTGCACCACCCACTCTCCAGCCTGGTGCCAGACACCCTGTCCTCGCTAATACAAACCACATGGCCCCAAAGCACTACAACACTGCGTGCCTCCCGTTCCCCCTTTCTGACTTCTCATTTAAAAGCAGAGGAAGAGAGCGAGGGCGAGAGCGTGAGCGAGGAAGCCCCCTCCCTCCAAACCACCATCCAAGCCCTTCAAATCAACCCTGCGACCCACTCCCCCCCCCCACCTCTCCTCTGTACCTCATCTCTTCTCTGGGTGCTTAATCTCTCCAGCAGGCTCCAAGAGAGCCAAGACAATAGTCTCACTGTTCAACAGTGAGCCCCGCCACTTTGCCACCATTATTAACACATTTTCAAATGCCCCTTTCAGATTTTCATACTACAAACTACACTAACGGCCATCAGGCACTTGGCCCTGTGCTTTTGGTGTTTTTCTCTGAGGACCTGGTGAGCACAAAAGCTTCTTTTACTGCCCGTTGTTGAGGTGACAGCTTTAGGGACTGAGAAGGGAGGAACAACATGGGCGGAGTGTTTGAAACACACAAAACTGCAGCAGCTGTGTTTAAAGGGACTCCTGGAAACAGCTGTGTGTGAAGCATAAGTGATTATGCATCTTTTCAACTATTTTGGCACAGCTTTAGCAATAACACTGACTTACTAACAAGCATGTAGTTCATAAATACACCTTGAACACAGGGCCATAGCGCATGAGATTTATGACAGCAGATGAGCTCAATCTGAATTTGGAGCTCTTACAGCGGAGTTCAAGGCTGTTACATCTGTGGGAATACTACAGTAGAACAATGTAACTCACAGAAAAAAAACATGGCATAGCTAGCTTCAACTTATCCTTATAGGAAGACACTCATAAACACAAAAGGCAGTTATTTTTCCCTAATTTGGTCATAATGGTCTTAATGGATAACCCACTGTTATTTCCTTTTCATGTAAATGCACTAAATGAGCACAATATCAACTTTACTCATGCCATTGCTATACTTTTATTTTAAGGTTATAATGCAGGGTTCAGATGCAGGCTGTTGTTATGTCAGTTAATGTTTTCCTCGAACGCTACCTTGTAGAGATTTTCACTACTAGAGGCACTATGGAGCAATGATTTATTGGATAATCACAAAATACTAAGGTATTGCATATAACTGTTATGTTGATGATATTCAGCTGTATGTGTCTTGTAAGCCTAAGGACAAACTGACTGTTTAGTACAACAGTTTGACTGCAATAAGGGACTGTATGATGCGCTAAGACTAAGGTCCTGATCACTGCCTGAAATAGCTTAATGTCTAATGTTGTTTAATATTTATGGTCCTTTTACTCAGTTGTGAAGTCTTAAAACGTTGGTATCAGATTTGATCAAGCTAAGTGCTTCTATCAAACTCATTGACCTTTACATGTCTCTAAATAGCTGGATTGTTTCACAGCCTGAGCAACAAATGACTGGTCAGGGCTTGACTTATGCAACAACATTTTCACCTGACTCAGTAGGTCAACCCCTGACCAAGTGAACAATGGTGTCCAGTACACTGCTGCAATGCTGTTGACAAAATCAAGTCAAATGACTCAAATCACACTCACCTCATCTTACCTACAATGACTTTTTCAACAAAATTCACATTTTCAAGTTTTCAAATAAACAGTCCTGCATGGTCAGGCACTGTGTACCGTCTGCATCTTTACATAACCAGCATCTCCTTGGTCTTCTAAGTAGGGCCTCCTGAAAGATCTCTGTAATGTGATGGCTACCACACTATAAACATATGTACAGTAGTCTCTGTGTATGTTATTTTTAAAGCAGCTGAGGACTAATTTATTCAAATAGAGATCCTCGTGAAAATGTTGTAATCTATGTATGTTTCTTCAATTCATGATGTATTTTTGTTTGTATCATGGACATGGTCAAAGACATACTATACTTGTACACAAACTAGCTTTGGAAAGGTGTGATAGATAATCTGCCTACTCCAGTTATCACCAGATGCCAGAAGTAACACAAGGATGGGCTCTGCAGTGTACCAATAAGGGTAAGGTAGAAGACTGCTACTTAATAAACATGGATGGAAGCAAACAGTGATTTCAAATTTAGAAGTGGTTTTCTAAAGATTGCATGAGGAACGTTGTTTTTCAGACCTCGTAGATACTTAAATTGGAAAATGAATGTAAATAGAACTTGTTTGTTTGTATGAAAACTCTAGAGGGAACACTTAGGGTCCAAATACATTTCCAAAAAAATGAAATCACAAAAATTATATTAATGATATTCAAAGGCAACTATATCTGGAGCCCTTTTTGTATTTTATGAATTAGTTTAGTCTTTAAAAAATGAAAGAAATTATAAAACAAACAGTGTAATGGCATATAAACCTAACAAGAAATAGAAGGTTTATGTAAAGACAAAAATAATGCATATTTGTTTCTTCTAGTATATTGACATAACTCATTGTGTCACTAATTGCTTTTATGTATGTGCACTTAAATTGCCCCAACAACAGTTGATGCAAACAACTACACCTTCCCTACCTTGCTGTGTACTCATTGACCAGGTATCCAAGGTAACTGCGACAAGTCCACACCCTGCCCAGTTGAGGAAGGTTGCTTTCACGTTTTCATACATGTAGGCGTCTTGCCAGCACTTCACCCCTGTTCCACACACTACGGAGGGGACGCTTTTTTATTGATTCTCCCCAGTCAGCTGTAAAGCAGGAGGCCGGGGCCTGCTCTGGATTAGCCTTGCTCCGTGCAGGAAGCTCCCAAGAGGGCGCCAAAACAGCCCATAGTACAGACCCCCACCTTCACTTTACTGCTTACACCAACTTCTACTCCACTGCTCTGCTTGCATCATTTAATCTCATCACTCTCATCCCCAACTGAGCTTGAACTCATTGTTCTCCCCCAACATATCGGTCACTGGTGACTGTAAAAAAGGCCAAAGAGAGGCAAGTAATCCCAGTCCTCCATCTGCCCTAACTCTGGGGCTTACAGGGCTTACTGGGGGCCCAGAAGTGTGCTCACTGAACACCCCTTGCTATTTACGATCTGCCTTGGAGTACAATCACTCTCGAGGAGCCTCTGTGGCCCCCTGAAATGGGCTGAGCCCGATCCCAATGAAGCCCATCTCTTTGAGGACATCTACTGCCATTTTACAATAATGTTCACGATGCAATTTATACAACAGCCTTTTTGTCATGGTATGCTTTATGCCTCCATATGGTTCCTTTTCTTTTTTTCATCCCCAAATATTTGTTTCTTGAGCCATGCTTATGTTTCCAAAGTAAAATACTTTTTCGTCTCTTAAAATGTGCTTTGAATTAGCCTTTTATATTCCTTGATATTTATGATTTGTGCCACTCCTTGCATTGTCTCTTTTGATAAATATTTCAAACAACATCAAGGGATAATCTTGCTTTGATTCATCTGCCAACAAGCAACGAGAGAATCGTTTTCAAGGCCCTTGTGAAGGCTTTGGTGTTTTGGCCAAAACTTGCTGCCTTGCTCATGTGGTAGATCAAAATCCAATCCATTACAGTTACCAAGTTATGATTACAATTTTCTCTCACTGACCTAATGTCACAACATTTGGAGATCTCAACAGTTTATCTAAGGTTTCAACTGAGTTTTGTAACGCTTTCCAAACCATTATGCATTTCTGCAGCTGTTTCTTTTCTTAACTTCATAAAACTGTCTTTGTATACCTGTTTCTCTGTGCAGAGAAAGACTTCCAAGAATATCCAGGAACTGCACTCCTCTTTCTTCCTGTCTCATTCTCAACCCAAAGTGAAATCTGTCCTTGAGTGCGCAGTCCAGCCAGCATGTGAAGGGTTACAGCTGCAACCGTTTTCCCTGGCTTGGCCTGGGCCCAGAGGCTTAATAAAGGGAATTAATGGAGTGCACTATCTGTCAGATTCCTAAACACAGCTGGAGCGGATGTCCATCGCCCCCAAGCTGCCCAAAAAATCGTACTATCCTACTTCAACAACATACCCGCTCCCCTTCCCCTCACATTACCCCCTGAGTGCTGACTCCGTGAAATAGCCCCAGCTGATTGTGAAAGCTGTTTATGTATCATCACTGTCGGTAATTACACAATGTGGGATAACAAACAGGGGGAATGGAAGTGAGGAGGGGGAGCTGCTGTGTGTGTGTTACCATGGAGTGAACTTTTTGGTTACAGGGACAGCTGCTGCGTGATGGCACTCAGGGATACAAGTGATCTGTGTAAATACGGCCAAACTAATAATACATGCTGTGTACTCACAAGCATGTGGCCAGCCTTGTAGTACTTAGCACAATGCCCCCGGCAAGGACAATGCTGCACAAAGCCTGCACACACATAAACACACACTCAGCAAGTTCAAGACTTCACTTGTGATTACACAATCTTGACATGTGAAAAAGAACTGAAGAGTGTGCTTAATGTTTGACTTTAAAGTCAAGTAACATGAGTAGCTTAATGTCAAAAGTTGAACACTTTAATGGAATACTTTCATCAGAAATTTAGCACTGAGATGGACTTTTAAGCAGATTTTCTCCGGGGATAGCAATTAATTTTTACAATTTCATGATATCCGAGAGTTTTTGGCAGCGTTCCATTCAAACTGCGGCCTAAATTAATGGGTTTGTGCCAGCAGAAAAAACAAACTGGAAACAGAGGGGGGTAGCAGGGTAAAGGGGACAGTAACACAATCCTTAAAGACAGACTTTATCTGCTCCAACTATGTTTGACAGGCTTCTTATGCAGAGACCCAGAGGATTCAAGATTTCAGAGGGCACGGGCGAATGGCAGTTGGTGTCAGAAATCATTCAGCAAGAGTTTATCTTTATCCAACCGACTGCCACACTGCGGCATTGTGCAGCCACTCGCTAAGTGTTCAGGCAGCAGAGTATAGATGTCTACGTCTGAGAAAATGCACACTGGCTGGCCTCCAAAAGCAACACAGAGGGTTCAGAATTCACCCAATCATGCTCTCCAACCTCGAGGCCATGCAATTCACAAACTGGGTCAAGGTTTATCCGGGTTCAGGTGCAATTTTCTGGGGTCACCAGAGATCAAGCTGAGTGACTTAACAGAGAAACAGAGGAAGGCTTTCAGAGTCCAGGTGTGACTTCATCAGTGTTGCGTTAATGGTGCACCATTAGGTCAACCAGACTTATGGGTTGAAGAGGAGAAAAAGGGGATCTAGGATAACTAGGTATGTTTTTCAGCTGTCACACATTCAGGGGTGGGTCGGCTTCAGCTGTCATACTGACAGTGACAGGTTCAGATGGATTTCATTATGAAACCACTAGCATCATATTTAGTTTCATGTTAATGACATACAAGGGGGGAACTTTTTTCACAGGAAAAAACAAAACGCTTTAAAGGAAAAGAAGACATTTTAGGGAAAGCTTGTTTGCTTTCGTTAATAAAATAGATAGCACTTTGAAATCTGTACGGTGTATATAGAGCTACTATCAGTTTCATGTATCTTGGCTCACAAAATTACTAGAAAATTGGAAAGCAGCTAACCAAGCTTTGACCAAACTTTCTAAAATCCACCAGCAAAACCTCTTTGAACTCACTAATCAACATTTAAAGACGTGACCCATTTGTTTTTGTTAGAGGAGAAATCAAAGATTTGAAGGATTCTTTGTCTAATACATCTGATTCCCAGTAAAACAGATGGATTGCAGTTACTGTGCTGGCAGGGAGGTACATGGTCCCAATCATGTTGATGGATTTTCTCTGCAAGAGCATCCTTAGACTGCTAAAGGGACACTACACCACAGCTGACCATATATTTTTTACCTTGAAGGAAGGCACATTATTATGAGGGATGTTCAAATTCATCCATCAAGACACAACCTAAGGAAATGTCATGGCGCCTTCATCCTGTAAGCAGGAATTGGCATTAGGGTAGAGCTTTTACTCTACTTTATTTATGTTCTGATATTTTTCATATTATGGTTATTTCACATGTACAACAGAAGCTAAACAGATTGAATATCCATTGAGAACAGATATTTAATATTCATTGTCTGACTTGTTACTCAGAGCAGGTATGCCATATTAATATGGACTTTCAAACATGATGAGAAACAGCATACATATGTGATTTATGCAGAAATAGTATCCCTTCAGCAACAAATATTGAGGGAGAAAGTTGTTTTCAGATAAGAGAGCTGGTGTAAATGGCACAGCCAAGGAAGTATATTTGGCTCAAGGGCACAGATAAGCACATTGGATTAACATCACATCACAGCAGAGGTGCCAAACAATCATGCTGTTTGGCAGAGAAAAAAACAGTCAGGAAAAAGACAGAGGCTTTCACTGGAAAAGGCGAGTCACAACAGGAGTCTTTTAAAAAACCTCCTGACTTGTGACTGCATAACAAATTCAGCTGTGTTATCAGTTTAAGTTACAGTGATGTTTAAGAAAAAATGATGAATTCCATGCAAACCCTTCCTATTCACTACTTCAAATCACTCCTCGATGGTGTGAGCATGACATATCACCAACACTTGCTAATGTTTTTTTTCTGTTTAGAGTCTTTTCACACATCTAAATATATCAACAAAATAAATATGCTATATATATCTCCCAAGCTAATTAAGTTTTATTTATAGCCCAGGGTTTAAAATAAGTAGTAAGGGTAACACAAGCAGTGGGAGTTCATTAGATTTAAGCAGCAGAATGAGGGCAGTGTTATCACAAATGGCTGCTTTGTGCACCATGAAAAATGAGCTTTTTCTTCAAAGGTCTCAAGGGAGAGGCCGGTGACCTTCCCAATTTTCCCCAAAAACATCAGCCGCTACATGGAGGGGCAGCCATGGGGTGGCTATGAAGGGAGACGCCGGTCTTCATGAGCACAGGGGGTCTGAGTCTACCTGAACAGACCACAAGGAAACCCTTCATAAACGCTCCTCCCGCTCTTATTTACACTTACAAACACATACACACACGCTCATGCATCCACACTCACCAACACATATACACAATGGGTGCCTATACAGCACTTACTGTAATATGTAAGCTGTAAGTCTACGGCAGTGAATCACATAAAATGCACGAGTTAAAATACAAGTTACATTTTCCAAGTTAAATGAATGTCCTGTGAGTCTGTACACGAATATCCAAACCTTCTCCCACTCTGTTTTCATCACAGTACATGCAAAAGCTGTTTCAACCTCCCCACACTGTTTGTTTGTTTTGCCCCAAAAGGCTTTCCCTGCTGGAAAGAGCTGTGGTACACTGAAGTTTATGGTAACCATATTCCATTTCAAACGCATGTAGCTTTTTGCAGTCAATGCTCTAGTGTGGTTGACCTTCTTGATCTCATCTCCAAACAAAACTGCAAAAATGTACCATCTACAGCATTACATAATCCAGCGTTTTTTATGAGCTGCATTAACATCTGAAATTAAAATCACATTCTACAAATGCAGTTTTAAAGGATACACAGCTAGGTAGGGAAATGGTGAATACTTCCAGAAAAAAAATAATTTTAGTGATACTATTTGATGACATTTTAGTCATGGTTGTAGTTACACGTGTATCTACAGATAGGTATACATGAATGCAAAATCTTTAGTAGAGAAGGGACAAGAATTTAGTAACTGCACAGGTCTGGTGTCTGTTAAGCAGTCCAGGTGGTAATGACCAAATGAGTTGGAGCAGGCTTTGGCTGTATGCAGCCTTGGAGTCTTAGAGTGGATATCTGTCATAATTCATCCAGTTATCTCAGAAACATTGGTAGATGCCACCGTAGGTCGTAACCATTATCAAATGGGTTCGGAGTTGGCACAAAGTGAGACTAACAAGATACGATCTACATTTCTATGGCAAGACTACATTTCCTGTGTGCTGCACTCCAGAAAAATACAAAAGGCAAAAATGAGTATCAGATCACACGGTCACATTTAGTTGTTATCATATTGGTCTTGTGTTTTCCTCCTGTTGATGACAGTTTTACCAGAATAGAGTGCTTAGACAAATGCTAAAAATGTAAAAAAAGTATTGCTCCACAGTTTGGCCTTGACCTAAGAATGTGTTGCTGCCCTGTGTCACTCCTACCCTGTCAGTGAGACTTGCCTGTTTGACTAGCGGCTGGTCACGGTTCATCTGGCTCGGAGACGGCTGCTCCCTTAAGGCCCTGCTTTCCTCGACCTCGCCGAGCTCAGAGCCCTCACCTGGGATGCAGAAACAGATCATGCATACAGAGGTGTCAATCATTCCGCATGTGGAATATGATAACTAATATATAGAAAGACAGATGTATTGTTTTAACTGACTGCATTCAATGCTTATGTCTGAGCATTTGGATTCAAGCTTTCCTTCCTACCAGTTGGTTGCTCAGTCAGGTTGCGGGTGATGATTAGGCGGACGCGGCTAGAGACAGGCGTAGGAGTGACACTGGACTCGTGTCCATCACCTCGCAGTGTCAGACTACTCGCTCCAAAGCTGCCGTCTGAGTGAATCAGGGACTCCTCCAACTTCTACAATCATACCAGTCATACAAATACATCACATAGCTTTGCAAAAGCCTAACTCATCAAGGTTAGACTGTTAGGGCCTATTGTACATTTTACTAGTATACAAATACTTTAAGCTACAATATTTACTTACGCAATGTAGACCTTACAGTATAACAGTAAAGTAAAAAAAAAGACCTGCTTGTGTGCTGGATCATCTTTATTGAGTCATGATCATGCAAGAAACAATTGGTCATTGCAACTACAGAAATAGTCAAACTACCAAAAATCATTTGAAGACTTTTTTTTTCAAAGCAATGCAATTTATTTTACATAATTTGTCTAAAATGTCTTGAAAGTGACTTTAACTAAAAGATAAATGTTGTAAAGGCAACGGAATTGAAATGATGTTCCCTATGAAATGTTAAGTATCAAAGTATGGTATAATGTAATTCTTATATAAAGTATTAGTTATTAAGCACAATAATAGTTTTATTAAACACAAGAATATTTTAAGGTGCTTGTACTGTAGCTGTACTCTCAGTAAGCATACAGTTGCTATTTTTTTTCCAGTACTTTTAATTCACATTTTTAGTCAATAGCATTTCATGCATAGCTGAAGATAATATCAGTAACAGTGCATAACAGCTTTAAAGTTACCAACCTGAATCACAGCCTCCAGTCTAGGAGAGTGTGCACCTCGGTCTCGTTCAGAAGTCATTGGAAGTATGCAAAAACGGACAACACTTTGATAACTAAATGTAAGCTATGTATGCATGCATGCTAACGAGTACGTTTAACCATCAGTCGTTTCATTTAACAAGACAGAAACCCAGCGCAAGCATGCTATTATTTAGCTACTAAAACTTCTGATAGAAAGTCGTCAAATGTTGAGTAAAACAAAGTTTAGAAGGTGGTTATTAATTTACTAAATGAAATTAAATCGCATTGAATGGGTAACTATTTAAATGACGGTATAGAAAGAAAGAAGAATTCACAGATACGGTTTTAGCAAAGAAACTTTAGGAGCGCCTGCAGGAAAGTAGAAATCTCATCCCATGGTAACCACTCACTTCCGGGCCGTTGCCATAGAAATAGAATGCTGGCTTGGGTGTTCCCATGGCAGCACGGACGCCTGGATTCCGATGGGTTAATAATCACCAAGGCACTGAAGTCACACTGAACGCTGTTAATTCTACAGATGATTGTTTTATTAAGAACACATTTAATTAATAATTTAGGCACTTCTAGTTGCAAACATTTATTATCCTATGCAACCAATACTAATGTGAATAATCCTCATAATCATCACAATCAAAACTACAGTTTCTGCAAAGATTTCATAGTCTATCACAAGCACCATTCATTGACCCATTCACACTGAAGTCTTTATCCTAAAGTAGCTTAATCTCAGGTAGGGAAGCTCAAAACCTGTTGTAATAATAATACAAATAAAAATAATAATACACTGGACTCAAAGGCCTTCAGCACTTTTCTTAATACCCAAAGATGCATAACAAAACAAAAGAAAGAAAACAATATGAAGATGAGATAATCCATCAGAAAGGGAATAAAGCAGGAGGTTGAGCACAGAGTTGGTTGTAACTGGGGGACTGACTTAATCAAAGGTGAGAGAAAACAAAGAAGATATTATTTTCCCACGCATGATACAATGTATAAATAAACTTAACATCAGCCAAGCAAAGCTCTAAAAACAACCCGATGATCGTATAACACACTATTATAGGACACAATGACATCCTGGGATAAACATGCCAGTTGCATAGTAACATCTGTATGATGCAACACATCTCTGTGAACTCTTTGACCCTGAGTGCTGTCCTGTCAGTACATGAGGCGTTTATGTTGAATCTATGGGGAAGAGCTCAGGCCACTGGGATGGATCAAGGAAGATGGTGCAGACTCCGCTGTAAAACCAAAGTCTTGGCAGGAAGCACTCCACCTCCCAGGTGTTGGCTGTTCGGTTGTAAATCTCCACTTCTACCCCATAGTCCCCCTCCATACCTATCCAATGGCCTCCAGTGACAAACAGCTTGCCATCTAATGTTACCAAGCCCCCATTCTCATGGAGCATGTGGAGAAGCTGGACCTAAAGAGAGGAAAAATCAACACACCGTTGATAGGCAAAATAACAGTGGAATAAAACAGATTATTTATGCTATGATCATGTTAAATTAGCCTTGATACAGGCTGTTGCATTAGTGTATTATGACTGCAGTGAGCAGTTGTACTGTGTCTGCACCTATACCTTCTGCCACATGTTGACCTCTGGATCATAAGCGTAGACTTTCTTTGTGTTGTCAGCAACCAGATATATAGTTCCATCCACACAGACAGAACGGGGTGACGACAAATACTTGGGGATAAAGGGTGAACATATGCTGCTCCAGCTATCTGGAGAAAAAAACAAAAAATACCAAAAAATATTTTCAGTTAAAAAGAAAAAGAAAAGGAATTAAGTCATGCTGTTAAAATTATGTTTTGGTTCCTACAACTTGTTGAATGAATCTACAGAAAAAATAATTAAACTTAATTGAAAAGCTTTAAAATGCAAAAAGCATGTTGACAATTTGATGTCATTGTTAAATAAATTGTTTAATTGCAAATTTAGCATTGAAAAAAGCTGCAGATCATTAAAAATGTACCTATAATGTAAAAATATATAAATCTAAATACATCCCTTATTATGTAGAAAAAAGATGTGTTACATAAAAATAGAATGGTACCTAAGGTCCCTGATCTTCAAGTCCTTGAAACTACTTTTATAGGCTTTCTATGTGATTTTTCACACTTAAATATAATAGAAATCAAGTATATCCTCTGAAAATAACTCTGTGAGTCATGACTGTCTACAATGGGTGTAACACCCGAGTCCCACTGTCTGTGATGTTTTCAGAGTCCTATCTTCACTTTGTTGACATAGGCGGCCCGGCCGGCTGACTCCTCCCCTCACGTATAAAAGTTGTTTAATTGAGGGACTAGAGAAAAGAAGAGTAACATACTGTACTCACTGATTAACTGTGTTTCTAGATCACGCTCATTTCAGGTAAATTTACATGCAGTGTGAAGATACGAGCATAATAAAGATCAGTAGCATTAGCATGCTAACACAACAATGCACCGCGAGTTGTTTTGGTTTCATGCTGGTGCTCAAGGGCGACATCTGCTGGATCACATATAAAGCCTTTAAGGATCTAAACGGTTCCTTCAGCCAATTGTTATCTGCATTTTTAGAAGTAATTACAAAGATACAATAGTGACCAAATTTAAAAATCACAATCATACATGTTTAGTGCTGCGTGACCCACTCGCAAAGTTCCCATGTGGTTTTGGGAAATACTACCCCCCAGCAGAGACTTTTTTATTGGTAAAATAATTAACTGTAAGACCCTGTCCTGTGGTGGTCTTTCAAAAGGTTCATAGACCAAAGGGAAAGTTCTTGCTGGAGAGAAATGACTTACATTTACAATTTCTCTCAGAATTTTTTTTCTAGAAAGCGTTTTGGTAATTGATCAGATACTATGATGAGCAAAATAGTTACTATTAATACAAGGAAGAGGGGAAATAAAAAATAATGAAATACCTGTCCTTACCTATAACAGGATTGTAACACTGCATGGTCAGAGCATTGTACTTTACAGCACATGAGCCAATCACATAGAGCTTCCCATGACAGGCCGTAGCTGTGAAGTTTGTCACGTATTTCAGTGCAGGGCACGTCAAAGCCCAGGTGTCACTGTAAGGGTCGTAATGCTCAACTTCAACACGATCTGCTGTTGTACCTAAAGGAGGAATTTGTACGAGGAATAAGTGATGAGTTTCATGAATTGATTATTATAAACAAATTCTTGAATTCAATTTTGAGATGTATATGTTCTTGTAGAGCCTGGCCTAAATTTTAATGATTCAACAATAAAGAAGTAATGCAAGCAAATCCACTGCTGAGGTAAGAAATTATGGGCTCGAGACGCTAGGGTTTATCAAATTTTCCATTGCACTGCAGGTTTAAGGCACAACTCTATTTATTTTCTTACCTCCGATGACGTAAATCTCCCCGTTGAGTGTTGCCGATGTGTGGTTAGTCCGAGGCCTGAGCATGGGTGCCACAGTAACCCACTTTCCCTCTCTTGTGATGTACTTCCAGGTCTCTGTGGTCGACCAGGTGTTTGTATTTGAACCCCGTGAGCCCCCTGTCCGGCAGACAAGATCCCTTTGTCAAAAGTCTGTTTTACATTCTTACAGTTCTGCTTATAATCGATCATCTTGACTTGTTGCCCTCTGGCTCCCTCTTGATGTTTCTGTGTTCTAAAAGGCTTCAAACACTTGACTCACCTGTTACATACACATCATTGTTCAGGGAGACCATGGAGTACCCCCATTTGTTAGGGTTGGGGAAGTTTGGGAGCTCATGCCACTGTTCTGCAGACAAGAAGAAAGAGAGTTCATGTTGGCACATCATTCAAAGAGAGAGAGATTAGATGTTCACACATCCAGTTTGCACATCTAAAAAGTGCACACGAGAGGGAAGAATATAAGGGCCAAGAATTATGGAGACAATTAATACTGTTAAGGAGCATCTATTTTCATTGAGCATTTTCAAAATATCGTGAATATAGTTTCAGTATAAGCGTCAGACATTTGTCTGCATTTATAGAATTAAATTAAATCTGAAAAAAAATCCATTGATTTGAAGAATCATCCTGTATTGATTAATGTTTTCCTTAGCCTAGGACTCATTCTAAAGTTTGACTTTATTGTTGACATTTTGACTTTTAACTCAACTTTTCAAAGGAACCTTAACTTTTTCTCTGTGCCTGGCACTAAAACGAAAGGCTTGATATTATTATCTACTTTCTTTTCTTTGATAATGTTGGGCCTTTTTTGCCTTAATTGATGTGACAGCTGAAGAGAGACATGAAATGTGGGAAGGAGAGAGCGGGGTAGACATGCATCAAAGGGCTGAAGCCAGAAGTCAAACCATTTGCTGATGGGTCCAGAACCTTTGATATATGTGGTGCCTGATCTACTGACTGAGTTGAACTGGTGTCCCAATTATCTACATTTTGATTGCATTCTTGTAATGCAAATGAATGATAAATCCTCCTCCACTCATTTCTTTTCTGTATCCCTGTCATATGCTTCCGTATAAATGATAAACATACCATGTTCAAAACCAGATATGGTTAAATAAGATGGGATCATCTTTTCAGTAAGACCTCAAATAAAAGATTTGCACATAAATAACTTTTTTCCAGAAATGAAAGAAACTGAGAAGATTATCTTTTATGTCTCATGCAGAAAGCATTCTTGTAGAGTTGTTTTTCTTTCAGTAAAACATTTAAAGACCTACAAAACATCTGCCAAACAAATTAGATTTCCCAAGAGTTCTGCTGTAAAATAGAATCTGAACCTAAACAAACTTCAAGTGAATGCAAAAAGAAGTGTTTACTCGTCTTGATGTTGTAGAAGGCACAGTTCCTGAGCAGCAGTCTTTGCAGTCTTGGGTCTCTTTCCTCATCTTCATCTGAATCTTCATCCGAGTCATCCAGTGAACGACCCCCCATCACAAACAGCACCTCTTGCAGGTTTGGTTGTGGACTCTGAGCGTTGAGTCTGTCCATGAATTCTGGTGATGTCTCCATTTTCTTGAAAGTGAAAGTCATGATTTTTTTAAGGAAATCTACTCAGATTGAACAAACACAAGATAAGAGAGAAAAGGAGGGGGAGGAAGTATGAACTCACTGACCTCTCTGTGAATTTTCTCCACAGCTTCTCTGCAGCTTGGAGAGGCCTGCACCAGACTGTCCTTCAGTAGGGTGTCCGACAGGTATTCAGGGCTGAGCAGAGAGAGACGGGACAGGCCAAGGAGTTCATGGAGGTGGCAGAGCCGAGACTCTGTAAGGTGCCTGACCCATTTCAAGATGGCCTCCACTCGGTTGCACTCTGAACGGATTTGTAGACCTTCATCTGACAGACAGGCAACTAATCTGTCCTTTTCCAACAGCAGAAATTCTTCACCTTGTTGGACTGAATCAAAGTTCTCCAAGAGGAAGGCCCATGCTTTGGCCATCACCTCGGGGCAGCCGTGGATAGCTCCAAACTCTAGAATACCAAGGCAATTTGTTGCATCAATCTGGTTCTGCAGGTATCTGCTGCACACGCCTCTCACTGTCTGAAACTGCAGCTGGCTGGAGGTGCAAATCAGGCCCTCCACATTGCTCTGGTTAATGGTCAATTTGCCTGTGTAGGCAAAGTCCAACAAACTGCTGAGTATATCAGGATCAACATCCTGAAGCTCCACACGAGCAGCTATGCTTTCCACAAAGTCCCCTGAGAACATGCAGTGGAAGTATGTGCTGCACAGGGCCAGCACGCTGCGGTGACAGGGGAAGTCCCTGCCGCCTGCACTCAGAGTAACATCGACAAGTTTGGGCTGAGAGCAGAGGGAACGCAAGCCCTCCAGGATGCTCTGAGGATGGGAGGACAGGCTGAAGTCCAGGTCATCCACATTGCGCACCATGGTCTAGTTCAGTTTCAAATGTAGCCCAAATCTTCTTTCAGCAGGGATCAAGTCTGAGTTTAGAGCTCACCTAACAATGAAAAAAACATTAATACCTTATGCATAAAAAAAAATCAGTCTCAACATCCATCAAAACAATGTGCATTCCTATGAATGTTTAGTAACACACATTACATTCATAGGAACACAACAGAGGCGCAATGAAGCTTTTTTAAAAGATTTATTTTTGAGGCATATTGTGCTTTTAGGACAGTGGATAGAGTCAGAAATCGGGGAGAGAGAGAGTGTAGAATGACATGCATGAAAGAAGCGACAGGTCGGATTTGAACACAGGCCGCCCGCTTGGAGGACCACGGTCTCTTTACAGGACATCTACACCCACAAACCACTATGCTACCATCACACCGCAACAAAGCGTTTGAACATGAGTTGTTGCCTCTCAACCAGAAGGTCGAGGGTTCAATCCCCAGCTGGGCAACGTGTCCGATGTGTCCTTGGGCAAGACACTTAACCCTGAATTGCTCCCACTGCTTCAGTGGCGGTGTATGAATGGGATTAGTTACATGTGATGGATGATACAACATAGCGACCACTACCATCAGTGTGTGAATGTGTTGGTGTGACATGCAGTGTAAAAGCGCTTTGAGTAGTCGGAAGACTAGAAAAGTGCTCTATAAGCTCAAGTCCATTTACCGTCTTTTAATGTAACTTTAAAAGATCCAGTTGAAAACCAAACAGCTTTTAATAAGTTTCATTTTTTACTTTCCCCTATGGACAGTCCATAATCTAAAACCAAGCATGCATGTTTCAGTTTAATTTAGTTCTGTCATTTCTTTACTTCCCTAACACAACAGAACACAGTACAATTACTCAACGACGATAGCACACAACGTGGCTAGCTTACAATAAATATTGCTTAAACAAAGGTAGGACATTCCACATAAAGGTACCTACTTTATAAAAGGCCTCTCTGATTGTAATAATAAAACACATTTAAGAATAGATTGGAGGATTAAACAGTACTTGTGAAGATACCTTTCACTTTTTCTCACAGTAGTTCCATTTTTACATGAAAAAACATGATCCTGTCTCTTAAAACTACTGCCACTGTAGAGGTTGCAGATTCTCTTGCCTTTTCTATCTTTTAATAACCTCAAGATTTGCCTCTATGATAAGTTGTTGTTTCAATACAGATGCTTTTCATAAACTTGATTTATGTCATGTATGACTTACTAAAAAGAGGAATATGATTAAATACTGTTTGTTATTTTTACAACTAATGGATAATACTTTGACTACAACTTAAGAATACAATGTCTCCTTCATGACTGTCTGAGTAAATAACGATCAGAATGTTAAAAGAAAACTGCCTTGTTTCTTCTTTGAGGCATTACCGTGTTGTTACAAGGACTACAAGGTACCTCTTGCTCTTGATTAGAGTGATTCACTGTTCTAGTGACTCTAATCATCTGGGGCCAACAAGAAATACATTTTCCTGTCATCAAACACTTAGTAACCAAAAACATACTCACCACAAAGGCAGAGAGTGGAAATAATGGATCATCCTTCCAGTTAGAAATCTGTCTGTAAGTGATCAACATGGAGTGGGCAGCATGGCAAAGCAGCTTTTGCCAAGTCACTGGGACTGCCTGTGTCCCAGTTATTTTTAGGACTGACAGTGACGCCTCGCTGAAGCCAGATTCCAAACAACAAGCATGGGACCCACAGCTGCTGTTACACACGCATAGTTTGCATTTTGTCCACGGGCCTGAAGGCTAACTACGGAGATAACTGTATTTTTTTCTCTCACAACAGTTAGTAATTCAGCTAAACAAGAAGCTTTTCGTCTGTGTAGTGATTTGTTTTTGAGATTTGATTGTAAAAAGGGGGCCTTCAAAAGGTGAGAGCTAGCAGAAGAAGTTAAAAATAAAAAGGTCATACACACAATAATGGAAAAGAGTAATCAGTGTAATCGTTTATTTCATAGTAATGCCAGTACGTTTCTCACCAGATCATGTTATGGGCATGTTAGGGACATTTTCAATGATTTGTTTTTCTTATCAAATAAAAAATCCTAATCTTAAAATGAATATGTTTACTCAGAAATAAACACACACTTACAACTTAGGCACTCCTCTTTTTTGTCATGGAGTTGATGAGTATGGTTTGAAATTAATTTGACAACTGAGTTTGAGCAGAAGTACCAAAATATTCAGTAAAAATGTAATAATATAATAAATTTTCTGAACATCTTTTAAAAATGAGCATTTTAGTGCAAACTTCTGATTCTAATAAAACAGTATAAAAATAAGAAAATCACAATTCAAATCAAGCAATATCTGATAAATGAAGTAAACAAGGTGTACAACCTGGCAAAGCATTCTGTGCTAGTTTCAGAACTTGATAGTTAAAAAAACCCAATATAATTCAAACAGCGTTTGGGGTTAGGGTGTGATACCCAGCCCTCGTTTGATCAAACTACAAACCATACAAAAAATATCAAAAAAAGACGTCACAAGCAACTACTCAATATCAAAATCAAAAATCTCGGCCTCTTTTTCCTTCCAAAAAGCAAAACTGCGGTCGATGTATTTACAAATCTCCTCATTGCTAAAACTAGAAATGTCCGTTCCACTGTGGAGCATCCCCTCATCGGGTGTGGGTGTCTGCACAATGACTTTAGGGACCTGTCTAACCTCTGGGAGGATATGTTTCACAACTTCTGCATTGCTTTCAGACTGACTCACAGTGTTTCCAAAGAACTTCACTTTGATGTCCTCAAAGCCGTCATTCCACTCACGGTTCCCGGCCTCGATGTCCTGCATGACGGCCTTGTGGAAGTCCCTGACCAGCTCCCAGGGAAAGCTCCCCACGTGATCGAACACCTCGAAACACAGCAGGTGCCTCATCTTGCGTTCGTCCACAGGAAGCTCCAGCTCAAGGATGTGAAAGTAGCCCAGCATGAAGAGATCCAGGGTCAGACTGTCGTACTCCACCGGGACCCCATCCAAACGAGGCAGGAACTGCTCAGGGGAGTAGAGGGCCTGCTGCCTGTGGAGTCTGCAGATAACAATGAATGGTTATTCAAGATTTATCAACGCTTGTTTGCACTAAAGCATATAAACACTACTCTACTTATTATTATTCCCATGCTGAACTATTGTGTAATATGTTGCCTTTTTCTTAACTTTAATGTCCGATTTCATTTCTGATTAGTGAAGGATTGATCAGCTTTGTTCTAATACTACATAAATCATTTAAAGAAAAACTGTTATTCTGTCTAACGTTTTATTTTCCAATTTGTATCATGGATATTCAGTAATTACGTACAGGTAATTAAACTGAACCAATCTTAAGTTTAGGACTTTAAAGCTGCATTAATTTCATTTTTCCACTTGGGGCAGATCATCTCATCAGCAGCTAAAAACCTGATTAGCTTGCAAAATTGTTGCCAAGTGATTGCCTATTTACACATCCAGCAGACACAGTGTAACATTGGCATTCACTTAACACACCTAACACACTGTGCAGATTAAGGTCTTTAAAAGAGGACCAAGTCAATCCTGGTTGATCCCAGTCATTATACGTTCATGGAGTTGAAGATGTTTTCATCTGGCAGCAATACAGCCTGCCAGCATGCAGGACCAAGAGATTTAAGAACGTATTTGTTCTAGGTTCCCTTGGCTTTTGTTAAGGTCTAATCGTGCATCTTTTTATTTTTATTTTAGAGAAAGGACAATGGACAGATAGACAGTGGAAATGAGGGAGAAAGAGAGAGTGGGGAATGACATGCAGGGAAGGAGCCACGGGTCGGATTCGAACCAGGGTCGCACGCTTTGAGGACTACAGCCTCCATACATGAGGTGCTCGCGCTAACCACTATGCTACCTGCACACCTGCTATTGGCTTTTAGTATAGGCCTGTGTCCTTTGTATTGACCCTATTAGTCTGTGCATATTTCCCTCTGTCTCAGTTTACAATATAATGTTGTACTTTAAAGGAAGAATGTGCACATTTGTATACATAAATAAAGCAGAAATGAAGTGTATCCTATCTGAGTCATGACTGTTTACAATGAGTGTGAAGTGCCCGTCCCGCTGGCTGTGTTGTTGAATAAAAGCTGTTTAAGTCAAGGACTAGAGAAAAGAATAATAACATAGCCTACTCACTGCTTAGTTGAATGTCAAGTAGGCCTAGGCGTTTTTCAGATTACGGTTATTCTGTGACAATTAACGTGCAATGTGAAGCTTTAAATTAACCCAAGTGTGCTAACATTAGCCTGCTAACACAACAATGCAGACCACAGGCAATTGCACAGGCAATTGCAGCTCGAGCCAAGGACAATTTTGTCCACCGCTTGAGCTTAATGGTGTTTAATTATGGTGTGCTATGGGGTGCAGGTGTCACCAAACAGCAGTTTGTTTTGGTTTCATGCTGGTGCTCAAGGACACCATCTACTGGATCAAAAAGTTGCATGTTCTTCCTTTACGGGTCAAATTGCTGAAGATTGATTACAGCTCTCACAGAATGCAGCAGTCAGTGGTTTAATCATCAATGCCTCAACAGGCTGCATGTTAAATATTAATTTAAGACATTTAAGACTAAGATGAAGGGTCTTCCAGAAATCACAAAACGTAGTGTACTTTTGGGTTGTTTCTGACAAATGAAAGTACCATTACAAGAGTTTGTGGCTTTACCTGCGTATCTGTCTGGACGGAACACTGGAGATCATGCTCCTCCAGTTCCCCAGCATCTTGTTGACAGCACTCCTCTGCTTGAAGAAATGACCCAGTGAGCTGTTCATCATCTTTGACTGGGCGCTCTCCTCGCTGCCACGGCGAACCGACTCAGGTTTGTTGCCTGTCCCAGAGTTTCCACCGCTCGTCTTCCTCTCTGCTGCATCCTTGCTCTTCAGTGTCACAGTGTAGGCAGATTTCTTCCAGTGGCCTAAAAACAGCACAACAATCCGCTCCTTTCTAAGACTGGTGGTCTCTTGGACATCTGCTACATTTTCATCATAATCAATGCCGGAGTCACTGTTCTGATCTGTTTCTTGGGCAGGACTCAGGACTTTGGGTTGTTTGTCTGACTCTGTGGCCTCAAGTTCCAAGGAAGGACTCAACACGACAGCCTCCTTTGGCTCTTCTGATGAAGGGGAGTTCAGTGTCTCAAAATTAGACTTCAGAGTCCTTACTGAGACTCCGAACTGATGGATTTCATCCTCTATCCTCTCTCTGCGTCCCCTGGTTGAGTTTTGTCTCTCTGGCGTCAGAGAGAACACAGTGATCAGGTCGGTGTTGGGCATCTTGCAGTAGGGCTGGTCTGTCAGGTTGGTCATGAGCAGAGACATGCTCTTCACAATGCCTGAGATTCGACCACACCACACGGGAAGAGGAACGTGACTTTTGAAGTTTCTGAACTGTGTGTTGACGGTGATGTTCACTATGGGTGCTGGCAAGATGTGTCTGAGCTCCTCGGCCAGACGAGCCAGCTCCAGCTCGTAGCCTTCACAGTTCCTCTGCATGGAGACGTTGGCAATCTGCTGCTCCAGATAGATGAGGTCATCCTCGGCCAGCAGCTCCCCGGAAGGCCCCAGGATGGCATTGTGGGCTTGGGAGTACCTCCAGGTGACTTTGGCATATCTGTTCCCATTTTCCTGTGAGCGAGGAGTGGGCACAAATAAATTCAGATTGACATATAAACAGTATTTTTTTTCTAATTTTAAATGGTTGTGGCATGAGAGGAGTAATGAGTTAAGTGTAATGATACAGTAAAACTGCGATCCAAACCTCAGAAATATGACTTGACTGGAAATGTGTTACGTGTTTAGATTTTGGTTAGATGCAATTTAAAGTCAAAGATGATGGAATAGATTCACAAAATAAGACCACAATTTAAATATCACTCACTGTGGTCTGGTTAGGCAGTAATCTGAATTTAAGAGGCTGTAACTCACTTTTCAAGGACGGCAAACAATTCATCAATTTTCAAAAGTGTTCCTTTCCTGTCCATCAATGTATCTTTTTATTTACTCATCTTCTTTCTCAAGTAGGCCTTCAAGAAAAAGATCTAAATGACTAAATTAAAAATTTTACTGAATAAAAGTGAAGAGAAAATGGACCATAAACATGCGTTGTTTTCTGTCAGAAGGTAAGATGTGTCATAGAGTCAGACCCAACAATTTAAACCTGTCATCGGGCGAATGGTGAAGCAAGGAGAAACTACTCCTCACATTAACATGAACACACCTTTCCTTTGAGTGGATAACAAGTCAAATTTAAACAGATGTAATACAATTCTTTCCAACAGTGGCTGAAATATTGATTACATGATAACTGGACAGACCTCAAGTAACAGTGACCATGACCTTTGACTACCAAAATCTTATCAGTCCACCCTTGAAATATTGTGTTCATAAGAATGGGGTGTGCATAGCATGTTTCTCCAGGACATTATGATGTCATGGACAAGTTGAAAGTTTTGGGACAAACAGTCTAATACCATTAAACACTTTTCAGAAAAGGTGTCATAATTAGCATGTTCTTGTGTTGTCATTTTTTAAGACATACTGTACACCTGACAGCCAACTTCTAATGAGTTTATCCTTAACAACATTTTTTTCAGGGGATCCTTTGGTATTGGTTTGGTATCCAAGTAGAATGGGAAAGTGGGATGGAAAGACAACCAAAAGCGATAACACATCCTGCATTGGCTGTCAGGATCATCAGGAATAACTATGGAAGCCCCGTAGCCAACATACATCCATACTTTTTAATTTTACTCTGTGTTCCTGTTATAACAGCAATTTCTGTTTCTGTCTTCTGAAGATCTTGATCAATATTTTTGGATAGCAACACTGGTTTTTCTGCTATAATGAGTTAATTTCTCAAGATCTCAGAAAACGACCTATATTGACCTTGTTATCACCTGAAAACCAGCAAGCACTTTATTAAAGATACCTTGTGTTTATTTATAATCTGTAATAAAGTAAAGTCATCATGTAAACATCATCCATTATCTCTGAATTTATATTTATTTTTATAAAGTAGTCCAGATGTATATTTTCTTTAATTCCCAGGCCAAGCTGTTCATGAGCCTGAGCTACAACGATAATCACTGAAGATTTGTAAGATTTAGATTAATGTATAATCAAATATACTGTTTGATATTTGTAGAGACATTACCTTCTCCTCTGATCCTCCTCGTCCAGCAGTCTGGCCTGCAGCTGTCTCACCATCACCTGCCTCTTCCACTCAGCAATAGGACGGCCTCTCTCGTCATGAGTGGGCACCAGGTAGTCGATGTCCGACAGGTTGGCCTCCTCAGTGGGCAGGACCACCATCTTATTCTGCAAAGACACAGTGGTGGGCCATCAGGGCCAGCTAGGCCTTCTCTGCTGGCCTTTACACTATCAGATTCACAAACTGATGTTTTTCATGAATACAATATGTTGTGTCAAGTTCCCATTAGGTTGATCTTATTGTCACAGCTACTCTCTCCCTCAGATGTGCTGCTTCCAGTGCAGCACATTTTAATTACAGCTTTTATCCAACCAGATTTAGCCCCTGTGTTGCCTTCAGAATTTCAAGTGAATCCCTCTTCAGTTTAAGCAAATGGGAACAATAGTGCGTTGTGATATTCTCTACCAATCAGATTTTGAGTTTGACATGTTGGGTGTACTCTTTGACATTCCAGAGCCTTCTTCGTTGTCTTGTCGGGCACGTCAGAATTTAGTGTGGCTTGATTGGCCAATGAGCCAGGCTAACATTTTTCAAAACTAGCTAGCTAGACATTGTTGGACGAGAAGTTCGAGAAATTGTTAAGACTTTGTTTTGGTAACGTTTAGATTTTTAAGCACTTTTTTTTGAGGTATAGATTTTTTTTTTAAGCTAGCTAAAACACATGGCTGAAGGAGAAGAAAACTGGTTTAGTGGCGGATTTATTGGCAAATCCTTTTTCAAGAAGGACGTTTCAAGTGAAGTTGGACATCGTGAAGAAGGTTTTGTGCCCCACTTTCACTTTCTGCCTAGCAGCTATGAAATATACCCTAGACTTACAGATTCAGAGCGTTGCAAATTGTGTTGCTGGGAATACCTGATCGACTTTGCAAAATCGGACTTGCTTACCCAAGGCACGACAGGACACTTAAAAGCACTGGTGCTCCTGAAAACTTTAGCAGAAACCTCAGTGGATCTACAATCAAATGAACCATAATGCAGGGAAACGGAGCTTTACAACAAGCTGACTGAATTCTCCAAGACAAAGAAAGAAGGACTTTGTCTTTGATTTACAAGCAGCTTTGTGTTATTGTACGTGTCTTTACTTCCTTTACTTCTTATTGTTAGTCATTATCAACAATTTGTTTTATTATGCAGCTATGTCGCTGCTTATTTTATGTCTGCATTACTGTCAGTTTTTATGTCTATTTTTACAGTGTTGTTGTATCGTGTGTCATTACCTAAAAGCCTTACCAGGGAAAAGGACCGCAAATTAAATACGGCTAGAAGTCCTATATACATTGCACCACATGCACTTTAATTAGATGTAACAATGTCTAAATGTATTGTCCCTGACAAATAAACTGATAAATAAATAGATATAAAAACAATACATTTTTACTGTTCTATCATGTGTTTTATTCATGGTTAATGTTGTTGCTTCTGATGTTGATGATGTTTCATTGGCAAATCTGTGATTTGGGTTTTATGGCATGTTTGACCTTGTTTGAGGTCATGGACCAAATGTGATTGGTTGTTGTGAATATATTCTTGTTACCGTGGTAATGACATAATATTTTGGCTGCATGTGATGCCTGTTTGTGATGCAGCAACCTGTCATAAAGCAAAATAGTGATAGGACTTCATCCTTGATGGTTTCTAAATGTAGCATCTGCAGTAAGTGTATTTGTAGCCCTCGTAGATGTTTAGCCATGTGTTAGTTTTATTTCATTATGAAAATGACGTAACCCTAACCCTAATCACGTGTAATAACAATAACCTATAACTGTGTCATCATAATGAGGTTATTAGGGGGTGATTCAATTGCAATGGGACAGCGCTGAAGGTCCAGGTGTAACATACACTTCCCACCACTGAGTTAAACTAAGAAAGGAAATACTCACAACGGAAGGAAGAACAGAATAAGGAGTCTTATTGCACGTACTGCTTGTCCGGTGAAGACTCCCGATAAGCTTGATTGTTTCAAAGAATTTATGGACTTCATGTCAACAAGAAGTTTTCTCTCTGCCAGGAGATTTGCATCCGGCGTCTTATCAGCTGGGATGGTTACCTTACTCACAGCGGCCTTGGGCTGATTGAAACCTTTAAGAACTGGAGGATAAATCAGAATCATGTTTTGCATTGAGCAGTTTGTTGCTTTACTTTTCTTGAACGGATTGTATTTGTTAATAAATTGTTGTTGTTTTTTTTTTTTTTTTTTTTACCAGATGTTGCGATATGAACCTGTTCCATTCTGTTGATGCTTATTTTCTCTGTTTGGGCAGGTGAGGAAAAAGGAGGTGCAGTCGGAGGCTGAGGGTATCTGGCCTGCGGGGACTCCTCACTCTCAGGTTGCTAATTTTGAAGAAAAAAAAAGGGAAAAAAAGACATGTCGAAGTTGTTTTGGGTTACAACCGCAAATTGTGCAAATGGAAAACATGATAAACAACTAATCACAGTGTTTACCTTTAAACTATCCATGGGTGAGTTGGAGCTGTAACCGTCCCTGCATGTGTCGCTCAGGCAGCCGTAGTAGTCCTCCCTCTTATTCTGTAACAACACAGCCTGCTTCACCTTCAGCTCTTCCTCTGCTGGAGCAGTAAACTCAATGTTTTGATCCACACAGGCAGTCTGCAAACACATAAATCATAATCAAGTAAAATCAGATTTAAGACTTTTCAAGACAATTTACCCTGATAATAATAACTAATGGCCAAATTTAACAACACCAGCCTGCAGGTGACCAGAGTATGGGTTACTGACATTTTATTTCTCTCATCAAATCTTCTACAGTATTAAATAAAATACTTTCGGGTTGGAAGTCAAAGACAAAAAAGTAGTGATTATTTAAGAGGGTAAAAATATTCCTTCAATGACGGAGAGAAACAGTTGACCTTGATGGAAACTAATATTGTCCGGTATAAAACTACACCTTGATAGATTTGTGTTACATTTTCTTCTATTGTTTAGTGGTTAGTTCACACAGCCAGGGTTCAAATCCAAACTGTGGCTCATGTCCCGCATATTATTCCCCTCTCTCAACTCTAGGTACCAGAATGCTTTGTCTCCTTAAATTTGAGGTGAAGTCAGTTTTTATTAATAAAGCTTCATAAGAAAGGTTATCTCATTAGCTGGTTAGCTGTTTGTCGACACATAAATCATTGTTTTCATGTGGAACAAGATTAAGAAGATTTTGAGCAGGTGACTCAGGTGACCTCTGTACTCAAGTGTGTGCATGTCTTTTATATGTTTAAAAAAAATGCTTTTGAGGACAGTTGTAAAAACCACAAAACCTTACAACAATAATCTAACAGTTTGGATTTTATTTGTACTGTGAGAGTGGAAATGTTTTACACAACAAGCACAATGACAAAAAGGGAGTTATTATTTGTCATCAACAACTCGAATAACTAATGAAACACACACTGATTACTTCTAGCATTTCTAGCAAATACCTTTACCCGACAGATTGTAGGTTTGGGTCATGTATATTGGGTTTAGCATAGCCACAAAAGGAACGGGGACTTTTTTTTTTCTTTTGAAAAATATGCATTATGTTTGTGAAATACACTTTTAATTCTCAAAGAAGAGACTAAATAAATAAGCAAAATAAAATAATGTTTAATGTTCAGGCAAACAGCAACAAAATTTAAAGCTAAATTCTGGAGACATAAGAACTAAAGAAATGCATGGGATAGTAAGAACCTTGAATAATTGGCAGCCTTTCACACCGCTCCAGGGAGGATGTAGCATGTATGGAAGCATTTAGATCCCCTTTAATGAACCTGCGTTGTCCTAATGCACTCCATGCAGAATGCATATCAAATTCAGCTCTCCAAGGACATTATTAACAACCAAAACATCAAAGGCAGCACTAATATGCTTCTGCATGCTGTTGTGCTTTGTGTCCATGAGGTGGTCCTTGCCATTTCCTCTCACACGGCACTTTGATGTGGAACAGCACGAAATATGCTGTGACACTGCTCGGGTGGAGGAATAAACTTCCCCGAAGTTGTGCAATCCATAAATAGATAAACAACGGGGCTGGGAAAAGAGGAAAGGGGGGAACCAGATTCCTTTGCGACCCTTGTTGTAACAGTTCAACGTCCTAAAAGCTATCATGAACCGGCCCTTGTGTGTGTGTGTTTGTGTGTGTGTTTAATTAGTCCCAGTGGCCTGAGAGCATTTGGTTTTCATCAGCACCCCATCACAATTGCCACGCAAATATAGATAGCCTAGCCCTGTTTTGGCCTGGATCCACTCTCCCTTTATCAAAGACCACAAAGAGCCCGATCACTACAGATTAGGAGCCAAGAGTTAAGAAACAGCTACTCTCATTGTCGGACATGCAGCACCAGTAATCTGTGGTCCCTGTGGGTCGAGCCATGAGAGGGTTGAAGTATTTCAGAACACCATGTGTATTTAAAAAACATGTCTTGTAATTCTGCACACTGAAATCCATCATTAAAACAACCTGTTTCCATGTGAAACCTTCACGTTCTGGGTGATAAATTGCAATGTGGAATGTATACAGCGGGTGTACATTATACACAGAACACTATAGTGTAAATACATGTCCACTCACATGTTAAAATACTCTCAGGTTTCCTGCATGGAGGTAAATGCTTCAGAGGCAAACAACAGACCGACACAATGTTTTTGCCAACACTTACAGCTCTTTACATTCACAGTAGCTAAACAAGTGTTAAGCAAAAGTGTTATTAATCTACCTAATACTGTATCATTTAGACAACATACTGGAGCAAAAAAACAATTTTCAGCAACACAGTAGGTTTTAAAAAAGGAAATAAAGTATGTGCAATTTGCAAAAATCAACAATGACAACATATATTAAGGTCATGGGCAGGGAATATTAGTCATGCCTAACCGTAAGAGGCCACAACTGATCAGAAAACAGCTAAAACACTGCCAAAACATCTGCCAACTAGGGCCTGTTAACAGAACAAAGCTTTCCTTTCATTTCACAAAATTATTACTCAGCCCCTCCAATCACTTATAAAAAAAACACTTAAAAACAAAGTTCTCAAGCAGAAAAAGGATTAAATACAAGCACACGCAGCACACAAACCATAAATAATAGAGGAAATGATCAATAATCCAGCATTAAAATGTACTAACCTCGACCTTAAGCTATTCTCTTAGTGCTGACTGGTAGGACTTCACTGTTCAGAGACACTGCAGAGGCTTCGGCTCATGCACACAGGTATCCAGGGCGGTTGCTCCGTGTTGTGGATGTGATACTATCTTAAGATCACCAACCACTTGTTTGACACCAACATCAGCATCCCTGCCAGTGGCCAAGGGCCGCCAGGCAATAAACAATAAACTCTGATCGGAGAATGCTGTTAATAATTAAGGGAAAGGATAGGATGGCCGGTAATGTCACTAATGCATGGACAAACCAATGGCCACGCTGTTGCACGAAGGGAGGTATCAGCGGAAGACTTGTCAAAGCAGCTGGAAAACAGACATTTTATCCATGCGCGTTCAGGCGATTTTTCCACTTGGGACAATTGAATGAGCTTATTCATCAGGTGTTTTCTATTGTGAGGGTGGGGGTCAAATGAGTGAGTACTGACTGTGGAAACACAATGTGATACCATAAGCTTCAGTAGATATGTTTGACGGTTCAGTGGAAAAAGCTGACAACAACAAAATGAGCGTTGTGACAAAGTGTGGCCACATTTTTTAAAGAGTTTATGGCCAAAATGTTGAACTAACTTCCACTTGAATACAATCTCTGTGTCAATAAAACAAATGCATTCCAGCTTCTTAGCTGGAAAGGCAATCTGAAATTGAAAAACAACAACAAAAATAATCTATTTAGGGTCTATTTTTAATCAGTCCATAATTCTTCACAATTTAATAAAATCTGTTCATCAACATTCCTTAACCCAAAAGCTGTCAAATGTTTTGGAGGGTAATTCATTAGAAAATCAACACATATCTCTGAGGAGTTTCTGACTGTTAATCTGATAAAGTTAATCAGACCACTAACAAGAGGTTCAATTATTTCTGTTAAGTTATTCCACATGCCTGTCACAGATGCTTTTGGGTCAGTTTCTGCCAAAGTTATTCTTACCATGCAGACCTCTAACTACCAACTGGTTCACAGTGAGATGTACTTACGCCTGCATAATGTGAGAAAAATATGTGACATGTGGTAACAATAATCAATACTGCTATAATGATGAAGAAGTACATACACATAACCTGTGTTTGAAACACATTCTCAAGAATCTAAAATAAGCCTTTTTACATCACAACATTAGCCATACTTAATCTGAGAGTAGCTGATAGCTTTCCAGAACTTAATTTGACTGGTGTTAATGAATGGCTCCTCTTTCAGATAAAATGTACGTGTGGTAAGTAAGAAAGCATTGCTTGTTTAGTAGAATAATTTTTATTCATTGCCATGTATTACGACTTTTGTGGTGTGTTTATTGCTATTTATTTTGCAGCCCAAGATTGACGGCTGTTCTTGAGAGCTCTAATCAGTATAGAAACCATCTTAAAATCATTGTTATCAAACAAACTATCGTCATTACGATCATCATCATTAATAATATAAAAACCAACGTCACCATCATTAAGGTCGTAGGTATTCATGAAAGAGCTTTCACCTGTCTTGTATTGTTCCTCTTCCCCCTGGATGTATCCTTAACAATTAATTACTTTAATAAAAATCACTGGCAGACATGGCTGTGTAAGAGGTGACTGTGGAAGTAACTGTAATACAACTGACTAATAACATAACAATCATGGCTGCCAAGCTATATCTTGCTGTTGGCTTTTTATTATACAAGAAATTACATCACAAGGCAATGATAACAGCTAAAGCTTCCCAATTATTATTGTTGTCTCAATGTTTATTAATGGTACTAAAACAAAGTTCAGAAAGTTTTGATGTCATCGTATGACATAATTATTACACTGTCTCAAACAAAAAATGTCATCCATCCAGCCATCCATTTTCTTCCACTTATCCAAATTCAGGTTGCGGTGGTAGCAGGCGAAGTAAGTCAACCCACACTTCCCTCTGCCAAGCAATGTTTCCCAGCTCCTCCTAAGGGGTTTTCTTGGCATTCCCAGGCCAGATGGGATATGTAATCCCTCCAGTGAACTCTGGGTCTACCCCGGGGTCTCCTCCCAGTTGGACGTACCTGGAAAACGTCAAAACGTAGGCGTCCAGGAGGCATCCTAATCACATGCCCAAACCACCTTAACTGGCTCCTTTCGAAGTGAATGAGTAGCGGCTATACTTTGAGCTCCCACAAAATGTCTGAGCTCCTCAACCTATCTGTTAGGCTGAGCCCAGCGTCCCTCCAGATGAAAATCCTTTTGGCTGCTGGAATCTGTGATTTCATCATTTCGGCACTACCTCTAACTCATTACCATAGGTGGTCATAAGCTATGGGTTCATTCAAAGATCATCCAGTAAATAAGAGCTTTGCCTTCAGGCTCAGCTAACTCTTAGCTGGAACCAGAACGGTTCCATACAAACAATCCACCTGCCAATCTCACAGTACATCCTACCCTCATTCATGAACAAGACTTTGAGATACTAGAAGTCCTTCACTTGGAGCAAGAACTCACTCCCCATCCAAAGGGAACAATCCACTGTTTTCCAACAGAGAACCATGGCCTTGGACTTGGAGGTGCTGATCCTGATCTTGGCTGCTTTGCACTCGGCTGCAGACCAGCCCAATGCCTGCTGGAGGTCCAAGCATGAGGAAGCCAAGAGAACCACATCATCTGCAAAAAGCAGAGATGAGCTTTCGAGGTCCGAAAGCTCGACTCACCGGCGAAAACTTCAACACAGCAGCGCTCAGTCAGGGGCTCTTGAGTATCCCCACACCCACCTGGTGCCTCTTACCCTGGGAAACTCCAGAAAGTACTCCTATCCAGGAGTTTGGTTCCAGGACCGATGCTGTGCTTTGAGTTGAGCCCAACTATAACTAGCTGGTAGCAATTCACATCCCGCACCAGCTCCTTTCTCGCCAGAGAGGTGACATTCTACGTCCCGAGAACCACCCTGTGCTGCTGGTCTGCTTTGCACACCCAGGCCCCCTCGGCTTAGCATGCACCTGACCCCCATGCCTCTCCCTGTGGATGGAGAGCCTTCAGGGCAGAGGCTTCATGTTGTTCTTTCGGGGCAGGTGTATTGTTTTTGTCGACAGGAGCCGCCAAAATCAACAAGAAACAAAAGCTCCTGACAGCTGCTTTCAATCATTAATCAATTATCAATACAGCAATTTGATTTCTCTTACACAATGTTAAAGTGAAATATGTTTAGGGAGAGAGTCCTACATGTTTTGGAATATACTATAGATGGTAAAATAGACCCCCCTTCTTCTACGATGAACCCAGACATCGTAACACTGTAACAGATCAATAGAACAGAAGTGAAACAGGATTGAGGGCTTCAAAAAAAGGTCTTAATATCTGACATTACAAAGGACATCAAAAGTCCATTAGATGCTCATGTTGTCAATCAAATATTTTTATATCAGATACAAAAAGCTACTAAATCATGTTCATCATAGCAATGCACAACATCCTAAACAGCATAATGATGAATTAGACAACAGTATGTCCTACCTCTCTAAGTAATCTAAAAATACTGTTCTCAAAAAAGTGTCCTTGGCCTGATCTCTGTGAATGGAGAGCAAAAGCCCCAAATGTGAGTGAAGTAAACCTCACAACACAATGTTTATTTGATCGCAGCTGTTCCTGAGAAGCGAGATGAGGAAGTGCGGTTGACAGAGCTGAGCAAGTCTGACCTCGTTGTGAGCGATCCAAACATGCAGAGAGGCCAAATGTACTGCTCTCTCTCTCTTTGGTCAACATCCCGACCCATTTAGGTCACTGCTCGGAAATGAGATGATCTGAGTGACACTCAAGAACTGATGAATTCTGTGATCTACCCAGCACAAACCTGAAACACCCTAGAATGTAATTAAAGTCTAACTTCACAATATATTTAAGAAGCAATAAATAATCTGCTCTATAAATATGATGCTGATTTGAATCAATCAACCGCTGTTTAAGGTTCTCTATCAGATGACCTCTTTGTTCACATCAAGCCTCAGATCGCATGTTCAAAAGAAAGATGATACATCATTCTGTCTAATACCCACATCATGCAGTATCCAGAGGTGACAATCATAGCACTTCCAAGTCCCTGGAAAAAACATGACACACAATCAAACGTGTGTTTGAAGCCAGTGACATCCTGCTCTCCAAGTCCGCAGAGGGATAGAGTTGCTGGTTCCAGGCATCAGAATGGTGAAAACGCTGAAACTTAAGCTTGTGGATCTCATAACGGACTCAGCCCCCTGGCCCTCCACCTGAGCCGCTGGAGAGGGGTAACTGATAGGCCCTTAGCTGGCGCGAGCTCCGGCTGCGTTGGACGTCGTAGCAGCCCTGGCGCTAATTAGCTCTCCATTGTTCATGGGGAGGATTATCTCTGAAGGGAGAGCTCTGCAGCAATGCCTCGCTGGCTCCCTATGATCATCCTCTTCATGTATGAGTGCTGCTCTTCTCTGCTAACTTATTTATGGCGTCTATTGGCTGACAGCTTTCGTTACTCTGTGTACATCGCTGTGTAGTCTGCGCTATAGGCGGCGAGTGAAGTGTGAAAGGGAGAAAAAATGACAGGCTGCATGAGGACTTTAAGGTTCAACAAGTCCGCTGACAGAGTGGTCCCCATGGGCTCTTTCAGTTAGAAGTGTTTTCTCTGACCTTTTTTCAAATCAGCTCCACTAGGCTCAAATGTCCGTGTCAGTATGAAATGTAATCCTCTGAGGTAAACAAAATATACAAGGCAAACTTACAATTCATTTGTGCTAAATGTAAGTTAGTTTTGACCTCATTGACCTATGACTTGTACAGGCAGCGTCAGCACAAACAAAGGTGTAAACACTGAAATATTCATCACGTCACATAAGGGAGTGCTGTGCCTCTGAACAAAACTAAAGAGCTAATCTCAGAGAGTCCTCAGCAGCAAACTGAGAACCAAAATCTCCTCCAGCACTCACTGCATCAGTACCTGTAATGCCTTATTTAAATTAACACAAAGGCCGTCATCCTCCACTCTCTGAGACCTCTTAAACTGAGAGCAAAGCAATCAGGCTGAGTGGAAGACAACAGTGCTGGAGAACAACAGGCCTGACCTGCATAAAATACATGTCATAAATTAAGAAATGACTCAGCGAGGTTCCAAGACCTTCCAGATGTTTGCTGTTGACTGTACTCCCTGAATTAGCTTTGATTTTCATGCCAGAGTCAACAGCTGGGCAGTGCTGACACAAAGGGAGTTTTGATCACACGACTAATTACAGTTGACTTAAAAAGGCGTTTCTAATATTTTGTGTGTTAGAAAGCAACTTTAGAAGAAAAGACGTAAGTCTGAGCTGGAGTATTGTCTTGATTAAGAGTTTAAAGGTGATAAAATAGTGGAATCAATGGTTGTTGGGCTTATACTTTAACCTCGGGGCTATGTGGTAGGGTAGGTAGCATCGGCATTGTCACTACCTAGCTGGCATCGACACAGCCTGGGTCTGTTGCAGGTGACAATGCTAATTGATTGTGGCGGTAACTTAGGGCCATAGGGGTAGGTATGTGACTTAAACTATTTACATAGTCACATCATTTAAGGGATGTCTTCATGTCTACTTATTCTTTCATTGGGAGCACACAGGTACCTTGTGTTTAATTCAAATAATGTACTGTGCATTTTAATGTCTTATTCTCCTTAATGTTGCCTTTCTAAATAAAAAAAACTTCCTAAATTGGTAAAAAAAAGGAAGTAGAGAGCTTACATTTTCCTCCACGACAGAGATACAGAGATATCTGGCACATTCATGGTGTCCATTATAAGCTGCCAACTGTGCTGCTGTTAATCCATCAATATCCTGCTCTGAAGGGTTTGCCTGATTGGCCAACAGGATTTTACAGCACTAAGAGAAGGAAGAAGAAAATGAAAACAATATATCTTTATAACTGGAGTATAATGAGAGAAAACTTGGAGTACGACAAAAGAATATATGAGAAAATGTTCCATCTCACCTCCAGCTCTCCATTCTCTGCTGCATCATGAAGTGGGGTCCCTCCCCAGTAATCCTTGATGACCTTTGATCCCATGTGAAGCAGCGTCTCCAAGATGCAATAGTGCCCTCTGCTGGCAGCAAAGTGCAGAGCAGTTGCTCCTTCTCTGTCTTGGCAGGACAGGCTGATATCAGTAGAGGTCGCCTATTTGGGTTTCAAGGAAAAAGAATCAAAGTTGTGAAAAAAAACTAAATAGAATATATTCAGGAAACCTTTGTAGTGCTTCTACTGACCAGCCAAACCACCACAGCTTGGTGGCCCATGTGAGCAGCAGCATGCAGGCAGGTCATGCCATCGTGGGCCCTCAGGTGAACGTCAGCCCGGCAGTCACTCACAAGGTACTCTACTACATGAAGGTGACCCTCCTGGCAGGCTAGGTAGAGTGGGGTAGCACCAAGTCCAGTCTGATGGTTCACACTCCTAAATTCCAACGAACATAAACAAGAGGTCTGGATTTAAGAGTGTCAGCTAATAAACACTTTAAATAAATTAAAAATGAGTTGCAGAGCCGATGTAAAACATTTTGTATCTCAGATAAAACACACTTATTTGATCAAGGGTTTGGCCAGTTTACAATTCAACTTACACAACATTAACAGAATAGAATGTATTGATTTGGCATTGTACATGTACAACAGAATGTGGTTTCTAAATTCTTTCAAAATGCCAAATGTGTTCTTTTTATTACTATAAAAAGAGTTATATAGAGTTTAAGAGCAGCAGACATAACTACATAGCATTGAGACAGGAAACAGTTGAATTTCCTCAGCAGTCCTTATTTTTTTTTTATGAATATGAACAACTAAGTTTAATGTTTGGAAAGTGTGAACACACAGGATTAGTTAATGACGTATCAGAAAAAGACTGGAGAACGACAACAACAATTAAGTCCTCCAAATAAACTTTCCTTAGATCCCTGAAATGCAACCCTTTGAGCCTTCAGTGATCACTGAGGCTTTAGAAGTTTGTGTTGTTGATAAGTAAATAAAGAAGAATTTGATAAGCTTTTAAAAAGTCTACATCAGTAGCAAGTCACAGTTAGAGCAAGTTTTTTTATTTTTATTATTAATGGAAACACATGGTAGTTAAGTAATAAAATAACTTATATGCATGGAAATACCAACCAAAAAATCAAAAAAAATATAAGCACAAAGTGTCACATGTGGTATAAAATTGGGATGCAGTTACACTGTGAACATTAATTACTGTTAGCGGTATTACAGAGTCCCTTTGCACCTTTAGAAAAAAGCTAAAGACCCAGCTCTGTCATCAACACCTCCTAACTTAATGATATTGATGATGATATTTAGAATGGTTTTGATGCTGATTAGAACTCTCAAGAACCGATGTCGATGATGTTGTTGGTGCTATGCCTCTGTGCACTGCCTGTCAGCACCTGTGTGTCCGATGAGACTTGAAGCTGTTTGTTAGAGACATTGTTTCCTCCTCTCTAGCTCCTTGCTTGTGTTGTTTTTACTCTCTGATGTACATTGCTTTGGATAAAAGCGTCTACTAAATTGTAGAATGGTTCAACATTAAGAAGTTGTTTGTTAATCTCAGGGAATTTAAACCTCACAAGACCTTCTGAAAAGTATACTAAAAGTATCATTAACACACAGGGACTACACTTTCTTATTCTTGTGAACTTCTCTGTTTTTAATGGACTTTTTTGTTTTTCTTTGTAAAGTACATTTACAAGTTAGTAGAAAAGTTTCTTTTACTTTTGGATAATCAGAATCAATATCAAACTGAACATATTATTACAAAACTAATGTATCAAAAAGATTTTTGTTTGCCTTCTCTATTGTTACTAAAAAGTACATCAAACAAGGTAAAAAATAGAGGAAGTAGTAGTGTGATTATATAGGATATACTTTATAAACCCGCATCAAACCTTTTTTTTAAGACTAGTTCACACACCTCAGGGCTGCATTTACATTAATAATCTCACTGATCTTCAACCACAAGGCTGACATGTGACTGACAGCGTCTACGACATGTATTATTCACAGGTCACTGATGGTCACATGTGATGGTCTGACCCTGCCATGTGTCATGTACATTACAGTCATACTCTTCTCCTGTAACAGGGGGATGAAGCATGATGAAGGACAATTAAGTAATTACTCACTAAGTGCTGCTGTCTCAGGTTTAGGAGGTGGAAGGTATTAATGGGAGGGGGGAACACGTCACATATGTGTCTCTGTGTGATTGTAGCCCTAATGCCATAAATCATCTGGTTTCAGAGCCATATGGAGATGTCACTCAATTCATTATTTCTGTGATTTTTAATAGAAATACGCAAAAGACGTTCTGATAACCCAGTGTCACACACACACACTGGCTTTTACGTGGGTTCGTGGCCCTGCTTTATTCAAATTCTTTGAAATTGAAATCTGAACCACAAAAACAAATCATCATTCATGTTTCATAGATAAGTTAGACATAACAGCAAACCCACCCAGGTGTCTGTTGAACAAGCAGTTTTAAACAGGTGAGGTCCCCATAGGCTGCAGCATAATGAGCAGGTACAGCTCCACAGTTTGTCTCCACCTCTGTGTCTCCTCCAACAGAAAGGAGCCACTCAATGACCCCCACACAACCAAACCGGGCTGCGAGGTGGAGCGCTCTGGCACCAGCAGAGTCTCTATCCTGGAAACAATCACAAAGCTCAGAGTTAAATGGAGTTTGATACGATTAATGCTTCTTTACTGTATCTGCTTATTCAAGAACTTGTGCTTTCCAGGGCTGAGGAGGTAATTCACAAACAGGTGCAGCTTTCTTTCTATATATATATATATATATATATACTAATCAGTACCACAAATTAAGAAAGGTGAGGTTTTCCCTCACAGTCCACTCTCCTAATGAAATCACTGTACTGTTGCTAGACGATTAAAGACAACCCCCCAATGGTAACACAGTGGTACAGAGAACATACAAGGTTTTACAAACGGACAGCCTCTCTGCCACACTAAAGGGAAACAATACTTTTATTTCATCTATTTAGCAACCTTAGAATCTCATCTCATAGAAAAACAGATTGAATGGAATTATTACTCCTTCTTTTCTCGTGCTTATTTTTTAATTAAAAGTGTTCCGACCCTTCTTTCTTTTCTTTTTTTTTTACAAAAACTAGTGGCATTGTTCAGTAGATCTCTCTTTTCATGTGTTACAGTAGTTTTGAAACATACTGTATGTTGTGAAATGTTCCATGCTGAGTCTTGATCTAGGTGCTGTCCTGTCATCATTTCCTTGTTTTGTCTTGTTTGTTTTTTGTTGTTGTTGTTTTGTGTTTTTTTGTTGTTGTTGTTGAAAATTACACTTTGAAAATTAATAAGATTATCTAATATTTAAGAGAAAACTAAATTATTTAAGAAACCTTGGAAGGACTATCAGGTAGGTCTTATTATAAACGATCTGTACGAATCATTTATCTGCTGATTATTTGAATGATTCATTGATACATTTTTGTCCCAGAGGCCAAAGTCATGTCGTCAAACTGGGCCTTTTGCCGAAGTAACATTCAAGAAGAACCTTAAGTCTCTAAATATAGAAATTTATAAATGATACACAATACATACATAACCATAAATATTTACATCTAATATGTAGATATAATTAAATAGATGACAAAGATAAGCAGGATATTCTCACATTTAACAAGCTGTGACCAACAAATGACTTTTCTCCTACTTTTAAAATGACTACATTTATTCAAAAATTATCAAAGAAGGTTGAGATATGTTCTTTTGATTAATCTCAACAGCTCTACTGTAGGTATAATTTAGAGAACCCTAAAAGCAGTAAGTGAGCTACACCTGAGTCCATACTAATAGCATATCAACTGGAGCTCCCCTCATGCATGGACATAATTACACTTGCCACATAATGGACACTTAGTAAGTCAACACCATGTGATGTAATCAGATGGTAATACTTCTGAAAGGCATACTGTACCTTTTACTACTGCAGTGATGTAACCTCACTATGGGATCAGTTAGACAGCCATCAGTAGTCATCTCCTGATTTTAGACTCAGGCACAACTGAGTCTGCAGAGCTGGACATTACTCGGCATTTGAGCTCTGTTGCATGTTTCTCTCCTCTTTTGTGTTAAGACTGATCTCTTTGGAAAGGCTTACCTCTATATTGCAGCCTCCTTGATCCACCAGCCACTGCAGCTCCCGGATGTGGCCGGTAGCTGCTGCATCATGTGCTGGTGTGGCTCTGTTTGAGGCCCGGATGTCAGGTGCCAGACCCAGCTCTCCCACCAGGAACTGCAGGCACTCCAGGCGTCCACATCTTGCAGCGTGGTGCACAGGACCTGCACCTTGAGCATCGGTGATGGCCTGGGAGAGGTAACCGGAAGATGCAAGCTCCTTCAGGAGTGCAACATCCCCAGCTCGAGCTGCCTGGATGGCCCGGTGAAGCACCATCGCCTGGCTGCTATGAGTAGGTTATGGCACACAAAACGAACTCCCTGGAGCGCTTCACATCCAAGCAGGCTTTCATCTCTTTCTAATGCTTGACTCTCATATAATAACAAAAAATTCATGCCTCCTCTCGAGCCAGGAAAGTGACACCTGAGCAGTAGCCAGCTGGCCAGCATGGCTGTTAGGGAGAGAGGAGGGGGTCAGAGCCGGCGAGATAGAAAGGTAATGAAAGACGGGTGTAAGCGCTGCACTCGTGGCCTCCTGCTCTCCTTTGTGTGGCAGTGACCATATGCTGGCACACGCACTAATGCTTCACTGGAGATGGGGGAGCTGAGGCAGCACGGAAACTTAAGTAATGGGAGAAGTCAGAGCCAAGGCATGGTGGATTACAATGAGTGTTATTTTTTTACAACTGTTAAACAAATTCCTCTCAATGTGGATGATTTAACATCTGATGAATCTGCAACAACGTAATTGTGACAGAACACTTGAAAGTAGATTCATTGAAATGTTTAAAGTGTATGTAATCATCAAGGTCCCCTGACTTTAATTAGCTGATTAGCTACTCATATGACATGATGACAGCTGAGCACATTCATCTCTCCATATCACTGCTCCTCAAGTCACGTCCAGTTCTTCCCCTTTTATTACTTATATTAAATATTTCATCCATTTTACACGCTCAGTTAATGAAACCATAAACACAGATGTATTTTTAATTATGTACATCCTCATTTGACCTCCAGGATGACTGTTCATGCCATCAGTGTGCTTCTTCCAGCAGTTGCACTGTTTCCCTTAGATCGTCCACGACTGCATCCACGTCTGCTTTAGTCGTCCCCCTGCCCACACTCAACCGAAGGGCGTTAGCTGCCACCTGTGTGGGGACGCCGCAGCTCAGGAGGATATGGGAGGGCCTGAGGGACAGACAAGGCAGGGCAAAGGGAGTTTATGTAACTTTAAAGATGGTGTGTGGAAAATAAGAATAGTAGGTGCATGAGCGCCTATTTTACCTGTGTCCATTGACTGAATGGCAGGCGGCACCAACGCTGGCCAACAGCCTCTCACAGTTGGACAATACCCTCCACCCTAAAGCAGCAGAGACATTAATCTTTCAGAACCTTTGTAGTTTACAAATGGCCCTGTAGAGGTCATGAACTGCCTCCGGCTAACATTGGAGTAGGGTTAGAGGACACCGTTTAGGCCAAAGCCGACATAGGACATAGATGGATGAGTCATGAGATCACCTTGTAATCCAGAGCCCAGGATGGACACGTTACATGTGTTAGGGAGGATATCAGAGCCAGGGTAATGGCTGTTGAAGCAGATTTTGTCTTTAAAGACAGCCTGAACAGGAAAACAAAAAGATGATTGGCATTTGGTTGGAATTGTGAATACTTTAAGGATCTGCTAACCACAATCAGTAACCTTTTGAATGAACTTTCTCACACTGTAATCTGACATTACCATTTGCAACTTTCACAGTCACAATGAGAATGCATTATTTCAAACTTACCTTCAGCCGTTCCTCCAAGTAAAGTTTGATACTTCGCATGTGACTCTCATAATCAGACAGATTAGCGGTCACTAATTCTGCAGCCTGAAAGACATGTTAGGCATCAGTGGCTATACATGATACTATTACATGTTTGGTGCTTAAATAAGGGGACATTCTGAATGGTATTCATTTTTTAAATAATTTTTTGTCTTTAAGTAGACCTTTGCACATTACAGAATCTGTCTCAATCAAACATCATAGCATGCCACGTTTTTAAAAAGACCGGCAGTTTCACATGTCAAACACGTTAAGGACTTAAATAATGAAGGGGCGCCGGTTAGATAGTAGTTAGTACGCACGCCTCCTGTACACAGGCTAAAGCCCTGGAAAGCGTGCAGCCCGGGTTAGAATCTGACTCTCCTTTTTCACATGTCATCAAAATTTCAGTTACATTTATGGAACAGGACACATACCTTTCCCAGACCAGCAATCATTGGCGTGTTTTCTGTGCTGTAATATTCAGAAAGACGTAAAATAGACACTTAGATTCATGCAGGCCATCATGGTATTTATTGTTTTTTTTCTCATGTAAGACTTTTACCCAGGTCTGAAGTTTCTCTCCTGTCCTCCTCCAAACAGCATCGGGTACAGCAGCGTTTTTGTTCCGGGGCCGTTCACATACAAAGCGCCAATCCGAGGGGCGTAGAACTACAAACATAACAAAAATATGTCAATAAAGCATTTTCTCTGTTTCATCTCTTGTTTCTTATCAAGATGTTTGATACAACTTATTCATCACCTTGTGCCCCACTATGGTGAGATAATCCACTCCGAGTTCACAGGCGTCAACTCGGATTTTCCCCAGAGCCTGAGCAGCATCAGTGTGCAGCAGGATCCTCAGCCGCTCCCCCTGCTTGTTCAGAGATTTTACTCTCTGGCAGATCTCTTGGAGAGGCTATTAAGAAAATCAATCATTATTCAAGACATTTTAGACTTTATTGTAGGCAGCTGTCTGGCTTCTGACTGGGAGAGGAAATTGGTAGTGGCTCCATCTGAACATAGAGCTACATAAAAAGATGTTTTTTTTACATTTGGGTCAAATAAAATGTCACATTTGATATATGATACATTGAAGGATTTACTACTCCGTCAGCAACAGTTTCTTCTTTGAAAATAGCTACAGTATATGGTTGTATTCTAGCATTCTTTCTGAGGATAAAAATATATCTTCTATCAGTATCGTGAGGAAATGTAATTGTAGCTTCACATAGAAGTGGCTGTGATGTTTCCCATTCTCTATCTTACCATGATGACTCCTGTCTCATTGTTGGCAAGCATGACAGAGATGAGACAGGTATTAGGACGAACTGCAGCAATAATATCCTCCACCTCTACCCGGGCTGTCACCCTCGACACAGGCACAATTGTCACATCTGTGAAAAGAAGACGCACAGTTACCCAAACAAGAACATGTTAAGAAGATAATTAATATAGCAACTTCTTAAATAATTCCAAGGTTTAATATTCTAAAAACATATCCTATTCTTCTTGTGTTTGTCTGAACTACACTTTACAGGAGTGTTTCCTACCTGCCTTGCCATTTTTCTGCAGGTGCTCAGCTACTAGTTTAACCGAGTCATGTTCCACATTAGAGGTGATAATGTGAGGAAGGCAGGCAATGCTTCCATTATGGTGCCCTTCTCCTTGCTCTGCAGCCCTGTAGTTTCTCCTGAAGTGTTCGACAGCTGTGTTGAGCACCAGATTGTTGGCCTGTAAGAAGATTTCTTAGCTATTATCAACAACAGTTGCATTCATGACGCTACTATTCAACACAGAAGGTTTGAGAGCATCGTACTATATAAACAGAATCAGATGATGCATTTCAAGGCAAATGTAGCTAAAGAAAAAGTGCATAGTAACAAAAAAGAATACCTCTGTTCCACCAGATGTGAAAATGATGTCCTCTGCTCTACCTCCTACCATACTCCCCACACTCTCTCTGGATTGGTTGATCATTGCCTTGGCCTTAGCACCTTGATATAAACATAGTTTGTACAAAAATGGTGTTTCATTTTGTTTACACAATAAAGTAAAACATTAAATGTTGGGCAGGAGGGTGCAAATAGAGGAGAGCGGAGAAAGACATCAATAGCTGTTTCACTGCGGGTTTAATCTCTGTATTGTTCACCTGCTATATAATTGCTGCTGGGGTTTCCCCAGGCATCCTGCAGGGCCTCTGTGATGGCCTGGATTACTTCTGGTTCCAGTGGCGTAGTGGCATTATAGTCCATGTAGATCCTATATTACATTAAGAAGATTGAGGAGAAAATTTGTTGAGTCACTTGATATATTGTTAAGTACATGTACTTTTTTGGAGAGCATTAAAAGCATTTTACACTATATAATCAGTGTTGTTTTGAATTATTTTAGTTGAACAGTTCACATTATTCAGAGTGAATGGCTTATCCAAATCAAACTTTCCTACCTTTCTTTATTCATTTCTGAATAATGATGAAACGTGTGGTGGTCTGTGAAGGCGTGGCCCATTACCAAGGGGATGTCATCAGTTTGTTTGGCCATGATAACACCTAGAAAGAAAGAGGGCATTCAGTAGGTTGGGTTAATAAATGTGTTATAGTAAGAAACGTGTTTTTTCAAAGGAAAGCTTCTATAGTCCTTTATAGTCCCATAGTGTCTTTACTGAGTGAGCTTTGATCACAATGTTTTTAAACCTGCATGAATAACTTTAAAGCTGAAAGGCTGAGGATCAAACAGCTTGTTCAGTCCTTATGGTTTTCAGATCATGGTTGTAGCAGGATGTGCGAATCACACCAGACTCCAGCTAAATTCTGGTCAGATAAAGCAGATTGTGGTAGTTTTTGTAATGACATTATGACATTTTATTCAGAACTTGGTGTTTATTAACATGTATCTGTCAGAGGTCGGTAAATGTTTAATTCCCACCCTGCCACGTAGTGTACACGTGTGTCTTGTGCTTCAGCTGTAAACTTGCAGCTAACATTCAGATAAAATAGGTCCAGTGTCTGTTATTTAATGTAGTTTTATATTATATAATATATATAATATCCAGGCTGTCAGCAGCAGCTGTGGCTGACCTAGTTTCGCCTGTTTTCACGACACGGTAACATTAAAACACAAGGACACTCAGGAATGGAAAATGTTGACAACCTGTCATTCTTCTTCCCAGCAATGTCAGCAAGACTGAGGTGATGTTAAGCACGCTAAAAACACATTTTCTTTACACGAAATCTGCTAACTTTGGCTAAAGCTAGCTAGTGATGCTAACTACACTTGGCTGACAAAATGACATTTAATTTTGAATTAGATCTCCGAATGAGTCAGATATGATCTTATTTGTATAACATGGCAGGTTTTAAGTTATTGTCTTTGTGTCTAACCTTGTGAAGTGATGTGAAGATGCGCAGAACAGATTTATGACTGAATTGTCAATCATCAGCTAGCTAGCTTTGTTTGTATGAGTGGATAAAGCGCTCCTCCGTTGGGTTGCCAGATGTGGTGGAGAAATACAAGCAACCATCAAAGTAAATGTAAGATAAACGCTCAAAATAATGTCTACAGTAACTTTATAAATGTTTTATAACAGTTTTCATGTCAGATTTGATCTCTACATAAATCCAGGACCTCTCCCCTTATTCGTTTTTAAACTTTAAAATCGTTTTTATTTTTCGTTTAAGAGGGTTTCACTATCACCTACTGAAATCATTTTCATTCGGAAAATCGGTAAACTTTTCATGCCAAAAATCCCGAAATAGCATTTTAATCAGAGATTAGCAAATTAGGAATTAATAAATTAATGACATAGTAAAACCATTGACTGTATGTCATATAAAACCTATTACAAACTGCATTAAAGCGCTGGCCTGTGGATATGGCAACTTCGGATCCTGCTACCATGGTAACGACCAGGAAGCAACGCTTTTTTTTTTTAAACCAGGAAGTAACGCACATACTGTAGCTTTCCACTGCTGTCAACCAACTAATTAACACATTTGTAAAAAATGAAATAAAAATAATATATATTTATACGTTGGTGGGTAAATCAATACTTAAATACAAGCAGTGGTGGGAGGCAGGGGCAAAGCAAATAATTAAGTAAATAAAAATCAAACGGGCACCACCTGCCAGAAAGTCCTGAAGCATTTATGGTGAAATAGTTCTAAACCCTGGTGTGAAGATCACAATATTTATATCACAACAGTCAAGACTCAATTTGTAACAAAAAAAAACAAAAAGGCAAAAAAATATATAAAAGAGAGGAGTCCACTTGTTTGTGTTGCATAATCTCATGGTTTATTTCTTATATGACAATGTGTTTAGTGTACACAAACATTTGACGCTAAACTCCAACACTCAGAGACACCGACTGAACTACTGCCCATTTAAGACTTTGTAAATGGGTGCAACTTTATAATACACTGTTCACAGCAATCATGTTTATATACAATGCAAAATAATTTCAGCCAGAGAAAAAAAGTACCGGTGCAATTTGATAGTGCAACAACAAAAAAAAGATTACATGTGGAAGCACAGAAATGTAAATGATATTTCTTCAAAGGGATTAGAAAACGTATATGTTGTGAAGGCTCCAGCGCATGACTGTGAAGGTAGATACTGAAATGAAAGTGAAGTTTGTGAGAAATGTAACCGACAGCATCACTCTGTGCAAGATGCAATGCCTAGCAGGGCCCAAATGAACCATCCTCCCCCTACATGTCAGTGGACAGATTACTACAGATATATCTTATAAACTCCATTTGGTTCCCTGATAGTCACTAACCTACAATCATGAAGGAACCAGACTGTGAAACCAGAAGACAAGTCAACACAACCACTCCAGCAGGACAAGTATTTTCAAATATCAATGTTACATTCAGTGTACTTTTTTTGTGACTGTGCCAACAAAACTTTGGTTGGCTCAAATGTGATGCACATTTAAAGGCTCAAAGAAAACAAGAGGAATAATCTCAACATAGAGATCCAATATTACTTTTTACGACTGCATTATAAAGGAAATGAGACAGAAATGAGTGCTTAGACAGTGTCATGTACAGTACAACAGGGTATTCCTTCAATTATTATGCTATAGCTGGATAAAACACAACTGCAGCGCTGCCAGGAAAGCCAGTGACACACTTTGATCAATATATTGATCATTCAACCTGCTGGTCAACAAACTAAAGGACATTTGTTATGGGTAAATACTGGCAGTTGTACACAAATTGGCTGCATGTTTTGTTTTTACTTTCCAATTTCAGGATATATGCAGCATTAATAAATCTATAACATTAAGTTTACTCCTAAATTTGACTGTGCCATTACATAAAATGAATGCAATAAAACCTTTTTCTTTCTCGTGTTTCTATGACAGCGTAAGACTGTGGGATGTTGTTGTTGTACCTGTTTGAGAGAAAAACATCACTACTGTCTTTGAGCATGCTCTCTAGGCTGGTTGACCTGAGGCACACCCGTCATCAAACTCACAACTACAACACAACATCTCACAAGCTTTATAAGTACTGGCTCATTTTCAGACCCAGAGTCAAATTGAATGAAATGCTGCATAAATAAACAGCTTCCATTTTCATAATAGATCAATGAATTGATTTTTTTGTTAAAGAACAGGTGTATAGCCTTTCAACATGAACTTTGAAATGGCCACGGTTTACTCTTTTCAGTTTAAAGCATGACTCTACAGACATTAATCATTGCTTTCTGACAGTCCTGCACTATGTTAATGTACGGCTTCTTAATGTTTTTTGAGTATATGTGCTATGGGAGTACAATATGACAGCTGAGTGCCATATTACAAATAGAAATAAATTGAACCTTTTTGTCTGAGTATGTTGATGATGATGATAAAAAAGCAGGAAGTTGATGAGAAATGATCTGCAGACACTTCCAGAACAGTTTTATAGCAGCATGAAGGATGTTGTTTCAAAGCAACTGGTGCAGCGGCATACTGTACAGTATGACTGAAAAGAGAGGCACTACATTAATTAATGTACATATCATTCAGAAAAACTGTTTATTCTTCTGAAACAGTTGATACTTTTGATCCCTTAACAAGGTAACTTTGTGCAGACCACCTTAGTTTTCTCTACCTAATAATGTACGGGGGCAATGGTTAGGCATCACTATCCTAGTCTGAAGAGGATAGTTTTATTCAAGTAATCTTCAGCACAAAGAAAGTAGCCAATCATAAATCATTACATATTTTAGATAATTAGATTGACTACAAGGGGACTATAGGTTGTGTTATTCAGACATTTATGGAACTCATTAAAAAGTGCAGTGTGCAGAAATTGCACGGTACTACTTTTTTTTTTTTTTTAGAAATATAAACGTCTTTGTAAATAAATACATGCAGAAATAAATAATAAAAGCAGTTAAATATCTAAATATATCACATTTTAAAGGAAAAATCAGGTAGAGATTGAGATTAAATTGACAGGAATTAGGGTGATGATATTTGATTACTTATTGTGTGTGAAAGTAGATACCTTTGGTGCTCCTACAAGTAGCGTAAAACTATATGAAATGGTCAAAAATGCCACGAGAACATGAAGTCTATGATGAGAATGCCATTCCCTTTGCCAGGCTGTGTGTGCTAACGTTTCTAAGAGGCAGAAAACTCAAAGACAGGATTCATGGACCACAAAGAAAAGAGGATTATTCTTAAGAGTTACACTCAACTGTCATTTTTTTTCATCAACTTGCATGTATTTTTTAGCTGTATGCAAACCAGTTTCGACACAGTATATATAGCTGTAGAGTAGAGAAGAGAAGAATCAGCATGTTTGTCTATTTACTGATGTAAATGTAGCAGTTTGATCCTCACTGACATGGCAGCTTTAGGTAAAAAGAAATGACACTGCATTTTTTTTAAGGAATAAATGTATAAGGCTTGATGTGTCACTGACAACAACTACAGTACATTACCATACGCTTTGTAATCTGAGATTAGAAACTGTTGCTACTTTCTCCCTTTTCTTCGTTCACCCAGCTAAGATTAAACTCCGGTACAGTACAGTGACAGAAGAGGTTCGTCAGACTACGAGACTCACACCGCAGCAAAGGCCTGACACGAAATGGTCGCTTTAGGTGCTGAGGACACTAGTGATAAATTGAGGATGTACGGGAGGAACATGGTTGTTTGTGACTGTGTGTGTTTGAGGGGGGATAGGGCTCAGCACAAGGGGAGGGATCAGGACAAGGATCTATGTACATGTTAGTCTTTGTTTCACATCCTCATCTGTCCGGCTCGTCTTCTCGACAGCTTTGACCTGTGAGGGAGAAAATACAATGATTTTTACTGAAGTTGTATTTGCCAGTTGGTGTTAACTTCTAACATTTTAAGTATTTTTTGTTAACCTGATCGTTCCAGCGAGGAGAGGATTAAACGCGTACAGCCAGTCGTGCATCTCTTTGTCATTTGTGGCTTGAAGCAGGATTCCACGATGTTCTGTACACACGGCAAATGTGTTCGGGGTCTGATAAAAGAGCCAAAAAAACATCATTAAAACCATGCCTTTTTATAAGAAAGAGGGACATTTGGAGACAGGGCTGATCAATTACCTTCAGCATTGCCTGCTGGTCCTCACTGTACTCCACCTGGGCCGAGGAGAGATTGAGGATGGCACGCTCCACAGTGTCTCTCTCTGTGTTGTAGATGTAGACGTACGGCCGCCGCACAACTACGTAGCGCTTCACCCAACCGTTTGTGTGGGGCTCCAAGAAATGTATGTAACCCTTCTTTGATACAATGGGGCTGCAAAACAACAAGAGTCCACATATCATCACATGACCATGTTTAAACAGAAAAAGTAACAGATCTATTTTAGGCTGCTGTGGCCGGCTCACCTGACTCTGATCTCCTGAATATCTGGGAAAAATCTGCGGATGCGAGGCTTGGTGTCAGAGGCTCCATTAACGGACTTCTTGGCCTCTTGGTCCTGTTGTTTGTCAGGAGTGGGGCTGACTGCACGAGAGCGAGGCGCAGGTGGTCTGCAGGACAAAAACAAGAGGTCAAATTTAGAACCAACCTGCATCTCATGTAATGAAAGTTATTTGCAGAGATGCAGTTACATTACAATCTTTTCAAGGTAAAAAGGTTGGGAAGACAGCTCTAAAGAATATCCTTTCTCACTATGTAATTTATTCCTAACAAGACAAAAATGCAAAACATACTGTATGTATCATGAATGATATATTGAAGGAAACTTGGAACTAAAGATTGAGATTATAAACTCATAAACAACTCAGAAGTGGAGTTAATTTTGCAACCAGTAGAAAACACCTCCTGCTGTCCCTTAGAAAGAATGCAGGTTTAAGGTACTACAGCACCTTTGGCTGTGATTCAAAAACAAGAAACTCCATCAGTTTATCTTGTTTTTGATTCATATATAACAATAAATATACAGGTATATCTCAGGACCGACCTGAGTTCAGTATTGCTGGAGCAACCATCGACCAGTGAAGGGCATGTTGTGGAGGGTATGATCGTGTTCAGAGCAGAGATTGAAGTGGAGTCTTTTAGCGTTGTGACAGACATCTCTGAGATCTGTAAGACACACAATCAAACACATGTAGTGGGTCAACTGTGAGGAACACATCAACAGACTTGTATCTGAGGTTTTTCAAGTGTAGGCTTCGATTTGATTGTTTGAACCTTGCTTTCACTGGCGCTGACACAAACGTGGCTGTATTCTCGGTTGAAGGAGTGAGTGAGCAGCCGCAAACACTGTGGAAATAAAAAAGCACACATAAGGTCAAATCAGGGATATGATATTAAAATGTAAGGACTATAGTCCAACTTGACATGACAGGGCCACAGAACAGGAATAACTAGGAGACTGTACTCAAGACGGTCAAAGCTGGACTTCAGTATTCAGTAAGCAAAGATGTCTGACCTTGGCGGCGAGCTCTCTCTGCCTCTCAGTGGTGATTTCATTGCAGGAGCTGACCTCTGGGTCGACCTCAGAGGGCTGAGGAGACTCACTCGGCTCCTCAGGGACACAGGTCAGCAGGGCCTCCTGGCCCATGAGCAGTGTTGACTCCAATTTTTCCCTCAGCAGGAGATAATGTTTGGTCTTCTCCACCTGAGGACATTGGGAAACATATCAAAGCCATTGACAACAGGAAATATCCAAGAGGGAAAAAGTAGAGGAATACAGTCCTCCCAAATAAAGTCTGGTTCCCATCATAAATTATGAAGATCTATAGAAATGGCTCTCACCACATTTAACTCTTGAAATCATAATATTTTACAATATATTCTGAAGAAGTGGATTGGGATATCTGGTACTGTATAACTCTGAAATGTTATATGTATCTATTACTGAATAATTGTCTCATTGTGCGGATGAGTGGAGACTGTAAACATTAATGGACGAAGCCTGAGGGGCGTCCATTAATGTGGTTTCTAAAGTCCTTTTTGTCTCTGAGGTGTAACTCAGCTCAGGTGTAAAATCTGACTAATAACAACATTATATAGACCTTTCGATTTTCAGAAAGACATTTTGTGCAGTAAAAGAGAGTAACTCATGCCCCTCACATCTTGAAGAAGGCTGAGTTTCTCCAGCTCCCACTGGTGGTCCAGAATGAGGCTGTCGCTGCGGGGCCTCCACCCGGCCAGGTTCTCCTCCCCACGGACGTAGGCAACTGAGGTGTCCAGCACCCGCCTGCGTCTCCTCTGCATACCTGGGATGAGTAGATGAAGTATTAGAAATATGACAGAGGTGAACTTAATGCTGAATACAAACCTTGTCTTGATTCTCACCTGGGCTTCCTGCATCTGCCAGGTTACATAGGCTGACCTCATAAACTCCAGTTACACGGTTTCTAGAAAAAGAAACATACAAGAAAAAACTGAATAAACAGAGAGAACACGATCGCTACATGATGTCTTTTCATAATTCGGGGTCTGAACTCACCCATCTGCTGCTCTAAGGCTTCCAGTACCAAAGAGGTTTCTGATGGAGCGTGAGGCGGAGAGCTTTGTGTCTCGAGAATAAAACACCATGCAGATATCTTTGGTTATAACTGCAGGCTGGGTGCAGTTCTCCATCTGTGATTGATACAAAAAGAGGGAGTTGTGACAATGATCCCTTAGGCTAATGCACAGACATATCTGAGACAGTCAGCGTTAGTTTTATCTCTCATGAATGCAGGCACAGTACTGTACCTCCAAGTAGGCAGAGAGGGTCAAATAGATCTTCTCCCCATAAGGAGTGACTCGGTTTAGTAGCAGGGAGTTGTGCATGGAGCTATCCCAAGCAGCCTCGAAGCGATAGAAAGTCCTAAAGTTATCAGAGTGAGAGGATACCAAGAAAATGAATAAGCAGTCAAAATTGAAGTATTTTTACCTGAACAACAAATATAAGTAAGAGCTAAATAACATTGTTGACTGAAAGGGAATTCCAGTACCTTCAAACCTGGTCCCTATTTTACAGAGTTTGGGGTCTAGATGAGGGATAGGTACAAATAGTTGGAATTGCTCCAAATAATCAGCCCGCACGTGTTCAACAGCTTTTGGTGGCTGAGAGGAAATTTCTTGGGGTAAAGCACATCCAATAAACAAACATTCACTAAAAGTGTTTTTAGTGAAAGCGTTTTAGCCAACTGACTTAAAGCAATTGTGCTTTTTAATTTCTGACAACACAATGGAAAGGTTTCATAAAGATGGACAATTTTTAAAGTGTCTTTTTTATGACCAGCTCCAAAGCTACCAGACTCCATTCACAAAAATGTTGTGTGAGTTTGGTATTTTAGAGGATTTTTTTTACATGGATCCAAACCAGACATCATTAAATCAAATCTTCACCATTAAATTTGAAATAGTGATTTTACCCTAAAGGACTGGAGGTCTACCACTACATATGTTGTAGTTTTCATTAAAAAGAGATAAGTCTCACAATCACTCAAACTTAATGATTGAGTCTGCTATAGATTGTTCTCAGAGGTAAGATTAATGTCTTCATCAATGGAGTCTGCTGGCTTTAAGGAAAGTGATGTAGCTAACATCTGTTTCTGGTAAACAAAGAGTGAGCTTACAAAAATATTTTTTTTGTAATAATGTGCCTATCAGAGGCAGACACACGCACTTTCAGTGGATGTAACTTGTTTCATGTGTTTGCCCCTACTGTACTACTAAATTTTTGTCGTCACTGGCCATCTTGTAGCAGGTATCTTAAGTGATTACTTGGGCAATTCCAAAATATGATTTTACAAAATAGTAAGTCATTTAAATCCCAAAATATGTCAAATTAGGGTCTACGTTTGAAAATAAAAGAATCCCAGTTTTACATAAAAAATTCAAACAATACCACCTAAAGAAAAACTTCAGAATCCATCATAAACACTGAGAAAATAAAGCCATGATAAAAAGAAACAAAAATAATTAATTACTGAAATTGTACAAGGTTTAAATATTGCACTAAGTATCAAAATCTCAGTTCAACAAAAGTGCAAATGGAATCTTTTTGCATGCAACAGAATGACTGTTTTGATATGCTACTTTGTACACAACACTGCAGAAGAGCTGAGGTGACTTTAAATATAGAAAAATGAGGAGAGGGTGAGACTGATGAGAGAGCCCGATGAAGTGAGGGACAGGACAGTGAAATACCTATGGTCACGTCCCAGGGAAATGCTGTGAGGAAGAAGAAATCGGCAAAGGAATAGAAAGTGAGAGTCAGGAAGTATGTTGTGGTTTTGCTCTTTTGTTGCTGGGATGGGGTTTGTCTTTTTTCACACTGTTATCGCATTATGTAAATACTTTCACCGGTCGTAGAGCTCACCCTTCAGCAACTGAGTCTGTTGAATAACCAGGGTAGTGTTTCTTTCCACTTTATGCCCTCACTCTTCCTACCAATAAAAAAGGTCAAATGACTGCAAATGTACATTCCTTTCTGTTACGCCACTGATTCACTCCATACGTTAATGTACACGGTTTCCAAGAGGTGAAATAATGACACACTGAAATCTGTTATTTTTTCTGGCCACATACCAGTAAAGCCTTGAATGGATGAAAAAGATAATCCAAGCAAGAACCGTACAAGGTAATCGATGTTTCTGTAGCCATGAAAACAGGCTGGGCTCACTCGCCTTGGACTGAGGTGACCTTGTGGGAAAGTGAACAACGTGTTACCCCAAAGAAAGCAAACAATGAACTCTCTGTTAAAGAGAACTTGTTGCTGCTCTGTTTTCAGAAAGGGGATTCAGTCTAGAAATGGCCTGCTTTTAAAGTAATTAGCAAGTGAATTAGCACACTCTCTCACATGCACACACTCACACCTCTCTCCTTGTGGTAGAAAAAATGATTGCTTACACTACAAGGAAGCAATTTCCTCTGAGCACTGCACCGACATGTGCTTCTCTGTGTTTTATTACCTCCTAAAAGTGCCGCAGCCAGGATTGAAGTCATGCTGCTGGCCTGACATGTGAGGAGCCATTTGTTTCTGGTGTTTGGCAGAGTTTCCCCGGGGGTACAAGTGAGATTTAAAAAATATTCACAACATCGCAGCAATTTTGGGCAAAGTGCTACTGCTGAGGTAATGGTTCACTGGATTACATTTTAATAGCTGCATTTGAATCCCGTGCCAAAGCTGGTATTGTAAATGATGTGATCCATATTACAGCGCTTGAGCAATTATGTTCCTGTGAAGATTCTGTGGTGATGTGAAAAACTTTCTGTCTCTTGGGATTAGGGGTAACAAACAAGATCACATCCATGGATTTAAAATATAACTTGACTGTGACGTGACAAGAGAGTATAACTACAAGATCAGTTCTTAATTTACAAGTACAGATAAACTGTGTTTATTGGTGTTGGGATGGTTGATAGTGTGATACCTAGTGACGCTGAAATGGTTTGTCTTTTTGACTTTTTAGGGTTTTTTTGTTGCCTGTTTGTTGTTTTCCTGTTGTTGTATTTCAAAGTGTATTAAGGTTATGATTTTCTACATCTGATCCTTTAGGTGTAGCGTGTGCATTCTTGATGGTCTATGCCCGACAACTAGATAATTAATGATGTCACATTAAACGTTGTGCACATTGCTAAATAAACAATGGATAAAAAATGTAAAGTTTTGTTTTAGCATTTGATGAATACTTTTAGTAAAGACATGCTTATGTCTTTGTATCATTTACACCCTCTCCTTGCAGGTTATGTATTGTACTTCAACCACTTACAATGAATGAGACTTTCCTGCCTTAGAATTTGTATCTTCAAATAAAATAGCAACTTTAAAATGAAGCGAAAAACAAAGAGTATAAAGAGGCTCTCTATTATGTCAACAACATCATAAAATTCAATGTTTCTCCCAAAAGACTAATGTTTGAGAGACCAAATATTGCCTTTACACTTTTAAAAGCTCAAAACAGTTATTCCAGTGGCAACTCCTGCAGTGGAAAAAGAGTGTGATACTGGCCAAACGACACCTCCAGCAGAGACACAGTCAAGGTCAGTCCACGTGAAGCCAAGCGAGCCATGCAGAACCCTGTCCATCATAAACCACAGCCTGATAACAGCTCAAACAAAACCCAGCACAGCAAGAGAACCGCGACATGCAGGACCACATCCCTCACTTCACATGAGGGGGAGGAAAACAAAGAGGCACAGAAGAATGGCTGACAGTGATGGCAGAGTGGGAGAGAAGGGAAATCACTGCAGTCTGAGTGGAAATAAAGAATGGGTGTAGAGGACGTTAGGAGGGTGAAATATGTGTTTGTGTAACTTAAGAGCATGAGAAGAGAGGCAAAATAATATACCTAGGCATGTCCGAATCAAGAAACTGTCTGCAAAAGCAAAAGACAACATTCAGTTAGTGGACAGGGAGGAGAAAAATGTTAGCATCCATTTATATTTCATCATTAGTCACTGCAAGACCGACCAGAAACCACACTGGACCACAACCTGACCCGCTGCTGGGCCTGAAAACCCAATTTTTTGTCCACTTAGGCCTCAAAGGGACAAACATTAAGGGCTTTAAATTTGAGGGTTCAGCACTCTAAGAAAGGCTGGTCAAGCAGGGTGTCTGGACAGTGCTGCAGGGAGCGTTTAATTCCTTTAGGTTGAAACTCAGTAGACTCAGGTCCAGCTGAGGCTGTTGGAGGTTAGGTTGAGCTTTTTGTTGAGGGGTCGGGGAAGCAGAGGGATTAAAGCAATGAGCCAAACACAGGCAGAACCAAAAATCAGAAGTAAAATAGCAACTTATAAACTTTACTTAAATTCTACCTTAATAACATGACAGTTTTGTTCAAAGGACATTTGAATAAATAGTAGTTGTGCCACCATACAGAAGTGACATTTATTTCAAGAGATTTAAATGCATAATAAAATAATAGAGAGTTTATTATGTTTTTTTAAAAATGTAAATCCCTACAGTATTTCATGAACAAATATGTTAACCTCGTAACATAACAGAGGAAGTCACACCTCAAGTTCTCTCTATGAGGCCATGAGGTCTTTAAAGATCTCTACTGCTCTCTACTGGCCGGCTACAGGACTACATAAACATCACACACCAATGTTTTTGAAAGACTCATGAAAGAGCCATACTCATGTTTTTGGGTCAAGCTGTAAAACATATTCATTATTGCGCCACTGGGTGTCGCTGTCCTATTGCTTAAGGCACAGGTACATACTGTAGGTCACTTGTCAAGGTATGGGATGTGTTTGACCTCTGTAGGTGTGATCAGGCTGAACAGAAACACAATTTCAGGGCTTCAAATAAAACATTATTGACACATTTATCAGAAAATTTGCATTGTTACTGACATTATGTGATTCTTAAGTATTAACAATCATTCAAAGGATTGAAAATAGTGAAGATGAAATGTTTTTTTATTTGTCAAAATGTGACAGATATAAAGACTCCAAAAACATTTATATATGTTAAGATATATATGTTAGGGACTTTACTCTATGTGATGTCATACATGTGGCTGGAAAAGTTAAAAAGACATGCATTTAATTTCATACTGGGGTGCTTCAGTAAAGATTAATAGGGTTGTCCATGTGAGATACGCCATAATGAGGGAGCGTTGAGTCTCTAGAACAGGTCAGTGTCGGGGTTAGGAGATTCAATAATGGCAGAGAGGTGAAACAGGTTAGAGGTGAGGTGATAAACAAGGTGAGATGCAACATGTAGGTGTAATGGACAAACAAACTACAAGGCACAGATTATCAACGGGAGGGTCGCACAGCCAGCATGTACAAGTGAATTCATTCAGTAACTACTCGTGATGTAGACTGAGGCTGAAAAAACGTCTTCTACAGGTTCACGTCTCTCTGGATTGTTTATGTGTTGCTACTACTGTATACTCATGCACACACAGCAATAACAATAAAAACACCAAAAACAACAGGTGTAGTCATTCTGACCTTAAGGTTGTCCCTTTTAGGGCATGCTTTTATTTTGACATGTGCAGCTGGTTCACCACGCCATGCATTTTTTAATCTGCTGTGTTCTAGTGCTGGAGTTGTCATAGCAGGTTAGTGTTGTCATCAGAACCAATCAGAAGCATTTAGTGTATCCACAGGGCGACCATTTGTCTTTGATGTCATGCTCAGGGTGTGAAGCTCAAATACTGTTATAATGACGTAGTATTAAACCTTACTACTTCATGGTGTAATAAGACACAATTCATAAAATAACTAAAAAGGCAACAGGACATTGATTTAATGCTGTCATTACATATTGTGACTTAGCTGTCAGTATCTCTTAGGCCTTTGGTTCTTAACTGGTGGGTGGGGACCCGAAAGTGGCTCACAACGCCATTTTCAGTAGGTCTCTGATTTGAAAAGTTGTGACAAAAAGTCAAAGTTGTATGCCATATGGTAAAGTGCGGTCTTATAAAAATGTGTATGTAGGGCTGCACAAGAAATCATTGTTATTGCAATGGGAGCTTTCACAATAAACACATTGCAAAGTTCTGAATGTATCGCAATGAATACGATTTTTATTTCACTGCAAACTGCTTTCTCATTCAGCATGTGTAAATTATACATGCTGACTTCATTTACATGCAGTCAGATGAAACTTAAGCTAGCTATCAGCATTTTGCAAATTAAGTAAAAAATATCTGTTAGTACGAATTTTCATGAAATTCATTCATCTTAGTAACTTCGTGAAATGTATTATTCAAGTCTGCCTACCACGTGTTAACACTCCTACCTTTAGGTGTCTGAAGCTGTAACCGTATATGAGCGAAGCACCTAAGTAGTAGCAGATCTATATATGGAGAGGAGCCAACTATATGTTGTCAGCAACTGTTTGCTAGACAGAGAGTCTACATCTGATACGTATACAAATCAGTGTCATGTCATCTTCATTGTTTTATGGTGATGCACCCAAATAGAAAGGAATTTGTGGGTTGCACCTTTTTTTCAGAATATAAGCAGCACTGTGAACACTGTTACTTAGTCAGCACTTTGTCAGTCAAGTGATTTGGAAGCGTGCTTGTTTGATGAAGTTGTCTGACCTCGGCCGATTAAACGGTGTTATAATCTCCAGTCTGTTTCACGATTTCTTCATTAGATTTATACATTAGAAACAAACCCCACCTAACAATATCTTTATATTAGCAATATTTATTTAAGATTCATGAGAAACATGTTGCAACAGCTATAGCTTTATCTAATATGGATTTATTTGTAAAGAGGCGGTGTTGGTCCTGATGCTATACCTGTTGATAATCGCTGTCATTGGCTATCAAAATATATTGTTTTACTTGATATACTGTATGCTCTGATTTCTCACCATACAGTTACTTTTCAGTTAGTGATCCATCAATATCATTAAGTGATGATTGATAACAATCAGCTTATCTTTGTTATATGTGGAATACAGCAGTATGATATTGTGACAACATTTGAGTTTTCCACCTGAGTGTCACATCAGAGGAACATGGTGGCTGTGTGCACAGGGTTAATAAAATAGATTCAAAATCCAGCAAAGCCGCTACACAAAAAGTCATACCTCTGACCACGAGACCTTTCTAATCTTTAATTCCATATTACATCATATAAATATCATACTAATTCAAAATCCTATGTATTTTCATATCTGTCAATGTCAAAGTAGTGTGATTTCATCAAATGACTATAACAATACGTACCGGTCATCCTGCATGGGCCTGACATACCCAGCAGACAAGATGTTGAGAGAGAGGATATTTGGGTCAATAATCGTCTCATCTGCTTCGGGGGTGTTGCGGAGACGTCCTTTAAAGTCAGAAGTCAGTTAGAACAACTCTAAGGAGATGTAACTGTGAAATGTTTGCAGGTTTCCTGTAGAAGAAAAGCAGACTTACCCACAACAAGCTCACGGATGTCCCTCCACTCCATGTCACCTCCTGACTCATGTACGATGGTGACAGTGATTCTCCTCTGGAGGCCCTGTGGTTGTGAAGAAGAGAGAGGCACCGAAGAAAGAGAGAGGTGTGTTTATGTGAAGTTGTTATACAATATTTGCCAATCCAGTTAAATTCATCTAGTTCATTCAGTTACATTTTAATTCATTTAGAAAGCATAACAAACAACAACAGCTGACCAATGTTCTCCTTATAATTGTGACCTGCCGAGGGGCTACAGATGTAAACTAGCTCGAAGCTAACTCTGGTACAATGCATCAAATTGGCAACATTTCTATTTAATATTGTACATGGTCTCTTTCCAAATAAAAAAGTTAAATAAAATAAAATAGACGAGTCTAAGATAAAGAGTTTGGGGGCTGCAACTGAAAAGGCACAATCCGTTTTGTGCTTCAAAATTCTCCTATATTAAATCTTGGCAGCAGAAAAAAACAGCTCACGGGAACTGAATGACCACGACGAGGAATGTGATTTAAAAATGAAAGATAGATACATCGCAAATAGACCATTTCAGGATTTGTAAGAAAATGATTAAAATACATGCAAAAGCACCTAATGAAGTAGGGTTAGTGTGGGTGAAATGTGCTCCTGTTTTTGTTTCCCAGTCAAAGAACAAACCTCAAAATATTGATTAACTGCAAGCTTCAAGAATATATCTGGATAACACCAACATAAATATAGTTACATTGGTCAGTTTTAGACAAAAGAATGTATAACTCTTTTTAAAATTCAAAATATTTTCTTAACGAGTGATTGACACCGGCGGCCTAGTCGTAATAGTGCCCCTCCGGGAGGGTGGTCTGGGTTCAAACCAGAGCTGTGGCTCTTTTCCAGCATGTCATTCCCCACTCTCTCTTTCCCCGATTTCTGCCTCTGTCCTGTCTCTAAAAAAAGGTATAAAAAGCCTAAAAATAAACCTTTAGAAAGTGAGATTGACATAGTACCTGATGCAGTAGGAATGTGCCATGGCAAGGCATTCCTCCTCTGTGGTCCACCACTGCAGGGATGTAGCTGAAAAGACAGATAAAACAAGCTTAACTGATGTGCCACTGCTAGGTAGAGCTGGAGAGGAGGAATTGTTTTTTTTTAGATAAATCATATCCTAATATTATTTAACAGAGTTAGTCTGAATCATTCCAAACTCCAGCTGAGTGAAAATCAAGACCTAAATGTTTTGACTTGGTTTGACCCAGGATACTCACTCTCCGTTGGCCTCCAGCTCACAGATCTCAAAGAACACCATGAGATCATATTTACAGTGGCAGGGTCCTGCCTGCGGGCGGGTCATAGCTGTCAGCTTGGTTGCAGGTACTGTGTCGGAGTAGATAAAGAGCGTAAGACAGGCAGAGAAGTTAAAGAGGGTAGACTAGTTTCTACTGTAACAGCAGGGAGCAGCTCTAATCCTACAGAGGAAAGAGAGGGGGGTGAAGAATGGAAATCAGTGATGCAGGGGGAAGAAAGGAACCAATCAGGAGTGCCTTTCCTCCAGCAGGTTTATAATCAACTCAGGAGTGCTACCCATAGGAAGAATACCACTAAATTAACTTCTATTTCACCTTATTTTTCTCTGTGGTTTCTCTGTGAACCATCCTGTGAATTAGGAAAGTATATGCACAAACCGCCTGGACACTACTGCATTTTAAAGTTATTAAAGTTGTCTAACTATCTGGTCTGACTATGGATGAACTGATAAATATTTAATCATTTAATGTAGTTACTTCACTAGAATGAGTTCATAGAACAGATAAAGTGTGCATGAAGAATTTATCACACACTGGAGTTAAATCTTTACTTTTTTGAAACAGTAGCCATAGTGATGATGTCCTTAGTTTATAAAATATAAATATTATTTTGGCCATCCTCATCTTGACAAGTGATAATTGTTAGGCCAAGATGGTGGATGTTTATTGCTACACCTCTGACAGGTTACAAAGGTACCTGTTGGTCAGTTGTAGGTAGCTGCATCTTTATTGTTCCACTTTAACATGAGAATAAATCATTTTTAGATTATTGAAGTCTTATCTATCCTTTAGATAAATATATAGAATAATGTGCAGTAGAGTTAGCATTTCCATCCATTGCCATCGAATTTAAGAAAAGCTTGAAGAGGGAACTGTAAGGAGAATCCACCACGCAGGTCATAAGAAAACACACAGAACACAAGAGAGCCAATCCAACCGAATCCTGACACCAAAAAAAAATCCTTTTTATATCAATATGTTGTCTTCAAAACTTCTTCTTACAACTTCTAATATTCAGTCATTTCATGAGCTATGGTAGAAGAACTGCTCTCGTTTCAACCTACTAGCTTAGAGGAGTTCAGTGTTGCATTTTTTCACATAATTTTTTTTGTTGTGAGAGAAACATTAAAAACTAACATAAAAGTAGTTACAGTATTTTGTAAATATTTTGCCAAGGTAGATGCTTGATATAAAAAGGCTTTCAGTCACAGGATTCTCATGGATCTGACATCAATCACCAACCCGGCTTCTGAGCTTTAATAACTGAACAGATAGAGATGGGTGGAGCTGTCAGCTGAGCTCGCTCGTTTGCTTCCAGTAAGAAGGAAGCAGCCAAGCCAGCGGCAGACAGAGCGTGGCCTGACAGCGAGTCCACCAGCGCCCCATTGAACACATCTGGGACCAGGTATCGGATCATCTCCAGAGATTTCTCCCGCTCCGGCGAGGTGTCAGAGTCAGCTGCTCACACCCAACAACATGAAGCTGAGATGACGTGACTTGCAGACAACACAAGTCTAGACAAAGACAATCAGACAAATAGAAATTGTTGCAATTGAAGCAAGGCGTTTATTCACCTGGTTTGGACAGGGGCATCACTCGTGGGAACTGTCTTCTGCAGGGACGGAGTGGACTGGTTAAAGAAATAACAACAAAACGTGTTATTTTATGGAACATGTTGTAACTTACATCTTTGTCTGTGCAGAAAATCAGACCAATCAGAAGATTTTTTTGCCAGGTACCTGATGACATCTTTACAGAGAGGAAGAAACGGTTGTTTCTGGTAGTGGCCGAACACCTCAAACACGATGGGTTGAGTCTTGATGTAGTCAACAAAGGATTTAGTAACTTCCACAGCAATCTATCCAATAAAAACAGTGATAAAGAATTTAGTAACTTAATTTAAACAAGCAAAACTCATCAAAAAAGCATGTGCATCTGATACTTCTTACATTCTGCACATGATAGAAGCCCAGCGGAGGGCCTCTGCCGGTGTTTTTGAGTGGCTCAGTGGAGAAGGCTTCATCGTGGCGGTGGATGAAACTGAAATCAAACCACATTTTAAAACATGCAACTGTGAAAGGAACATGACTTCTATCAGAAGACGCAGGAGTTCAAATTAGCTCACTTGAACTGGCAGAAGATGTCGGCATATTCTGCAGAGATGCTGGAGGCCTGCAGGACGGTCACCCTGAAGGTGAAAACGTTACCAATCTTCAGATGCTCCAGAGCGGCTTCAGATGCCCCATCCAGAGCGGCCTTCAGCGGATTCTCAGGCTCGTCTGCACCGGCTGGGAAGAGCACAAAACAAGAATCATATGTAGTTAAAGTGTAGCTGATTTTAGCACACAACATGAACCACATGTTGATGAGGTTTGGCCGGGATTTGGGGGCAGTGACTTGGGCTCATAAGAGCTGAATATCAACTCTGATCATATTACTTGTTTACAAGTCTCTTAATGGTTTTGGGACTAGCCTTCATTCCTGATTCTCCCTGTTTTTCCTCACCTGTCATGTTCTCTTAGATCCTCTGCAGCCGGTTTTATAACTATATACTATCACATAAATAAAAAGCTCAGACGTTCAAACAATAAAACAATGGAACTCTAACTACATACAAGACAATTTGTGAATGACAGCTAAAAAAATTATTCATTAGACATTACCTTGATTTTGCTAATCTTTCTTATCCCTGTCTTGATTTGCAATTCATTTTATTGCTTGGTATAATTATGCCACATCGGCATCTTTGCATGGAAAAGTGCAGTTTTAATAAAGCTTTGTTATAATTATAAACACAGTTTATGTAGAGCCTCAGCCCTGCAGACTTAGGCCTATTGAAACTACACACACACACACACACACACACACACACACACACACACACACACACACACACACACACACACCAAGCACACTCCCAAACACGTAGTCATGCATCCATTCATACAAAAGATACAATTACCCGCACATGTGTTGTTGTTAACCTCATCAGCTGAGGGACCCATTTCTGAGTTCTGCCCCTCCCCTTCCACAATACGAAGCTCCTCCTGGGAGACCCCAGTACGCGACAGACCTACAGAGCAGGTCTCAGACTGGAACTACAAAAGCAAAGTGCAACACACAAAACAGTCAAAATGTTATTTCAAACAGGTGAATCCTTTATGTATAGGTTTTTTTTCATACCTTTTCATATTGATGATCCTCAAAAGAGATTTTGGCAGTACCGGACTGCCTCACTCCCGAGCCGTAGTCAGGAGCTTCCTCATCAGCTGGAGGGAAACACAGAGCACCTTCACTTCACTCCCTCAAGAAGTCTCACTCAGCCTGTACTCCTGCATGCTATATTCTAAACAAGACTGAGGATCTGAGCCTTACCTGATATGGCCTGCACCGCCACACGGAGGAAGCCCTTCACTTCTCCCTTCTCGCTGACGATGGCCACGCGGTGGACCAGAGGAACCGGGTACAGCAGGTTGCTCAGATACACAAAAGCCCTGAGCAGGAAGCAGAGAAAAGACAGAAAGGGATAAATTGAAGAAAATTATGAAAAACCCCTAGGGAGACACTTTGATAAAACTGGACTGGACGGTGACTGGACAACAGAACACAGAGCTGCAAAGCAACCAAACAGAAGCTGGGACTGCTCTTGCGATGGCCATGGCTGCCCTTTACTATCGCTTCCTGACCATCTACAAATCAAAAATGTCAAGACAGTTATGGGTCACATGCAGAATTCCTTAAACTTTGCATTGAGAGCTTGGTGAGGCTAAGGAGCATGAGTGTAAGGGTCAACTTAAATACTGGAAACCAGCCTCCTACTAAGCTGGGCAGCAGACTCTTCCTCATGAGCATTCATTAAATTCTTGAAATGCAGTTTTTTATGCAGTGTTTAAAGATTGTTATCTACTGCGCTATAGCTTCTTAAAAGTGCCTCAATATGAAAACGCCACACTACATATCAAATGTGAGGAGCCAGAATTAGAAGTCAAGGCACTTTGCATTAAATTTTAAAATACTTCAGAGGTAGTGCCAAAGATGAACTTTTAGAATAGTCGTGTGGGTTCAACTGCACTAGAAATGTTCTTCCTTCTTTTTTTTCTAGCTATAATATTGGATCTTGCAGGCAAGGGTCACGTTTCCCATGAGCCAATAGGGGTAGACATTTAAGGGTGGAGTATTAAAAAAAGATTGGTGAGGTGCAAATAAGGCATGCTCCAGACAAAAAGGTGAACTTAAAATGCTGTTAACATCTCGACTCAAAGGAATCCAAAGCAAATGAAACAGAAATCATCAAACGGAACAAGGCCCAGCTTGAATAGAAAACTGCCAACAGCTCCATAAAGTGTATGCTACACAAAAACAACAAATGACATCTGAAATCAAAAATCAAAGTTCACCTCCTGGGAGGAAGTAATCATTTGTGCAAAGGAGGGGGCACGAGTTCAGCATCAGACGTATTCCAGTAAAAAAAAAAAAAAAATTGACAAAAAAGGTCAAAATGAAAAGACTTGTGCTCTGGCATGCCTAAAAGAGACAGCTGCAGTAGAAACCAGCTCTTTCATCTTGAGATTTTGAGTCTTCCTTCAACACCACTTTGCTTTTCATCAGACTCTTCTGTGCTTTAAAGGTTTCACAGCGTGGTGATAACTTTCCGCTGTGGGTTCCTGTGTTATGCAAATCGGACCTGAATAAACTCCCTGAGACATGTCAGTGCCTTTGCTCGTGAATGATCGCCTTGAAAAGCTGCTAGTTTGCATTTAGCCACACAAAAAGTGAGACACACACCTCAAGCAGCCGTTGAGCATCAACTTTGCTTGGATTTCCATGGAAACAAGTGATATGAACTGAACCACCTTGGGCTGATAAGAAGCAACTTTAGATGTGAGATTTTAATAAGCAATAGAGGCATTTAGTCCGAGTTTGAGTGAAGCAAAAAAATTATAATAATAAAGTATACAACAGTCAGAGTTGTTGAGATAAATAAGGAAGCAAAAGATAAACCTTTGGGCTCAGAAATGTCTACTCCAGAGTCAACTCAAAATCATGTTTTTCAATAAATCTGTGAAGTGGGGCAATATAGTGACAGAAAAAAACAATCAAAACTACACTGTCCAGATAACTTGTACTGAGCATGCAGGAAATGTTTAAGGGGGGACGGTAATCTATTAAATGTCAGCGTTATTTAAACACATTTTGGGTAGGAAACAACTAACAAAAATCAGTTTCTTAAAGGCCCCAGTAGATTGCTTTCGCCTGCAGCCTTGACAGAGCTGTAATGGCTGAAGAGCACTTTGATCGGAGTACATCTGAAGAAATAGCTTGTTTTGTTTTTTCACACTAAGGGGCTCAGGTTGCTAATGTTTATTTCTAAAAAATTACACAAATGGTCCTTCCGGAAATACATTTCTTTAAAGGGAAAATTCTTGTTCAGCATTTAACAGCAGTTAGCTTCACTGCTTTCTTCAAAGACACCAAACTCCATTAAAAAAAAGTTCATTTTAATACATAGAGCAGGACAGTTTCTGTGTGAAGCTGCTCCCATGTGTCTGTTTTTGTTTTTTTGTATTTATTGTGTTGGATCAGCGTTACGTTTTTCAGGTACCAAAGTCACACAATAACAGAAGTAACAATCAAATTGACAACATAAGCAATGTAATGTATCGTGTCTCACCTGTAGCCATTGCACTATGGACTAATATGTGATGTGTGTGTGTTATATGTGTGCGTGTGTTCTTTTGCTGTGCTCTCATGTATATGCTAACTGTTTACACACTGATGCTTTTTCACAAATTAAGTTCTTAACGATAAATACACTTATTTGAGTTATGTCATAACTGCCATGTTTTGCCAGGTTAAAAAAACATGTTTTGTTTTTTTATGGAGTCTGGTGGATTTGAACAGAGCACTTAGTCCCCTTTGTAGTTCAATAAACAGAAAAGGTCTATACTTAGTAGGAATCCCATCTGTAAAGTTTTTAGACACAATCTGTCTATGACTCAAACAAACCTACTTTGGGTACATGTGTCAGATAAAAGGATTACCTAACAGCCTCTTTGCAGCTGCCAGCTTAAATTAACTACTTCTATCCATCAGTCATTTAAAACCCTAAAGAATTAAAAATCAAGTCCCAATTGAAGCAATCAGAATTTTGCTTGAGAAGATAAAGACGATAAATAAATTAAATTCCCTCGATTCAAAAGTTACAGGTTAGTTTGGTGTCCAAATCTCCACTGAAGCTGTCCGACTGTACGGCCCCCACCACGTGTGGATAGTGCTGACTTCTGTTTAAAAGTACAAGGGGGAAAAAAACAGACTACTTTGGACAAAACATTGTGGTTGCCACAAATGAAACACAAGATATTCTTCAACCATCTTCAATCTAATATGCGTTTTCAATGTGGACATGCAAGCCCAGTCTTCAACAGCGGACTTTGTGAGAGTACCCTTGAAGTGTGTCATTAATGTGTTTTCAGAAATGAATTGGCCTTTGCTGATGTCTGTCGAGGGAAACAGACCCCCGCATCTCAGCGTGAAAGAGCTAGTTTCCTCCACCAGCATGCTCCCTGAAACCTCACCAACCTTCCCACTACACTGAATATAGGTGTGCGGTCGTAAAAGGGATCCTGGCCTTCGCTGGAGCCTCGGCAGAGCTCTCCCTCATCATCATCATCATCATCAACATCATCCTCATCATCATCTGCCCCGAGCTCCAAGCACGGGTCCTCCAAAAAGATATCATCGTCCAGGTCCTCCAACTCTTCCAACTCCTCCGCCTCCCCTCGACCCTCGCGCTGAGCTTCGGCCAGCTCAGTTATTTCAGAGTTGGAGAGGGACGAGGGTGGGGTGGGGTCACTCATGCGCTCGCTCATGCATGTGTTGAAAAGAGGGTTTCTGGTGCAGCCAGAGACACGGGAACCAGGTTAGTACAGATAGAGAGAAAGCACACACTTGATCAAACAGGACCACAGAAGGAAACCTGCCTCCCTTCAAACCAGGATCTGCCTTTAGAGCCAGTTTTTACATGTATGCTGTCCAATGTTTAGCGCAGCAGACATGTACGAAAGAGGCACACAGAACAGATGGGAGAGGGTGAAACCAGCTACAGTGGTTGTTACAAGTGTTTGACCCCATTTGATGAGAATGTCTGTACAGTACTGAGTGTGCCAGATCATGGAGTAGATGACTGAGACCCTGAAGAAAAAAAAGATTGTTTCCTAAGAGGAAAGTCACTTCCAGTTACTTCAGAAGCGAGTTCTGGTAAGGCTAATATTCTTTGGTCTTATGTTCACATGTATGGGTAATTATAAATCCAGAGTTTGTCTTATCAGAAAAATATGAGAAATATTTAAGAATCTATCACATTGAAAATAAAAATCCCACACACTACTCTTGCTCGGCATCACCATTTTACAGTATTAGAAAAAGTCACAATGTTTCGGTCCCTATGAACATTTGTCAAGAACAAGAGTAGTGAGCAGGATTTTTTCTTTTCAAAGAAATAAATAAGAGAAAAATAAAGAAGGATGTTGTTACATTAAGTCATACTAAAATTCAGCATGAAACATTTAAAATTATATCTATCCGCTGCTTTTAGACTACAAGCAATGTAAAAAATGTGCGATTACATTTTTGAAACATCTGGTAGTTTTTAAGCCCTCCATCTCTTCTCCACTGGTATGTCGTGGTACAAATACACAAACCAGCTACATCCAACTTCAGCTTATTGCTGATACATTATTTATCTGAGGAATAACATTTCATTAAGTTTGGGGCTTTTGGCCTCACACTGATGCTTTTGGCCACACACTGTAAGCCTGGTGTACTTATTGAGTATATAAATAGAAAGTCAGAATGAGCTGACAAACAACATATTTCAGGGAGACATTTTGCAGATTACTGCTTGATCATTTTTGCTTGTCTTGCAGGAGATTAATGACATTAAAGTCCTGATATGCTGAAAGTTATGTAACTGGGCCATGTGACTGTGTGTGCGACCCATCTGCAAGGAGAGAAAATGACAGCGAGAGAGAGAGCGAGAGAGTTTGGCAGAGAGACTGGGAGGCTGTGTGCCAACGTGGGAGAAAAAGAAACAGCAGGCTTTGAGTAGGAGGACTGAAGAAACATCGATCTCAAATGTTCCACAGCTGATTTTTCCCATTAAAACAGACAGGTCTCGCATCAACAAGCCATTGATTGTCAAATCCTTCCTTTGTGTAAAACCTTTAAGACCATATTCAGAGGGGAAAAAAGCATGTGTTTGCAGTTTAACTCTTTTGCAAATCTCTTCAAAATTGACGGCTTACTTGGTAAAAGATTTGGCACTGAACATTTAAAAGCTGTCGGTCCTTCATACAAAGAAATGTTTCATATTAGTTGGAAAGGAGAGATGGTTAGTAACAGTCACAGTCTGGGCACAACAGACTTAAGTATATCATGACAGAGACACAGTGATGAAGTCAAGACAACTCATTACTTCATGCTGGTTTTCATCACTTCGCTACATGGACAACATGTGGCAGCTATGGCCAACAGCCTCCCATTATCTTTAATGAGAAAGTACTCTGGACATCTGCTGTCTGGCTTCTGTCGACCTTTACATGTCTTCAGTTTGAATTCATTCCTGTACTGTACATACACGGTACGTATAGGGGCCACTGCTGCCCAGCATTTACCTGCCAACCAGACGGAACCAGGGGAAGCGGTCGTAGAAGGGGTCTCCTCCGGTCATCACATTTTCAGAGTCTTCAGTCGTGTTGTGCGGCACATCAGCCGCACGATCATACATGTCTCTCATGAGATCGAGCCTCTGCCTGCAAGAAGACGCAACCACAGAGTTAGTGTCCTAAAAGAGGATACAATTGAGGTTAAGGATGACTCTTCTGTCAGTCAATGCTGTACTTTTGGTAATATTTAGCCCTCAGACAGATGATATGTTGTCCTAATGTGTGCACTCTCTGTTACAATCTGCCAATGGTGCTCTGCTGATCACGGAGGTTGATCAGGCTTTGCTATTTGATTCCTAACACAAATAACTGTCTACCTACTGAAAAGCCCAGCTTCACCTTCTTCTACTTCTGTAAACTTTTTTTTTTCCAAGACATTTGGAAATGTTTTCAGTACTGTTTTATTAGCTTGATGTAATCTCAGTTACGGTCTTGAATTTATTTTTTCTGTCCTCTTTTATATCCATTTTATCTGCTTTGTCTTGTTCATTTTTCAAAGCACTCTGACACTTTATGGAGAGAAAGTGCTGTATATACAAGAAGTTATTATTCTGTCACTATCATCAAAGCTAAGGGGCTAAGCTCAGCCGTCATCACGTCTTAGTACAGTCAAACTGATTCCACAATTGCATAATATTGGTGTCCCAGTCTGTGAGTGACCATTGCGTTTCAGCGTTGCAAAAGCACAGATGGAGCTCCACATAGACACAGAGTCAGACATGCACACACACAGCGCTGCACTCCGTCTTGCCTCTGTTACTACCTCCAAAGACGGTACAGAGGGGGGGACTATTCACCCCCCCTGTTATGCCAACGCAACATTCAGATTGAAGGCAAAGCATCACAGGGGTGTAAATATGGCTGCTTGACTAACTAGGGCTAAACATTTGTCTGAAAGATTATCATTAATTAGAGGCCTCTGACTTTGTTGCATGTTGATGTACCTCAGTTTTTCTAATGTCCAGTAGTGGGTGGCTCCATTTTTCTGATCCTGCACCTCCACAGCCACAATGGTGCGTGGGAAGTGTCGTACGTCTCTGTCTTTAGTGGCCTCTGGAGGCAGCAGGTCTGGAGGCAGGGGGGAGTACAGAGTGTCTGTGAGCAGGATGAACTGGAACTGGACCTGAAGGGACACAAAGCGTAGGTTAAAGAACAGAACAGTCAAAGAAACACATCAATCTTGAGATATAATGGAATAGTAATCGTAAAAGGAAACATGGTGTACCTTTTTCTTTAGTTCTACGCTGATGGCGTTGGCCTCCTTGAGGAATATGGCGTTTCCCCACAACAGATCACGCAGAGAGGTGAACTGATAGCTCCGCCACTTGCGGAAACTCCACACAGCCAGCTCTCTCTCCTTCTCTGTCCATTGCACTGTGGGAAATAAAGGATAAAACGTTATTGTTTGTTTAGGGTTTCTTTGTTTACCCCCTAAATATTAATGTTCAGTATATGTGTTTTTTAATTAGTTTACCTTCCTCTTCTGGCTCTTCCTCTTCTTCAGGGACGTCTGGGTAGTAACGGTCCACTTGCTTCTGAAGAGCCTCCAGCTTGCTCTCATAATCCTTAACAATTAATCATTGAAGAACTAAGTTAACGCTTGTGGACATAACCCATTAAATGTAAAGAAATGGATTTCAATTAAGAAACTGTTCGGTGGATAGAAAACGTGTCGAGTCAGCGCACATTCAGAAAAACGGAGTATAATTGGTGGCACTTACTTTTCTAAATTTGATTTCTGTATACTCAATAAAGTAAGTGTAATATATAAAACAGAAAAAACATACAAACCTACATAAAGATTCAAAATCTAGTTTCCTGTGGCTTCTAAGCAAAAGATAATGTAAACAACCCAAAGCTACACATCACTGTACCAGTCTTTGCTGCTCCAGAAGGTTGTTGGTCTCCTCTCTTTCTTTGCGATACTGCTCCTCCAGCTCCTGCAGCCTGACGACACAAACACAAGGAAGGTGAAGGACAACCCCAAAGGAAACTTTGTTTTTTTCACCGTCAGTATCTGGAGCAGCATGGCACTTACTGTGCACTTTACTGCGGGCTTGAAAAACTTGAGAGCTTTTAAAATTGGAATTGCCCGTAGAGTAGAGTAATTATCTTTTCCTTCTTGGGCTAACCCATCTGTTGTTCCTCTGTTAAATAAAGAGACAAAATCTGATTCCTACTACCCCACCTTTCTTCTCAAAGTTAAGTTGGATTGCTCTCTAATAACACTAATAGCTACCTATTGATTTTCACTACAGACTGTAAAAAAGATGGACGGCATGACAACTCCATAAAAGTGAGGCCAAAACATTTGGAGCTCCCCCTACTGACTGGCTGCAGTATAGTGCCTCTCCATGTTAAAAGATGAGACATGAGTCAAACTATATCATTTTTCTCAGACATGGTTTCTGTCATTATATTTTGTTCTTATCATGCTGTTGTATGTTGAGTGTGCATTTGTTGAGTTGTTTCATTTTAATAAGTTACTGTTGGAACAAAAATGGGAATAAAGCCATGACACAGCTCTGTTGACAAATGTTGCTCCAGCAGCGCTTTTTGTAATTGGATAAATCAGAGAGGATGCGAGGTAATGTCACAAACACTAGAGTCATTGCACTTTCTATGAGCAGGAGTGTCTGCTCCAAACCAACAAAATAATCTGCTCTACTGAAGACTGTGTCGACCTGAGGGGTCTTTGTTAAGTCTGTTTTGGTTATAGGAGGGGGCGGGACATTAATACCGCGGCTCCACCAGCTGATCCCTTCTGTGTATTTTCTGCATCAAAATGCGTGACATCTGGCTTCATGTACAGTCTATGGTTTTTGAAGAAAACATTACAACACCCAATCATAGGGTTTATTTTAAATTGGGTTTATTATTTAAATTGGGTTTATTTTACCTGAGAGTGTTAAAGCATGTTTTGTACAGAGCATCATAATAGATACGTCTGCATCAATAGAGCACCTTAAAGTCCTTGGTTGGGGCTCTTATAGCTGTTCCAGAGTGAAGGCTCATTCTAAAGCTGACTGAGCACCTTTTGAAATCAAGGCCCTCAACTTCAGAATGGCTGCTCCGAGGAGATAAGGGAATCTGTGACCTCTTAAACAATTTTCCAAGAACCCATTTCTAAAGAACTACTTTTATCTGATATTGTTTTATTAATTGTATTCTTTGGTCTTGACCTTTCATCTGCCTTTTGTCTTCTTGCTTTAACTTCATATTTTTAATCCCCTAATATCTTTTTGCTTTTATTGGTTCTTATTGTTTTAGTTTCTGTTTTTATTTGTCATCTTATTTGTCATTTTATTTATCCTGCTTTGTGATTTGTTTTTAAAGCACTTAGTGAACTCCATTTTAGAGGCTCAATAAAAAATAGTTATTATAACCATAAAGTACCTCTGCTCCATTTCCTGTTTCATGTCAATGCCCTGTTTGTCCAGCAGCTCCCTCTGAGCGAAGGCCCAGTCCACGGGCTCAGAGGGAGTTTCTGCACACGGGGTCCTCTCCCTCTCCGCCCTCGCCTGCACTGGGTGGTTAAACCTGAACACATGGCTCTTACCCAGGATGATGCGATTTCCTTTAAAGGAATAAACCAAAATTATCGTCATCAGACTGTGTGCATCTCAAACGACTGATGTTGGAGTTTACATTACCTTTATAATATATACATTTCTTCCTGTCCCAGAGACAGTTAGAGTCTATATACCTGACTCAAGAAAATTGTTTTTAAAGATTAAATATTTGAAAGTAAACTTCAAAACAACAGAACAAGTTTTCCTCCATTAAACATGAAGATGTGAACCAGTAGGCGGGCGATGACATCATTCACTTTGATCAGAGTTTACTGCTTCATGGTCTTTACAGCTCTTCTTGGTTGTCGTAATATTGTTTTTCACTGTTGTCTTTGCCTTGCAGAAACATCCTTAAACTTGCTGTAGTGACATTTAAGGTCACATATTTACACTTATATAACAAGAAAGGAGATTTTCACAGAGTAACTAAGCTTACAGACCTGATTTGAGGATGGTGGGCTCTGTCACCCTCTTTCCATTCACATAAGTCTCTGCTCCTTCACAGGGCTCGAGGACGACTGCTGCTTGGCAACAGAAAACACGGTTTGAGGATTAACTTATTGTCTGTCAATATTAAACTCTAATGCACACAGCAACAAGCCTGTGGAGCAAAATAAAGCACCCACTTTCTCCCATAGGACCTGTAGCGCTAGTGAAAGTGCAGTGCTCGTCTTTGATGAAGTGGCCGCTGAGGACGATGTCCTGACGACTGCTGGCATCCAAACGACCCACCCTGGAAAAAAAGAGATGATATGGTGTAAGAAGTGCATTTACGTAGGTACATTTAGAACCTGAAAAATCTTTATAATCATTCACTAAAAATAACTCTTCTATTATAAGATCATAAAATATCTGACCTGGTAATCCCGTCTTTAATGTAGTAGAGCAGGCACTCAGACATCAGAGGATCCTCATTCAGGTTCACAAGATGAGGTGTCTGACACAGAGCAAGGAGTAGTTTACTAACTGCAGATGTTTTTGCATGAATTTAACATAAATAGTTCTTCAACCATATGTTATTTACAGTATAACATATGCATACACTGCACATCAAAGAGCTGGAAAGAAATCTCGCACAGTAAGAAACATCAAACAATCAGCAGCAGATAAAACCATGCAGCTCCACAGCGTGAGTGTTTAATGAAGTCTCAGTCAGATGTTACAGGCTGCAGGCATACAGTCATAAATTACTGAAACGGGGGCGCTACCATTATCTTTCCCCCATGTTTACACCCAATGCCGCCTTCGGGGAGTATTTGAAGTGAGTAATGAAGTAGATTTAAGATAACAGTAAATGAAAAAGGAAAAACCCTTGACTGATCTGCCTGCTGTTGAAGAGAGACTCAGAGCACTCGGAGAGGGAAACGGCTTTTTAACACTTCACAGCTACAAACCTCGTTGGGGGAAAACAGACCAACTGTGTCGATAAACACAGGCTGGGGCTTTCTAGGGCTATCGGAGGGCTTTTGGGGGGTAAATAAACAAGCATTTTTTAAGAATAATTTTAATGTTAAGTACAAGACTTAATATGAGTTGTGGAGTTGTTGTTTTCTTACCTTCTTGGGAGAGAAAACACCAAGTGTCCCACCATCTTCTCGCATTGCCACACCCATTTCTGCAAGCAAGGCCTCTCTGTAAATGAAAGTCAAAGTCAGTAAACCAGAGCATGTTTTTTGCTTTACCTATCAATATCATAGAGATCATATAGAGGGATTGTCTTGTTTCTTCAAAAGTCCATACTACATAAAATATTCTACAAGGATATTGTCATGTCATGTCGTAGGTCTCTTCATTAACGGCATTTAGTCTGTTAAAACTTGAGACTTGAGGCCAAAACATGAAGACTTTTCTTTTTAAGGTCTAAATGACCATTCCATGAAAACTGAGTTTTTTTAATATGTTTCAGTATTGAGTGTGTCTTGTTCTCTTCGCTGTATTTGTCTGTTTTTAAACCATTTTCTTGATCTTTATGATATTCTTTCCAGAATTATTGATTTGCTTTGTTTGGTACATTGATAGAAGGACATTTTCTTCAGATTTAAAAAAAAATGAAATAAAAGAAAATCTCAAAAGAAAATTGTACATCTCACCTTTCCATTCTAATCGCCTCCGTTCGACGAAGTTTCTCCTCCCAGGTCTCATTGAGTTCAGCAATGATTTTCTCTGTTTCCTATATTTTCAGAAAGACAACAGCGATTCAGTCAAACTGTGATTTCAAGAACGTGTCTGAGGGATACAGGGAGGGAACATTCCCAAGAAAAAAGCAACAGTGATATGATCCTATTAAAAAGCATGTAGGATATATTCTAGTTTAATCCTCTGTGCCATAATCCTACATTGTAATCGAAAAACAAATAAATCATCCATATTCTTTTTCTTTGGACACGCTGAAGCATTTAACACTTAAACTATACATATATTATAGCATATATGTATTGAAAGGCTAGTCATACTATACTATACTACCATACTATATACTGATATTTTCATTGATCTGAGAAGGTAGTAGCTTGGTTTAAACACTAATGTAATCCAGTTTTGCTCTGTCTTTTTGAACAGTAAAGACTTTCATGAAATATGAAAGCAAAGGTCCCTTATTTGTAGGTGATGTCTGAATAAGCTAAACCAAAAATTAAGCAGCTATGACAGCTTTTTTTTAAAGTTAAAAATAAATGGAAAGGTAGTAACCCTATCTAAACAGTACAGCTCTCTGTGTCACTTAATTAGACATCAGCAGACCTTTCTTGACTGGTCTTCAAATGAGAAGAAAACAAGATAACAACCTTTATTTCCTGGGAAAAGTAATTACAGTAACTTCATATTGAGCCTTATGTGTATATTCATAATTGTAAATATCGTTTTAACTTAAATAACTGCGCTGTACATAGCTTATTATCTTATCTCACTTGGTACTTATTTATTATTTTATTGCTTATTTTATTATCTCTATTCTATTTTATTTTTACATCTTATATTATTTCTATATTTCCTACTGCTGTTTTGTGTTTAAGAGAAAATGTAACAACTGAATTTCCCCCTGGGATTAATAAAGTATTTCTGATTCTGATAACTGAAGGGGGTAAAAATTGTGGGTGCTCACAGTGTTAAATGAACCAAGCTGTAAATACTCCACCAGGCACATGCCTGAAAACAGGCCACTATTTACCCCTGTTAAGTAAGGTTTGTTAATCACTGTAATGAACCAGAGCTGTAGAAACCAATCAAACTTCTTATAAAAGTAAAACTATCCAGGGAAGGAACCTGAGCAACATTGCATTTTTTATTCCTCATTTCTCTGCCTGGACTTTCTGTCTTCCATCTACTATTAATTCTCTAGAACAGGCACAGCATTATTGAAAATCCTTGGAGATGTATGACCTCAGAGGAAACAAATGACTCAGTCTGGAGGAGTCAGATAGTATTGACAAACAGATTTGTCAACACAGGCAAAACAACTGAATATCGCTAGCCTTTCAGTTTAACTGAGCCGAGGATTATGGGCACAAAACAGCATATGGTTTGTGAATAAGCAGCTGATGAGCCAGAGAATATCTGATATATAATGCTGTACATGGATGTTGTGTATTCAGAGTGTGGGCTTGGAGATTAAGTGCGTGGTAATGTTATCCTGCGTTCACCTTCAGCCTCTCGATGGCCTCCTCGCTGCCTGGGCTGAACATGATGCGGTCATGCAGACTGGCGATGGATCCGGCTCGGCTGGACAAGGCTGAGAGAGACGGAGAGGGACTCATGCCCGTCATGGCGTTGGTCACTGTGGAGAGATCATCCCTTTGATTCACTGCTTGTCCTTTTTTGTTATTGTTCTTGTAATCGGATAGGTCTGTCGGACGGGACGGAGGGAGCAGAGGATGTGTGTATGTGTTTGGAGGAAGTGGGAGTTGGGAAATCGATAAAATTGAAGAAATAAAATAGAGAAATGTGAACCAATAAGGAAGAGAAGAGAGAGTAGAAAAGGAAGAGAAGAAAGGTGGCCTGAAACAACTCCCATAAAACACAAAGAGATATATTTACTAGTTCACAAGCGAGGGCAGCACCAGCAGAAAGCCACGCGCACAAAACTTAAAATATGCAACAAGGAGATCATTGAGCCATGTCAAAAGAAAATGCAGCTAAAATACAAAAAATGACAAGCTTAGCATCAAATTCAGGAACATTCAAAAGCAAGAACGTTTAAAATAAGCATTTACAAACTCTTTATCTGCCATTTCATAAAGAAAGCCATTTTGCAATAAGGAATCCAGTCATGCACATTTAACCCAATCAGTCTTCATATGGAACTAGAGGGGGGGGGGGCGCTCACATAATGAAAAAGATAATTAGTCATTTGAAAAAGTGTCAGACTTCCTGCAGAGAACATTAGGAAGCCAGAACGTAATTATGACTATTATCTAAAAGCATAAAGATGCAATCAATGCTCTGTGTCATTCCCTTTTGTTAGCGATAAAAAAGCCCCCCCACCCCCAAAAAGCGCAATGGATGTTGACTTCTTTGGCAGTTCATTCCTTATTCTCATTGGATGATTTGGAAACACGATGTGTCCAAATTAAATGATCAAAATAGTCTACAAGCAAACCCTGATTCTACCTCAACTTCCCTGTGCTGTGTTGAGTGTTTCCTCTCAGCTCTGTTGTGGCCTTCATAGATTGTACACACTAAAATATATCAACCCTGCAGCTGCTGCTTTGGCAACACAGAGCAATAAATTGGGAAAGTGTATCACATCCATCCATCTGGACAGACTGTTCCCTGCCAAGACGGATCACACAATATTGACTTCCCAGTGTAGTTAATAAAGTCACGTATTATAGAAATACAGTGAAAAGTTATATGAATCCAATAATATGAACCTGAGTATACTCTCTGTTTGAGAAAAGGCTGCATTGTCATTTTATGTTTTTTTCTATTGTGGAGGCAAACAGGAGACTCTGCCAGGGGAACAGTAAAGGTAAAGTTTCATAACATATTTCATTATGATGAATGATTCGCTCGGCATTGCTCTGTATTGCTTTTTGCTTCATGAATGATTAAGCTCAGTCCAGCCAATGCAACAGCCACTGTACACAGCCATACTCAAATGTATACAGCAGCATGACACACGTCAAGGCATGAAAATCTTTCAAGGTAATTTTTCAGCTTCCATCTGTTTTCTTTTTGGTCCTCAACTTTTATACAAATAGTCACAGACAGAAGTTTATAAGTTTTGTATGTTAGTCTGACATCAGCCAAGTTTCAAGATCATCTATGAAACAATATCCACGCTCACTACCACACACTAAAACCCATCAGTCAAAAAAAACCCAACAATTTGGCAACCAACTACCCCATTCGGAGACGGGTTTGCGTGTCTGATTTCTGCACAGGCAAACTGGCCAGGTAAGCATAATGTTTCCCCGATAGAGTTCTGTCTAATCCTGCCTTCCTGTGAGATGATTAGATTGAATCTGTTGCCTCAAAGTTGACCTCAGGACTTTCGGCCCAGACCCTGCTGCTTGTGTCTAAATTGAGTTTTTTAGTCTAAACTGTGATGACCCCTCCACACCACTAGGTGTTCCCGTTTTGCCGGTTCTTCTTTATGATGTAGGTTCCAGTCAAGGTGGGGTTGCTATCAGGGGATGAGCTACACCTGGGCCCGGTGTAGTCCTCATCCATATAATTCCTCCTCATCAGACAGACGCTCTCTGTTCTGTTATTCTCCCACCCTGTGTGAACATCATGGAGCAGCTGATTCTTTTGTTTCAGTCACTGTTTAATTTGGTGTTATTTTGATATATCTCGATCGGCTCCACCACCCCTGCGACCCCTAACAGGAAAAGCAGTATAGATAATAGATGGATGGATGATATATCTCATCTTCAACTCCCATTTGTTTTTACAGCCTAAGAGCCAGGCTTAATAAAAAGGTATTGCTTTTCCTTAACAGAAGTGTTGGTGACATATCCTTAACAACGCTGACAATAATGAAGCCACATACTTTTTTAGGCTAAGATACAAAAGGATTCACTATTAGGGAAGGATTAAATATTAAGTCAACAGTCTGCTGGATGAAAGTCTGTGTTTAAAATATTTACTTTTCTAGTCAATCACAGCAATGGAGGGCAGGATTGGGCAGAGCTCTATCAGGAAACATAAAAACTAAGAAGCTAACTCAACATGAGCTTCTGTAAAAGTAGGATAGCATGACCATGTAAAAAATCGAATTATGAAATAAAGAGACGTATAAATATAAGCAGAGCTGGACTAAACCCCTCCCAACAGGATAGAGGAAATCACTTTAACAAAGTCTGTATCATTTATTTCATTATTGCTCTATTGGTTAATGGCTCTTGTTTTTGTAATCATTCCTACATTGCTAAAATGTCTCTCACATTTTGAAAACTAAATGTTGGCAGGTATGTAATGTGTTCTAGTGCAAAGCGCCTGAAACATTCTGATCACTTCTCAAACATTTGTTGATGCTGCACAGAAGAAAACAAGCGAACAGAAAAGCTACTTTACACTGTCACAGAAAGCACTGCTGATGCTAAGCTGCTGCCACAAGAGCAAGAGCAAAAGCCAGAAAACACACATTTCAAACCCTCGATCTCAGCATCAGACGCTCGATACTCTGCGAGAAGAATGGAAAAAGAGTGACAGAGACGGATTAGAAAGAGAATAAAAGGAGAGCCAACACCTTGAGAAAAATATTAATATTCATTTCAAATGTCCCTATTATTTCATTAACACCTTAACAAACAGAAACAGAGCGTTTCATTTTAATGTCCAACAGCTGATTATGTGTTTAGTAAGGAAGCCGTGAGAGGCAGTTTAGGAAAAAAAAGATTTCTAGTGTTCGTTTTAAATCTTGATGATAATTGTTTTATTTTTCTACCAGTGACATGTCTCAAGCTAAATGTATTTATAATTTTACATCTGTGACTGGATGGAGGAAACTTCTTTAAGTTGATGTTTTTTTAATCTGTGATAAAAAGGGAAAATTGTAATCTTAATAAATGTATACAATAAAAACATTTTCTGCTTAAAAAAAATGGGCTTGACAGGTAAACACATTTCCTCCAATCTTTTCTTAAGTCACAACTACAGAAATCAAACACATTAGATTAGATTTATTATTATTTAGTAAGTGCTTGACCTTATTTTCCTTAAATGACTCTCAGGACTTTGGTACTTTAGCCACAACAATTCAACTTCCAGATGTAAAAATACATATGTCTTATCTACAGGGAGTATTATTCTTCCTTAAATGTAAACCTAAAGCAGACCCTGTGTGTCTGGTAAACACCCTTTATTTAAACCCAACACCTCCAATTTGTTACACAGACCTTTAATCCTATGCTAATGTTAGCTAGCTTAGCATGTAAGCTCAAAGACTTAAAGCTCCTTTGAGAAACGTTTGGTCTTTGTCGTTTGTAATGCCCCCTTTGGACTGAGTGTGGCCTTTTATGGCAGCATTTACAGGCATTAAAAATGATAATATAGAAGTAATAAATCTTGTCACTCATGGTCTCTCTTACCTCTGGATGTCTAAGAGACAGATCAGTATTATTTTCAGTCTGTTTCATAACCAGCTCAGAACTCCTCAAAGTCCTGCTCACACTATTTCTAGCTCTAAATGTTTGTGTGGTTCCCAACATGAGAGTAAACTGGACTTTGCTAATTCTCATCTCACTGCAGTTTAAGAAAATATGTATCTGATTATCTCTATTCACATCTTTCAATTGATTTCTCTTCATTGGGTCGCTATCTGCTTTGTGTTTTTATCTGAAGGCACATAAACACACACAATGTTTGTGAGCACATGGAGAGATAAAGTGTGCTGTTTTTTGAGGGGAACTGTGTGGGCTGACAGTGTGTCATTGAGAACAGTGTGCACACTCACACAAAAACCATTACAAACGTTATAAACTGTCTTGTAGAGATAGCACTAATGGTCGCATAAATCCAATAAATGACCCCTTACTCTCAATGATGTCACCCAGGCCCTGGGCATAGAGGAGATCTTTCAGACGTGACACCTCCTCCTTCAGCTCGCGCACTAATCGGTTGTTGGGATCCTCATTGATCACGGCGTTACAGCGGATCTGTTTGGCTCTGTCTGCATACCTGTGAGGGTAAAGGAAGAATCACTGAGCAGGTTAACTCGGGTGAGAGAGGGGTGACAAAAAAGGCAAATAAATATTCACACAACCACAGTATTCTGCAGCACGGCACCGCAGCTCATGAAGGGTGTTTGAAGTGTGAATCTGATGCAAGTCCCTGAGGGGAGTGTGTATTATGCAACACTTTGTCTCATTAGCGTCCTTCAGAGCGACATTCAGCAGCTGTGTGGGAGGAAAAGACGGCAGAGCGGCAGAAAATCTGTTTTATGTTCTCTACCTGAGTGTGCTGAGGGTCTCGTCGTAGTTGATGTCTGCTGGACTCAGGGCAGCTACCATTGCAGTGCGAGAATTCCCCCCTGAAGACAAACACATTTAGGTCTCAGTTTGTTCAGGATTAATGAAGTATTGAAGAAACATGAGCTAGTAAAACAAATAAACATCGTGTTCATACCCAGATTTTCTCTGAGGAGCCAGGTCAAAACTGAATCTCTGTAGGGGATATGGTTTTCTACTTTCTTCTTCTTTTTATTCTGTTTACCAAATTCAAAACAGAACATTTAAATCACTGTACTTATTGCATTAAAGTTCAAAATATATATATAAATATGTTTTCAAACAGGTTACCTTATTCGACCCAGAGTCCTGAAATGAAACAGACAGTAAAATGAATATCCTGCATGACATGGGCTTTATTTTACAATGTACAAAAATGCAGATTATGATACATACCACTTCTGCCAACGCAGAGATGACTTTCCCCAGTGTGGTTAGAGATTTGTTGATATTCGCTCCTTCCTGTCGCAGAGCAAGAATAAGAATAACTTGAAAATCAACATACTTATATAATATACAGTAGTTTTAAAATAGATTTACTGTAAAACTCCAAATAAAAGCCCATCCCAATTTAAGCTCTAATCCTTTTTACTAGCCTGGTGTTGCTGCACAATTTGACAAAGAAAGGCAGGTCTCTTGGGGTGCAGGTGGCACAGTGGGTAGTGTGTGTGCCCCATGTATGGAGGCTATAGTCTTCCAAGCGGGCGGCCCAGGTTCAAATCCAACCTGTGGCTCCTTTCCCTCATGTCTTTCCCCACTCTCTCTCTCCCTGATTTCCAACTCTATCCACTGTCCTATCTCTCCAATAAAGGCACAACTGCCCCCCCCCCCCAAAAAAAAAGAAAGACAGGTCTCAATTAGAGGCCCTGATGCATTTAGTGTTGATTAGTTTGATCCAAAATAAAAGCAGAAAGACACAAACATAAAGATGAACTTCCACTGTTAAAAAATACAAAATAATGCTAGAATGTGTTCCAGCTGTGCAGCAGGATGTCATACTGTCATATATTTAATTTAATTGTTGTATTAGTATTCTAATTTTGGACGCAGTTAAATATATTTTATTACGTCAGTCTATACAATCAGATAAGACAGAAGTTATTTGTAAATGTCTTTCTGAAGAATGTCATTCTGATGTTGTTATATTAAGATTTATTTTTTGAGGTTTTGCCTTTATTCGATAGGACAGTGGATGGAGCAGGAACCTGAGGAGAGAGAGTGGGGAATGACATGAGAGAAAGGAGCCACAGGTTGGACTTGAACTCCGGCCCGCCTGCTTGGAGGGGGTATATAGGTACCGTATATGGGGCATGACCTAATCGCTAGGCCATCTGCGCCCCCTTCCTTCTGTTGTTTAAGTAACACACGTTACTGCGTTGTTTTCTTTTTGTTGTGTGTTCTGTTTTTTCCCCATACCATGTAATATGGCCATGAGCTGTGTAAATAGATGAAGACTGAGAATGAAAATCTCACCTTAAGCCTGGTGCCTTTTGCTCCAGTCGAATCTGCCCTCTCACTGCCCGCCAAATCCACCAAACTTATCTTGCTGACCTGAAACAAAAAATTAAGTCAATACATGAATTAGCAAAAGCAACTCAAACCAATCTATGTATAAAGAATATCTAAAAAGCCAATGTGCTGCACGATCAGGGCGGCAGTAAAATTGAAATAAAGTCACTGTAAAATACAAAGAGCACCCGCATACACAATAATAGAGAAATGCTAACTCAAATGAAATATATACAGATATGAGAATAACACAGATAAAGAAGAGATAAAACCATAAACAGAGTCAGAGGACTACTGCACGATATAGAATAATAGGAAGATAAACAACAACTCGTCATTTTCCAAGATCAGGCTTCTTTTTAAAATGTCTTTAAGATTTTACATTTTTATCAGTGTTAGATAAAACTTTCCGGCTCAAAAAATATACAAGGAACACAGTTTGGCACTGGAACACCTGGGCAACAATAAAAGTTTGATTGTGTGTTAGATACTGTTTTCAGTTCGGTTTGTGATAGCTGCATTTCTTACCCTCAAGTATTATTATCACTGCGCGGCCGAACGATCTTGGTAAAAATTATACTTGTTTTTTTGAATTTTTTGACTTGTGTATCAGCATGTTTATGTTTAAAAAAAAGTACCAACTGCATGTGTCGAAAGTAAATATGTAGAATATATATGCATTTAAATCTTTTGCTTTGCACAATGTCTCATGGAGCACTTTTTCAAAAAGCATATCAGCAGAGGCAGCAGGATTAATTAAGGTGAACGCCATCTTGGAAAGGACGGCTCATAAGTCACAGTCTCCATCTTCAGACATGCTCCATTTATTTAACAGTGAAGTAAGCACTCAGAATGTAAGTTGTTCTAATAGGTTCTCAGTTTTTAGTTTTCGACCAGCGTAACACTACAAGGCATATTACATTCAAAAGAGTGAAAAACACCGACGTGTAAAACATTTATCTGGAACCTATTACATGTAAAGAGTATCCTTCCTAACACTGCTAATAATAACAGATTGACCTTCAAGCAAACATTGATTTCCAATTAAGACAAGATTGAAATCATTGTAATCAATCCACTCATAGATTAGCAGAGATACCAGATCAATATTGAATTAGTTTACTCAGTGGTAGATAAAAGTCTACCTTCTCAGTGGTGTTATCAGTCTCAGCATCGAGGCGTTTCTGAGTGAATATGATGTTAAAGACGGCATGCGAGCGACTGCTGGTCTCATTCATGTTGGTAGCAGCCACAGTCCTGCAAAGACAGATTACATTCATATTTAGTTCTTGCTTCAACTCTTTTGTTTTCGCCACAAAACTGCAAAGAAGATGAGGATGATAGAGACAGAGCGTCATGAAGTCCCACCAACACCTGATGTAAAAATGATGCATCACTCCTTATCGACTATGTGCTATTGTGCCTGTCATCAGATAAACAAAACACAATGAACACTAACAACAGCGTAAACAAAACAGAACTAAGTTTTCCTAAACATCCAAACAGTTTAACGGAGCCTATATAAAGAAAACAAAGTGGATACAGGCAATGAGGAAGCTGTAGGATCATGGCGCTTCATTATTTAGCCAAACACTCTCTAGAGGTTAAAGCTAAGCTATGTCAGGCCTGGGCTGTTATTTGTGAGTTTAAAGGATGATCTTCTGAGGCAATTAAAAAAGACAACAATGTTGTTAATATGTTCATGTTAATTTGAGGATCGATGAGTGTCCTGTGCACAGCCGTGCTACTCATCTGGTGTGCAGCTAAAACACAGACTACTCAGACTGTCAATCAAACAAACTACTTTGACCTTGAAAGCTGTATAGTGATGTCAATATGAAGAAAAGAATGTCAGATTATTAAGAGGGATAACTTTCCCAACAAAAGCAAAGTAAGAAAAAAGGGACACTAAGACTGAGTTTGTCGACATGATTTTTCCCCTTAGTCGAGATAAGATACTAACATAATAACCTGACATGACACAATCTATTGGGTTCAGTTGGCTAAAGGATTTCCAGTTTGTTTTTAAGCTTTTGTAGTTTTCGATCCTTGAAATAACTGAGAAAGTATTGTTTAAAACGTATTGAAGTGTTAAAAAGTTTGACAGCCCTAGAGTGATAAGGTCTAGTGAACAGACAACTCCACTACCTGGCCTTGTTGCCCGAGTCCATCAGGTCCTGGATGTCGTTGTAGGAGGTGACAGCGAGCTTTGACAGATCCTCCACGTAAGGTCCCATCAGAGGATGTTCTCGAACACGCAGGTTCCCTTTGTTTTTAGGGTTCAGCAAGTCCCGCACACGCTCACAATAGATTTCCATGTAGCTAACCTGTTGAGATATAAAATATCAGAAAGAACAGTTAAAGCATGTGTCAGGTTCAGGTTTACGATACATTTCGGTTACCTGTGTTTGAATAAGTTGCATTAGAAGTACTGAAAGTACTGTATAAAATACATCTCCTGTTGTATTTTCTGTACATGGTCCTGAACTGAAAATGTAATAAACTAAACTGTGCAGATTATGCTTACCTCAACAGAGTAAGACATGCTGTTGTCTGTGTTGTCAATAATCTTGGTGAAAAGATCTTCACAGAGCTGCAAGGAGAAAAATATTTTAGGCACTATTACAAAGTATAATCAAAACGATTCATGAGTTGAAATGAGTCTGTACCAGGGGGATGATTCCTTGCTGATCCTTGACATCCTGCTTCCCCATCATGGTGTAGGACTTTCCAGCGCCTGTCTGACCATAAGCAAATATGCAGACATTGTAGCCCTCGAAGGCGTGCAGCAGCATCTCCTCACCGATGTCCTTATACACCAGCATCTGAGAGGCATAGTTGGCATCCTCGGGCTGCGGAGAGAGCTCAACAATCAGGAACTTAAATCTTAAAAATCCTCTTAAAACAAGCAACAAAATGAAAATGTGAGTGTGTTGTTGTTGTTGTTGTGTTGTACTGTTGGGGTGCAGAAGGAGCTACCGTGGTGTGGGACCAGTAGGAGTAATCAAAGTTGAAGCTCTTGTTGTCTTTGGCCTGCTTGGGGTTGATGATGGCTGAAAGACAGAACAAGAAACACGGGTCAGAGGGAGAGTGAGAGCCGCCATGTGAAACTGTATCTGAGCTGTGTGAGTGTCACGTTGTGCTGATAGAGACAGGAAGGCCTCAGTGGCACCCGTACTCATCTTTAGTGTTTGGTCCTTTAGCAATAAAGCACAACATTAGACTTTGGATGTTTCAGGAAAAGAAACCAACAAAACATTTTTTGAGATGAAAACAGAATGCAAAGACAGTATTTCCCCCATTGTCGATGGACAGAGAGATATACATTATTCTGGTACATCAGTTGCCTTTGGTGTAAAAGCTTAAAAATGCAATTAATCCTGAAGTTAAACTACGTGAGGATTGTCTTTTTTTAAAAACTCTTTCATTGTTTAGTGTCAGAGGTTTTAAAGTCCTCTCTACATGTTCGCTCCTTCTTTTTAAAAACAAACCAACATTAAAAAATATAATTTTATACAAAGCAAAAAGAAATTACTGATAACTAGACGCTGCATCAATCCTTACACATAGTTATTCAATCAGTCACCAACGAAATCTGATCAGTGTGCACACTACAAATAAGTTCTTACTGAGGCGCCGGATAGCCCAGTGGTTATGTTGCCAACCCCATGTACTAAGTTAAAGTGACCGTCACAGCGGCTGTGGGTTCTGACCTCGGGCCTTTGCTGCAATCCCCCTCTCTCTCCTCCCAACATCTGTCTCTCTTCAGCTGTCCAATCCAATAGACTGTAAATATTAACGTACAAAACCTGAGGGACGTTGAATGTTTGTATTTATGAGGACTTATAACATATCAAAAGCTGTTGACTGCACTTTCTATGTTTCAATGCATATTTCAGCACCATGGAGAGAAAACGTGAAGATTTGATTTTACGATGAAACATTAAAAATATATCTCTAAACAAACATAGTTGTGCACATAGTTAAAAAGACTGATGTTATGTAAATTAGATTACAATACGTCGTCCTAGAACTTAAGTAGTTCTCTGAGGCTGTAATAGTTGTTACACACTCCAAGACAAAACTGTAATTCCCAATTTCTCAAGTAAAGTTTGGTCTGATGGTGGTGCCAGATTAAAAGACCATATTGCTACCTTTTAGGTCTCTCTGTCTTTGAGTGGCCATTTTAGATCAGCTCTTCAGCTGAGCTCAGCCACAGCTCTTCAGGCTCATCTTACAACATCGTGACACAACCACCAGTCCAGAGCTGCTCTTACACCGGCTCAGATTTCCTTTGTTAGCCACCAGAAGAATCTAACTTCTACAAATGTTGTCAATTCATTCCAGGCTGTGAGAAAAGTACTGATAAGAGTTCAAAGCCTCTGTGTGTTCTAAGTGTAATGTGTTTGTGTTGAAGTGGAGTGTTTCATCTTTGTATTTTAATAATCTAGTCTGGTAGATTTAAGGATGATTCACCGATGACTCATTCACAATGAAAAAGTTGTGAATGTCACTTCTAAGTAAAAGGTTGAACAGTTTGACTGTTTATTAAACACCTGACTTTCTGATGTAAATTAAGCAGCAACCTCTGGTGTTTAAAAATGATGCCAATGCCGGAGTGCAAAATCCTGCATTTGCTCAAGATGTCTGTTTGAGGCTGGCTGCAGAAGCACCAGTAGTCACCCATTAAAAAAGGCCAGTATTTATTTACTGCAGAAATAAACATGTTTACAGCCTGGTACAAAAAAAACACATTGGTCTGATTAGTTATTGTCATCATGGGCACACACTGTATGTGCTTGTTTAAATAAAGAATGTTATTTTATGAACAATACGTGGTATCCATAGTTAGGCACGTAGATGGGCTGATTGTCCGGGCGGGCACGATATAACAGTTTGTCAAGAGGCCTAAAACCCGCCTCAGCTTTAGCTCTCAGCCTGTTGTAAGGTTGACTGAAAGTTATGTTGAGACATCATCTCCAGCATTGCGGCCGCCACCAATGAGCCTACAGAGCCCCCTGCAGTAACAGATGGGTGATCATTCTGTGTGCTAACTCTTTACTCGTGCACAATATCAGGTATACATGACTGTAAATGTGTTCCTTTTTGGCTCACATATCATAGTCCAGCATTGAAATCAATGTTTTCTTCCTGAGAAAAATCGAGCATCTGTTTTTGTGCCCACCTAGGAACAATATCTCTGCTGTGGTCTGATGACATAAGAAGACTGAGATGCTTCCTCTCTGTTCCCAAAGCTCCAGACACCATTTCTCTACTAATGCAGAGCGGTCGATAGGAGGAAGAGGCCTCGAGCTAAGTACTCTCTTAAGTCAGCGTACACACACAGTTATTTCCTCTCTACATGGCTACTATGTTTCCAGCTATGAAATATAGGCCAGTGTGGCTGCCTTGGGTTTCCGGTTTCAGGCCCATTCCTCATCATGACAAAAAGATGAGACCTTGTTGACTGTGTGTGTCTGCCAGGTAGCAACACGAGAGACAGATGCTCTCTTTCATATTCATCCAAGTAGTCTATTCTGTGATTATGATCATCTTTAAAAACTTGAGGTTTCTACAGAATCCCTTTTATTTATCAGATAAAAATGTTTCAGTGCAACGCTTCCTGCCACAAATGGTCCTCAGTAATGTGTCGTGATATCGGGCACAATCATCAATCGTTTGTCCGCACTCAGTTTTAGCTGTATCATTTCATTCAGACTAATGCAGTTGCTGCATCTGTATCTCCTAATGCAAGATACAGATAGACCTATTATAACTTTGTTCACCAACTATTTCACACTGCAGAGAGAGCATAAATAAAAGTCTGAAATATCAAATATGTGTTTCAGGTGTAGCATGGAGGAATGATGGTTTCGTCATAACACCTATAACACCGTGTCACAACTTCAAATGTCTCGGAATAACTTCTGCCAGCTTCTGGACCTCTAAAACTGTAAAACCATGATTTTTTAGAAATTGCACTGCATTGCCAGGAAGTGTGCAGCAATGACTTGGAAATCTGATTCCCATCATCTCATAGCTAGATGGTACACTGAAATAAATACCCAGATACCACTTGGGGAAAAAAAAGATCACTTTGAGAAATGACGACCACGCCTTTTTCAATATCTGGCAACCCTTGAGAAATACTCAAGTAAATAGTAATTAAATACTTACTAAAGTCTTTGATATCGAGATGTTATCAGAAATGATCACCGTAAATCATTTGAACAAGTCAGGATTGTTTACACATTGTCCCTCCTTCCTTTTTTTATTTCCTTTTGAGTGGAGCACTTTTTAATATTGTTTGTATTTGTGTGGGACAGGGTGAGTTCAGAGCCATCTGTTTGTGAGTCCTTGTATGTTTTCAGTATATGTTGTATAATATAAAATATTGAAATACAAATACATTCATTTCAAACTAAATTGTAACCAATAGCTGATAGGTTGAACTTCAACTCACTGCATCAAGATGGTGTGAAAACATGGTTTTTACACCCAGGCCTCCCTCTAACTGATAAAAATAAATGCGTACTGAGTGAGAAAGCATTGCTTGATCACATTCAATAATTTTTCTTATTTAAATAATTTAGATACAGAAAATTCAGACTTTTGCAATGTGGTTATCGGACGCTTGTATTGTGATAATGTTTCTATTAACTGCACAGCAACTCTTTAAAAAAGCTGGATTTTCTAGGAAAAAAGGGCCATCAAATAAGCTGATTTTAAATAAAGGACATATGGATTACCTTACAAAGTCTCAAAAACGGGAATACACTGAGATCAGACCATTAAGCAGAAGCCAAGAGCCTGTAGGATGCCATCCTCGCTGCTTACTCATCCCTTATTGCCGTATGATTCATACAATCCCCCCGAACACCATCATGGAGTCCAGCACCGGAAAGAGACACACATCACACTCAGACAGGCTAATTAGTTTGGCAGTGATTGGCAATATATATGAGTGTTATACTGAGACGAGAGGCAGAGCTGCCAGCTCCTGTGACGCTGTCTGTGGTCACAGCTGCCGTGTCAGAGTAACCTGCACCTGAGGACAGCTTTAGCAGCTTTATCACACAGAGCACGTCTATTCATCTTCATCATGCTCTCCTTTATTGCTTTTCTCCTTTTTTTATGACGGAAACTCTTGAAGATGAGGCCACCATTTGGGAGTCTTGTCGTTGAGGGAAAACATAAAAACAGTTCATTTAAATTCTGGCTGTGTGCTTCAAACCACGTCACCAGAAGTGTTTAAAAGTAGAAGCACGCATCCCCCTTATCTAAGCTTTAATGAATTCACATGACCTCTGATAGTGAGCTCAAGTACACCACTGATAATCCCATTATTATTTGAAGTACACAAATCACATCTCTGAAAGAAAAAAAAAACAGACTATTTTTGGACATGTTGCAGACTTGGTGTAATTTCCTATTTAAGAGGGCCATCTTCTTAAAATGTGATTTTTAATACCTGAATATGTGGCTGTACAAGAAATTAAAATACATCCAAGCAATTAGACACCATTATACTAATTGAGTGAATGAAAACATGAGTAGGAAGAAATGCAAAGTCCAGCCTAAGTAGCATTAATTTAGTTTCATTACTAAAAGGTTTTACACTGAATAGAACAAAATTTTATATATTTCATTTATCCCTTTCCAGAGCAAAGGAGGTTTCTGATTCCTATCCTTTTCTGTGTGTAGTTTGCATGTTGACCCTGTGGATGCGTTGGTACTCCTGCCTTCTCCCACAGACCAAAGACAGGCTCGTTAGGTTAATTCATTGGTCACTCTAAATTGCCCGTAGGTGTGAATGTGAGTGTGACCGCTTGTTTGTCTCTGTTAGTCAGCCCTGTGATTGACTGGTGACCAGTTTCTTTCCCAATGACAGCTGGGATTGGCTCCAAACCCCACCTGCAACCCCGAACAGGACAAGAGATATAGATAATGGATTGATGGATGGAAATCAATCAGCATTTCCAAAACCCAAGAGGATATCCGGAAATGTTGTGTTTTGGCTTCATCCTTAAGACGTTCAGATTGATGTCAGAGA